AACATTGATTGAAATATCATAAATAACACTAAATCATCCCAAGTATTAAATTTTATATTAAAATTTTTTAATTAAATTATTTTCTGAAATATTCTCTTTAAAAATTTCTTTTAGGACTCTCCATGAATGATACTAAACGTATACATTAAAGTGTCAACCAATAGAAATACGAAATGATTACAAGTTTTAACACTACTTAATCTTTGTATTTTTTACCCAAAGGCATTTTCTAAGAACAAGCCTTTTTATATAAACATAACAATAATTATGGTGACAAAGGTTATATCAAAATGATATTATTTTCATAAAAATAAAGTAAATTAGAAAAATCTTAAATAATAATAAACTACATGGATTTTGATCATCAACATAGGGTACATAAGTCCTAAACTTTATTCCTAGGTCAAGTCCTCCTATGTAAATAAATAATTCATTTTCATTTATTTATTCATTTTTTTTTGCATGTGATTATGAAGGGCGTAATAAGATATTATTAAAAGGTCAATACGATTTTACATAATTTTTTTTGGTAAAGTATACAATTTTACATAATTAATGTAGGGTAATTGTTCTTATGAACATGTGTTGTCGAATGCCTAATACTTTTTTCATATACAACTGACTCTCGAATCCTTATTTGCAGATCATTCTTTTTCATTATATGTCTTTTCAAGGTTTTTTAAAAAACTCTGGTGGTGACTCTATTTTTTTACATTTGTCTATTTCTTTCTCCTGGTAAATCTCGATTTGGGCATGCATATTTTTAAAATTATTTCTTTTTTTACTCTTACATAAAGAATAGAAAAGCAATACATTTTTGTCATATTATTCGATTCAAAATAAAAAAATCTTGAAAAACATTTTTTTTCGCTGAATAACTTAATTTTAATATAAAATTCGCCTTTCATTTATTTTGATAGAAACGACATATATATTAATCTAAGGGTTTATATATATTAATCTAAGGGTATTGTTATAATTATAACATTTATACATTTTCCTTCTTCTCTTTATTCTTCTGTCCTTTCAAACATAAAAAACATAAAAAGTAGTAATGTTATCTCTCTATTTTTCTGTTCTCTCATCTAATTTTCTTTCCTTTCAACTTTTTTATATATCCAAACAAAACAAGTAAGAGTATAATATTTCAACAAACTTTAAAAATTTTGTGTTATTTAAAATTTTATTACATTTATTTTTCAAACATTTTTAATATGAAACATTTGTATAAAAATTACAAATAATCAAAATCAATACCCTTTTTAGTAATTTTACATCTATAAATACTTTTCATTTTGTGTGTTTCAAATAAATTTTAATTTATTAAATTGATTTTTGAAAAATATATCCAAATACAAGTTTTGTTAGAATAACTTATTTTTATAAAATTAATTTTTATCAGATTGTTATGAATATTAGGAGGTCATGTGGATGTCCATTATCTCAAACTCTCCAATATCTTTCGGTTACTATAATATCTTCCCGTTATTATTATCTTGTATATTTTATTCACTTTAATTGATATATTTGTACTTATAAATAGAAGGCATCTCAGTTGTATTCAAAATACTGCAATAAAAAAGCTCCCTATTTTGTTATTCTCTCAGTGTAGTATCTTCTTTTCTTTTCTACTCTTAATCTCTATTTCATAATACATTATCAGTGTGATTGTTTTTCTTCCACCATCACTAGTATGTATTTTTATTTTCTTCTTCTCAAGTTTACTTTCATTTATTCTATGAGTGCATTAGAGATTTATGCTCATGCCTATGAACATCTCTAATATAGATGGAGGCACACTATCTTGAAAATGAGCCAATCTCTATAACATATTTACTTGTTATTTGCTTGTTGAATTTATTTATTTATTTATTTATTTATTTTCTTCTTTTAATTAAAATTGTGTATTATATGTCACATCTAGAAGTATGAGGCACAATTTTAAATTTTAAAAACTGTGGATCTGGTAGTTATCCACACATAATATAGAGTGGATCCTGATGATATTTACAAAACTTAAAGTGAATCTTAAAGTTATCCACGTCATATAATGTATATCCTGAAGATATTTGCATTTAAGTATTTATTTATTTATTTACTTATTTATTCTGTATTTAATTTCTTATTTCTTTTTTCTTGTCTACATATAATTCATTTGGTTATCTATATATATAATTTTAAGACAACTAGATCCTGAAGTTATCCACATATAAAATGGATCTTGAAGTTATCCATATAAAATATAAAATGAATCCTGAAGTTATGCATATAAAAAATATAAAGTGGATCTTGGAGATATCCACAAAATCTAAAGTTAATCTAGAAGTTATCCACAACATAAAGTAGATCCTAAAGACATCTACATTTAAATATTTATTTATTCATTTATATATCCACAATATAAAGTAGATTCTGAAGACATCTATAAAGTAGATCCTAAAGACATCTATATCTACATTCAGAGCTAATATCATGTCTCTTAGTTGTTAAACAAAATAATGAATTATTAATGAAAAACTATGAGTCACGTCCAATTGGTATTACTCCATTCCTCGAAGTGAATGTAGCAACACATGATAACCATATTCACGTGCAACCATGTGATCAAGGTTTTATTGGTAGTTGCGATCGTGGTCGTGGTAGTGGTTGTAGACGTGGACGTGAGTAAGGTCAATGGGGTGGAGATAGAATTAAAATCTCTTCATAAATGAAAAGTTTTTGAACCTATAGACCATACACCTAAAGATGTGAAACTTGTTAGGTATAAATGGGTCTTTGCATGAAAGCAAAACGAAAGAGATGAGATTGTAAGGTATAAAGCACAACTCATTGCTTAAGGGTTTTTGCAAAGACCTGGCATTGATTTTGATCAAACATACTTACTTGTGGTGGATGAAACTGCCCTTCATTACTTGATTAGTTTAGCAGCACGAGAGAGATTGGATTTGTGTTTAATGGACGTTGTTGCAGCTTATTTATATGGCTCTCTTGGTAATGATATTTATATGAAAATTTCATAAGATTTCAATTGCAAGAAGCAAACAATTAAAGTTCTCAAGAACAATACTCAATCAAGCTAAATAAATCCCTTTATAGGTTGAAACCATCTAGGCATATGTGGTATAATTGCCTTAGTGAATACTTGATAAAAGAAGGATATAAGAATGACCCTATTTGTCCATGCATTTTCCTAAAAAGATATGAAAATGGGTATATAATAATCACAGTTTATGTTGATGACATAAATATTATTGGAACTCTCGTAAGCATTCCAAAAACTATGAATTGCTTGAAGAAAAAAATTTGAAATGAAGGATTTAGGAAGGATGAAATTCTGCTTTGGATTACAAATTGAATATTTGAATGGTAAAATTTTTTTGTACCAAGAAGCATATATAAAATGTGTTTTAAAGCAATTTTATATGGACAAAGAACATCCTTCAAGCACTCCAATGGTTGTTAGATCTTTGAATAAGGACAAAGATCTTTTTAGGCCTCAAGGAGAGGATGAAGAACTACTTGGTCTAGGAGTACCATATCTTAGTGCCATTGGAGTACTAATGTATCTTGCTAGTCATACATGACCTGATATATCATTTACTGTTAATCTATTGGCAAGGTATAGTTCTTCACCAACATGAAGACATTGGAATGGAGTTAAACATATTCTACGTTACCTTAGAGGTACTATGGATATGGGTTTATTATATTATAATAAAATCGAGTAGGATTTAATGGGCTATACAGATGTAGGATTCATGTCAAATCCTCATAATGGTCAATCTCAAACGCACTACTTGTTTACTTATGACGGCACCACTATTTTGTGGCAATCTATGAAACAGGCGATAGCAGCCAGTTCTTCTAATCATGTAGAAATTTTAGCAATACATGAAGCAAGCTGAGAATGCATTTGATTATGATCTGTGATCCATCACATCTAAAGCACCTGTGCTCTTTCTTCTAGAAAAATGATCCCAACAATCATATGTGAAGATAATGCTGCATGTGTTGCCCAGTTGAGAGAAGGATATATTAAAGGAGATAGAACAAATCATATCTCGCCAGAATTCTTCTTTACACATGATATTCAGAAAAATAGAGAAATCCAAATTAAACAAGTTCGTTCTAGTAATAATTTAGTAGATTTGTTGACTAAAGCACTTCCCACTTCAACTTTTGAGAAGCTTGTATACAATATTAGGGTTCACAAGTTAAGAAATATTAAGTGATATTGTTATCAGGGGGTGTAAAAGTTATGTTGTACTCTTTTTTTCCTTAACTAAAGTTTTCTCCCATCGAGTTTTCCTGGTAAGGTTTTTAATAAGGCAACTTCAATAAATATGACGATATTGTGTATTATTTTTCCTTGGCTAAGTTTTTATCCCATGGGGTTTTTTTTGGTAAGGTTTTAATAAGGCACAATATCTGACATCCAAGGAGGAGTGTTATGAATATTAATATATTATATAGATGTCCATTATCTCATATTCTTCAATATCTTTCAATTACTATAATATCTTTCAGTTATTATTATTTTTCATATTTTATTGACTTTAATTTATATATTTATGCTTTTAAATAGAAGGCACTTCAGTTGTATTTGACATACTAAAATAAAAAAGCTCCAATTTCTCTCCTCTTCTACTCTTAGTCTCTATTTCATAACACAAATGAAGTTTTAACCAATTAATTTTTGGCCATCGAAAACCAAACAGGTATTAACATTATTTTTTGGTCCAATGGAATTGAGAAAGTTTGTTTTTGCTTGCACACGGAAAAAGAAAAAAAAAAAGAAATATTGTGTAGTTGAAAAATCCTCTGAAACCAAAATAAACATGTTGGGCTTAAAAACTTATTGGGCTAGGCCTGACAACTTTTTGGTAGCTGTAAACAGTGTTTTCCATTTCCAAAACGTTAGGCCCATGTGGGAGAGTCTTCATGTGTTCGAACAAGCAAGCACGCAAACTCTTTTTACCAAAAAAAAAAAAACACGCAAACTCTCTCCCGCTGAGATGAAATGAAACAGACTTTGTTTAGGCTCCGATAACGAAATACAATCTCCCCTGGCAGAAGAAGCATATAAATTTTTCTTCGTTGGGCAATTCTTTTGGCGACGAGCAAGCATTTCACACTTGGTTGAGCTCATCGTCGGACGCCGGCCACTGTTGTTAGGCCTGCGTGGTTGTTCTCCGGCAAGTATTGAAGAAGGTTTGAAACCTAGGGCTTTGTCTTCTTCCAAAATTTGGTGAGATTGCTTAGTTTAATCTGGCTTTGAATCTTGATTTGAATTTCTTCCCCGCGTCATGTGTTCCCTGCGTGGTTTTCGACCCTGTTTCGCGCGCCATGCACCGTTTCTTGCTTTAAAATTTTCATTTTAATTTCGCTTTGAATCTGGTAGTGTGATCGTTTGAATATTGACGCTTTTGAAGCTGGGAATCTTTACAGATTGAGTTTAATTTTTTTAACTTTTATTGTTGGTTTTTTCTTGAATGGTCAATAATTGGTTACTATACTTCTGCTCTATTCGTTTTTATTATTGGTGCTTGGGATTGTGTTGTTGTGCCCCGTTGGATTTGTTGTGCACCGGCACTCTGTTTATTAATGTCTTTATAAACAATCAATTGCGCACCTTAGTCCCTCTAGGCTACAATTTTCGTAATCATAAATTGCAAGATGATATTGGAAGATCTTAAATTGAACTAGTGTTTTCATTGCCATTCTTCACTGGCCTGGAGGAGCTGCCTGAATCAATTGGCTTACTAAGTATCTTTGTTAAAGTATCTGGAACAAAAATTAAAAGGATATGATATTTACTGTGCATATTCCAAAGATTTCAGTGGCAGTAGATGCCCCCACTGAGTTTAATATAGGCCCACCTATGCTTCTTATATGGTTTCATATAATTAATTCATTGTAAGTAGTAGGGTTCTCTTATTTTTCTTAAACGTTTCTTTCATCAGAAGGGTTGTGATTATAATTTTGACATTTTGGTTTAAACTAAATTATTTGCAGTTGTTTAAATGGACATGGAATGGTCTGATTCGAGGTATGAACTACGAGAGGGTAGGGATGATCAAGAGGATTCTCCATTGAGAGAGAAATATGATGATTTGGAACAAGTGGGGATGGACAAATCTAGCAAGCATAGAAGCAAGGATAGGAAGAATAGCAGTCGAGGAGAAGACAAGGAGCATAGAAGTAAAGACCGAGATAAGCAAAAAAGAACTGTGGAGGATGTTTCAAAAGAAAGAGAAAAAGAGGCAAGAGATCTAGAAAAAGATAGAATTGGCAGCCGGGAAAGGAAAAGAGAGGATAGGGATGAACGTGAAAAGGATAGGAGTAAAGATAGTAAATTGAGGGAGAAGGACTATGATAGAGAGAAGTATAGGGATAAAGATCGTGAGAGGGATAAAGATAAGAAGGAACGTGGTAAAGATAAGGATCGTGAGAAGGAAAGGGAGGTGGAGAAAGAAGCTGATAGAGGGCGAGAGAAGGAGAGGGGAAAAGAGAAAACTAGGGATAGGGATAGAGAAAAGGAAAAGGAAAGGGACAAGGCAAAGGAAAGGGAGCGAGAGAAGCATAGAGATCGAGAAAAGGATAGAGAAAGCTACAGAGATGGGGACAAAGATAAGGGGAAGGATAAGATTAGAGACAAGGAAAGGGAAGCAGATCAAGATAAAGAAAGGTCAAGAGATAGAGATAGAGTAACCAGAAAGACTCTTGAAGAAGATTTTGGTTGGAGCAAAGATGATGATTACAAAGTTGACATCCATGACAAGAGAGATGAAGAGTTTGGCAAACAAGGGAAGGCATCAAATCTTAATGAGGGTGAGCAAAATGGTGAAGCCTCAGCACATCCATCAGCAATGGAACTTGAAGAACGCATTGTGAAGTAAGTTCAATTTCTTGTTTATCTTCTTATGATTGCATTGTTTCTGTTTTTTCCCCCTCATTTTTTAAAACCATTGTACCTATTTTAACTGGCAGATCCTGCCATTATTAAGTGAAGTCTGCTACTTCTTCCTGCAAGAAAGGTTATTAAAATTGGGATCCTATATTGAATTAGGAGGGGGGCTTTGCAGGATTTGATCAAGAGATCCTTTTTCTACATGTTTAATACAAATATGGTGATAAATTTTATGCTTCTAGAACATGCTAGGTAAAAATAAAAGTTAGAGACAAAACTCAATGGTACCATAAGAAATAACTTAACCTCATTTGTTAAGCCAAAAGAACCTCCAAGAGTACAATTGACAATTGGGAAATGACTGAAGACAGCCATATAGTGATGCTTGCCTTTTGTCATGTCTTAGCTCTCTCCCAGATCTTCCAATTTTTTTCCCTTAAAATGTTTGGTGATCGCTTCGAAGAATTGAACTTGCTTCAAAATATTACTTTAGCAAAATGCATTAAAATGTTCAGAAATATCCTTAAAAGTAAACTGAAACTTCAAAAATTGCACCAAATCACATAAATTAATACTTTTAATTTTACCGTACATGATTAATCTATTCCAATTATTGAAATCTGAAATTATGCCCTATTCTAAAATTATTGAAATCTAAAACTGCACCCCTATTCTAATTTTAATCCTGTCAAAAATTGCTGTATTTACATGTTGTTTGGGTTTAATTAGGATACACTAACCCCTATCAAAGATTGGCGAATGCTATAATAATTGATATAACAATCAAGGTTTACATGTATTTCAGCTAAAATTTTTGTTCTTTCAAGATGTGGAAAACATTTCTTCCACATGCTTCTCTTACTTTGTTTTAAATTTTAATAAATCATTCAAAAATGAAAATAAAATCAGTGGGTAAAAAAAAATATATGCATTTTCGGGCCAAAAAAATCTGTGGGCAAAAAGTAAGTTTTTAAAATGAGCGCATTTATTTAGGTCATTAAAAAGCCTTGGTCATGTGAAAAATAGAAAGCCAGTTTTGAAACAAATGTGAAACATATTTTATTTATTAATCAAAACTGTTGACATAGAAGCCAAAAAATGGCAGAAAATGAAAAGACTAGGATTATTATACGCCGGCTTGAATCTCAGATGGATTATTATGTAACGCATTTCTAGTGTTGAAATGTTAATTTGTCTATTTCTGTTTTAATTTTTATCTTTATAATGTTTCTGTTTTGACAAACTATCTCTATGGTTTAAATTATAACTCATTTATGTCTCTGAAGCTGCTGATGCCTACAAATTATTACCTGTAGTACTCAATAAAATATATAGAGGAGATTGTCTCTGTTTTTTGACACTAGAGAAGCAAAAAGGGAAAGGAAAGAAAACGAGATTAGGTGAGAATGTGGTAAAGAGCTGCTGGGCATATCTTGAATAAATGAGGAGATTATTCTAGATCAATGAATGATCCAAACCTGGAAAACTAATTTTCTAATTTGGTCAAATTTACTCTCTCTTTGATGTCTCCTTTCATGATAACACTACCATCACTAAGGATTGAAAAGAAGACATGGATGTTAACTTAAAAACATTTTTTAAGTTTGGAGAGAGAATATGGAGTGGTGACTGTGATTTAGAGAATATTTTTCCCCCAAACTGGATGCTTGAACCTCACCTTAAATTATATGATATAATACCTGGATTTTTCTGTGTGCCTGCAGGTTTGCTCATTTTATTAACATGTTGCAATTGGGGCCACCAGATTTTAGGCTCATCTTAGTAATAAACAGAATCTATGTGCTATTGGTCACAAGCTTTGGTGGATTTTATCATTTACTGCATCCTTTTTCTTTTGCAATAGTGCTTGGTCTTTTTTATTTTAGAACTTAAAAAGGAATATTATCTGAGTGCATCAACAAAGCAATATATTTAAAAGTATGGAAAACATTCTATTGTGACAATGCTCGTTTTTGTTTTGTTTTGGATGACAGGATGAAAGAAGCAAGGTTAGGCAAACAATCTGAAGGCGCTTCTGAGATCTTATCATGGGTCACTAGAAGCCGTAAGATTGAGGAGAGGAAGAATGCTGAAAAGGAGAAAGCATTGCAGCTCTCAAAGATTTTTGAGGAGCAGGTTATAAGTTTTTCTTTCTTTCTTTTCTTTTTCCTGTTTTTAATTTCAAAGCTTTAAATAATTCTACAAGACACTCTGATTTCATGATTGATCGATGACATGGTATTTATTTTTCACAGGACAACATTGCTCTAGAAGAAAGTGAAGATGAGGATGCCGCCCAACAAACTGCTGGTAATGTTCTCACCCCCTTCTCCCTAAAGAAATTGTCTCCTTGCTGATCCATAAAATTTGTTTTGTTGCAACTCGCAATGCGGTTTGTGAAATGCCAATTTCTTAGTAGAAGTTTTAAGAATTATTTTTTGGAAACTTCAGTGGTAACAAGTTGCTTTTCTATTCTTTATTTTTAATAATCACTTTGGAATTTGACATTGAATTTAGAATATGAATATATTAGTCAGATGTTCTTTGATATTCCTTCATTATTTCAAAACAATATTCAAGTTATCCTTATTCTTAGTTGTCTAAGGCAATTTTCATCAAATCAGTTTTATAGTTTTTCAGTGGGTTGAGAAGAATTGATAGATCAATCAATGATGAGGATAATTGTTATAGATGAAAAATTGCAAGCCTTTTCTCCTGTTATTTTTGCATGGTCTCAAAACTTTTGGCTTGGAATATTCTAGGGGGAGCTGCTAATATGTGTCTGTTACGTAATATGTTAAGAGCTGGTTGTTAGTGACCGTTAGTCACACAAGCTTATAAATACTAGACATAGGTAAGGCAGTTGATGATGGTCAATGAGAATTCTGCTTTTCAGATTCCTCTTTTCTATCTCTCATCTCTCTCTCTGTTCTTTCTATAATCTCCCTTTTTCTCACAAACATCTCCTGTCACCTCAATATTGACTGACAAAGCATGACTATATATATATATATATGTTTGAATAGTTTCCTGAAATTCTCTTGAATCTTGTTAGTTGGCGTATAACCCGTAGCACTATGCAGATTTTCTCTCTCTTCCATGGCAACTGGTGACCCTTATCACGTGGTATAACAATAAATTGACGTTTGGTCTGCATAAGGTTGTTAGAGTTGAGTAACTATAGGACATCTAAGGAGTTGAATCTTTCAAATCTAAACCCTTTGCAACATTTCTTGCCTGTGTTGTTTCAAAATAAAAGAAAATGTTTTGTTAAAATAAAAAAGAAATTTTATTACTTGCTAGAAGATAATGCATATGAGGGGAGACAAAGGTTTGTTCCTTTGGAAAGTTGAAAGTTTTAGGAAGGGGAAGAGGAAGAAAAATCATCTTTGCATTTTTTGGATTACTAATGAGAAAACTATGTGCAGAGGAAAAATAATAAATGTGTATTAAAATACAGTATAATCCTTATAAAGTATTTTAATAATAGGTAAGAATAGTTAATAACACAAACTATTAAAATATAAGTTTTCACTCCATTACCCCTGATTTCAGTTTTAGTGCATTAAAAAGAATTCTTGATGATAGTGATTGTCAATCACAAAAGACTGTTGCCACTGTCCTAGAAGCCATCCAGCATTACTGACCTTTTACTTCTATATCAGAGAAACTTAAATCTCTACATGTTCTTTATGATAATCTGGTAGGTCAAAATACTTATATTAATTTTTTTTTTCAGATAATTTAGCAGGGGTTAAAGTTCTTCATGGTCTTGACAAAGTAATGGAAGGTGGTACTGTGGTTCTAACTATCAAAGATCAGCCCATACTTGCTGATGGTGACATTAATGAAGGTACAACTTCATTGAGCTCTTCTGCTACTCAAGGCTGCAATCTCTGAATGACCCACATTTTTTGTGTAACAGAGCTTTTTGTTCTGACGTGGCAGATATTGATATGCTTGAGAATGTGGAAATTGGAGAACAAAAACGGCGGGATGAGGCTTACAAGGCTGCAACAAAGAAAACTGGCGTCTATGATGATAAGTAAGATGATCATTTCTATTGGCTGCATTTTTAACAGAACAATAGCTACTAAAAGCAAGAATTAAGTTTGAACCTGTTTGGTAAATTTCAGGTTTAATGATGACCCCACTGCAGAGAAGAAAATACTTCCACAATATGATGATCCAGCTGCTGAAGAGGTTTGATGCTTTTTGTCTGCTTTAAACTCATAAGCAATTGATGACTCAGTAAAGGTTTTTGTGCAGATGATACTTATAACTAATCCTATTCTTCAATTCAGGGTTTAACATTGGATGAAAGGGGAAGAATTTCTAGGGAAGCAGAGAAAAAACTTGAAGAGGTTAGCCATTTCTTTTATGCAGCATATTATATGATAGTAGAGATGAAGCTCCAATTATTTTAGGGTGATAAGCTTTTTATTATTGGATCAGAAATTGTATCCCTCTTTGTTTTTGTGACTTCTTGTCTCTTCTTTTCTTAGTGTTATTTTTCTTGGAATTCTGTTACTCGGCTTTGATTGGAGCGCTTCATTCTTACATTTGTTTGTCCTGTTACCAGCTCCGAAGAAGGTTAACAGGTGTCTCCACAAACACCTTTGAAGATCTAAATTCATCTGGAAAGGTATCATCAGATTACTATACTCATGAAGAAATGCTTCAATTTAAGAAGCCCAAGAAGAAAAAGTCCCTTCGGAAGAAGGAGAAGCTAGACCTCAATGCCCTTGAAGCTGAAGCTGTCTCGGCAGGATTAGGTGCTGGTGATCTTGGCTCCCGGAATGATGCCAAGAGGCAGGCCATCAAGGAGGAGCAAGAGAGATTGGAGGCTGAAAAGAGAAATGATGCTTATCAGTCTGCATTTGCTAAAGCAGATGAAGCTTCCAAACTGTTGCGTCTAGAACAAATGCTAGATGTTAAAACTGAGGAAGATGAAGCTCCAGTTTATGCAGATGATGATGATGACCTTCATAAATCATTAGCAAGAGCTAGGAGACTGGCTATTAAAAAGAAGGAGGAAGAAGTGGCATCTGGCCCCCAAGCTATTGCATTGATTGCCTCCTCAAATCCTGGTAATGAGACGGTAGATGATCAAAATCCTACAGCTGGTGAGTCAGAAAACAAGGTCGTGTTTACTGAGATGGAAGAATTTGTCTGGGGTCTTCAGATTGATGAAGGTAATCTTTTGTTTAATTATTTGCGTTTCAATTGTGATGCAATTTATATTATGCAAACGTTCTTAGATATGCCATCCTGATTGAATGAAAAATGGAATTTTGTTCTTTTTTCACGTCTATTTGCTATTAGTAGCTGAAAGTTGTATACAATGTAAATGTATCCGATAATACATTATCTTTTGAATAATTCAAATGCTTTTGGTATTTCTTTTAGTTTTTTTTTCCACTTCATTTTCCATTTTTTTAAAATCCATGTCCTTTTTCTCTGTGTTCATTCTTGAGCCCAATCTGAATTAATGTTATTTCGTCTCTGTTGTGCCTTTTGAATATTTTAGGCGTTCTCCATTTAATTGATTTTTACAGTCCATTTGAGCTGCGATTTTTTTTTTTTTTTTGGTTGAAATTTTTCAGAGGCACGAAAACCAGAAAGTGAAGATGTTTTCATGCATGAAGATGAAGAAACAAATGCTGCTGCTGACGAAGGAATGAATGATGAGACTGGTGGATGGACTGAAGTTAAAGAAACCAGTGAAGATGAAAAGCCAGATTCAGAAGACAAGGAGGAGGTTGTTGCTGATGAAACTATCCATGAAGTTGCAGTGGGGAAAGGATTGTCGGGTGCGCTAAAACTTCTTAAAGATCGAGGAACACTTAAAGAAACTGTTGAATGGGGTGGCAGAAACATGGACAAAAAGAAAAGCAAACTGGTTGGGATCGTAGATAATGATGAATCAAAGGATGCACATAATAAAAAAGAGATCCGCATTGAGAGGACAGATGAGTTTGGAAGAATTGTAAGTGTTCCATGATCTAAATACAACTACATGTCACATAGTATAGAATTGCATAGTGTTATGGGCTATGGCTGAATATCATTGCATGGGCATGTTTTCATAGAAAGAACCCTAGGGGCGCAAACTTGTGTAAAATACAAAAATGAGGAAGGTCATGTTTATGTGGCTTTGAATCTCCTTTGTGTTTTCCTTTGTATCTAAAAATCTGCAAAACACACACTCTTGGAAAAAGGCCATTTCTATGTTCAACACATGTCAAGCACTTGTCCTCGACATGATGCAACACTACATGATACTTTAAATTAGATTTGTGTATTGTGTCCTTGTTAATGTTTTGTGTATGTTTGTCCTTCCTAGCTTTAAATTATCAATTTAGTGGGGAAGAAAAAAGCGTGTGTGCTTGACCCAAGATTGTCAAGGATTAGAAAATATATTGTTTATTGGGGATCTGAACCATAGTTGAATTAGGGCAATCATTAGAGTAGCAAATTTCGTTTTATCTTTTCAATCTACTATCAGCATGCACAAGATATAGGGGTGGGTTGATTTGTAAGGGAGAATAACGATCAACTGTAGAAGGATAATAATTTTGGCCTACAGATAGAAGAGGCTACAGGTTGCTTGATCACCTATTCATTCTTCATTATAAAATATTGTCGGGAATCATATTTTGTATAAATATCAGCTATATCTTGATCACCTATCCATATTTTCCTCCGCATATACGTTTACATTTTTAAACAAAGTAGCATTGTATGAGTAGCCATATCTATAATATTGGATTCATGCACTGGCTTTTTATTTGCACTGGCCTCAAATGCATACCATTGAATTCAAAGTTTAGGTCTTTAAAAGTAGTACTGGGCATCTTTTATCCTGGATTCATTAATTTCTTTTGTTTATAGAAGATTCATTAATTTCTTTTATTTCTAACAGTTGACTCCTAAAGAAGCCTTCCGGTTGATTTCTCATAAATTCCATGGTAAAGGGCCTGGTAAAATGAAGCAAGAAAAGCGTATGAAGCAGTACTATGAGGAATTGAAGATGAAGCAGATGAAGAGTTCAGATACACCATCATTGTCTGTGGAGAGAATGAGGGAATCTCAAGCTCGTTTGAAGACACCCTATCTTGTTCTCAGCGGTCATGTTAAGCCAGGGTATGTTTATAACTTCAAGAATTAATTGTTATAAGGTCTTGCCATTAATAATAGTTGTGTAATATGCAATAAAGTACATGCCAATATTTTTAAATTAATTTGTGGATGTTTTGAAATGAAAATTAAATCAATATTTTTTTACAAGAACAAATAGAGCTAGTCTCCCCATACATTTTAACAAATTTAATACTTATGGAAATTGTTGACTAAGATCTTTTAATTAATAATATTCCTAAAAGTTTGGTAAATGATAGAGTACAGCAGCATCATTCAATTCATCTAGCCAGCCCAACCTAGGAGGATAATGCTTCGTCGTCTTGTTATCTTGGAATGCATATATGATTGAATAGGTTTTAAAAATAAAACTTGTGTGGTATTTTAATTTGAATCAAACTTGATATTTATACAAAAAGACCTTCAACGAAAATCAATATAACATGCAACACATGGAAAAACGTGTCCAGTTTGGGTTAGAACCCAGGGTATAAAAGAGGAGAAAATTAATCTTTTAGAAATCTTGAAAGCCCCTTATCAGTTGATTTGTTGGTTTATAATTAGTGAAGGTGCAAGAAAGTTAATGGAGTGAGTAAAGGAAGAGTTAACACCCTAGCATTTAGAGGTAGATGGTGGTCCGGAGATGGAACCAAATGGCAGTGTTCAGTGGGTCTGATTTCAATTACACAGAGATAGAGTTGTTTTAGAGGAAAAACAATGAAAACAAAAAGGAATCATATTCCATGTCAGGACATGAATAATAGAAGTTAGATATTCAATGAACTGCAGACTAATGTTAAAACATTCTTCTTTTCCTTTCTCTTATATAATTATACCTTTTTACTGTGGCAAAACTACATTTTGAAGTATACAGACTCGATGTACATGTTTGATACCTTGGACACTTGTTGCTCTTAGGGTGACAGGGGAAGACAGAATCCATTTATTACTGGATAATGTCACGTATGGGGTCAATTTACCAGCATGCCTATGCAAATAATTTGTTGTGGTTGAATTACTTTATACATGGTGAAATCATTTTTAGCTGGACCATAAGCAAGAACCTACCAACTTTTTCTAGAGTTGGTCTATCTTGGCGAAAACATGGGTGTTGTTTGCAGTCGGAGTCTAACACAACTTTGTCTTTTTATCTTTACACTGGCTCAAGGACGTGGTTATGCCTGTAGGGGTAGAAATGATTGTACAGGATTGTTCGAGTTTTAAGGTTTTTTCGAAAATTAAAATATTAAACGAATGTATAGCTTCCCCCTTCCCTTTTCTCTTAAACATATTGATAAACTATCTTTTTTATTTTTTTCCTTTCCAGACAAACTAGTGACCCGAAAAGTGGGTTTGCTACCGTGGAGAAGGATCTTCCAGGGGGTTTGACACCTATGCTTGGTGATCGAAAGGTAATTTATACTTAACATTGAATATGCTTCTTTGACTGTGCAATGCTTACTGAACATGGGAACTGGTAGGGTTTAGAATTTTTGAAGCATGTTTTGTGGACTTCTAATTTTAGATCTGTTGTTTAAGATGTATAATATCTTGGTAACTTAATGAGGTTAGGTTTTCCTTGGTAGTGCAGCAACAATGATTTCTTCTTTCCATTTTTCTTTCATCTCATTTTTGATACTTTAAATATCCTGTACGCAAGATACATATATTGTACTTCATGATACGTATCGTATGTTTTAATATCTGTATTACAATTTTTTTCAACAAAATATTTCTTTTTTTATTTTACTTAAAAACTTAGAACAAACTTAATATTTTGATTTATTGTTACAAATATCCTTATATTACTTTAGAAATACTTGTTTAATATTCATGATGCTTGGGTCATAAAATGTTGAAATATATATTATATATGTTCTTATACTCGGTGTCCGAAAATTTTGAATTTTGTCTTATCCACCTTGTACTTGACGGTGCTGTCTACAATCTGCGATCCGTGGCATTTCAATTGAGTTTCACATTTTCCTTATTATCGAAAGCATGTTCTCCTTTCAGGTGGAGCACTTTCTGGGAATCAAGAGGAAAGCTGAGTCATCAAATTCAAATGCATCAAAGAAGCCAAAATCTTGAGAATCTTTTATTTCTGTCTGAAGGATCTTTAAAGCAGTGCGAGGGAGCCACCTGGTATGAGACTTTGAAAATCCTTGAAGAAACTATTGAGGGATTTTTTTTTTTATTTTTTAAACTCTGGCTTTAAATGTGGAATAGAAAGTTGATCATTGATGATGCATTAGGAAGAATTTGAGATCCTGAGTTTTGGCCACTTTATATGCTAGAAGATGTATAATAATAGATGTCTGATATATATGATTTAATTCTATTTTCTTTCATTATACTGTATATTATTAATTGCAGTTTTCACCTTTTGGCTTCGTATTTTACCCTAGCTATTTGTACTCTGAATTATTCCTTCAAATCGGTATGCATGTTATTAGTCAAATCAAATTTCAAGCCAAAAAAAAAAAAAATCGTCCCTTACTGTGGCTGAAAGCCATTAATTCAGGTTCTTTTTTTTTATTTTATAAAAACTGTTTAAAATTTTTTCATTTCAGTGTAATTGTTTTGTAATTTCTTTTTTCTTTTTGCCAGTTCCTTTTTAATTTCAAATATTTTCTATATCCTTCATTTGAAATTTTAGTCACACTTCAAACATCAGCAAATTTCGATCATTCCCTCATCCAGAAATCTCAGTCTAATGTTGAAAATTACAAGATAAAGCAGTGCACATTTAGTGGTGAATTAATGTTTGAATTTTTATTTGAAGAGAGGTTTACATTTAGCGTCTAATTATATTTTAAATATAATTATTTCTGACAGGAGAATACTTATGAGTAATTAAAAAGTTATAAATTATATTAAGGAAAAATTAATCTTTTAATTTTTCAACTTTTAAGTCGCTTATAATTCAGTCCCTCAACTATGACTCGTTGTGACTCAGTCCCTTAATTATAACTCGCATATGATTCAGTCCCTCAACTTTTGAATCACTTACAAATTAGTCCCTTAACTTTTGTTAATTTTTTTTCATATTAGCTTATATCTCACATAAATGAATAAGAAGAGGGTATTTTAAAATAATATATGAGTATTTTTTTATCCCTTTTATTTGATAAAAAAAATTTAAAAAAATCAAGAAATAAGGATCGAGTTATAGGTAAATCAAAAGTTGAGGGACTGAGTTGTCGCGAGTTATAGTTGAGGGACTGAGTCGCAGTAAGTCATAGTTGAGGGATTGAGTTACAAGTGAGTTAAAAGCTGAGGGATTAAAAGATTAATTTTTTCTTATATTAAATAAACTTCATTGAATGTGTAATTTTCTTTTACCTACAAAATACCTCATAAATTAGGATGAAGGGAGTTACTTTCAAGCTAATTCAACATTATAGGGCCTTACAAAATCTTGGAGGTCTCCCCAAGTTGATGAGTAAGAGGGAATGTTGTTTGGTGCAAGAAAAGAAAAGATCTTGCTTCTTTTTTCGCTACACAAAAAATGAGATATCTCAGTGTCGCTACCTGATGACTTATTAAGGTGGCATTTGTTTACAAAAAAGAATGGAATGAACGAAATAAAATAAATTAAATTATCATTTTTTTATAGTAAACATGATAAATTTTATTAATATATACTAAATGTGAAAATTATTATATCCTCAAAAACTCTTAAAAATTATGATTTTCAATCTCATAAATTAAATTACCTTTTTACTTATACATGTGCTTGCCTGTTCTTTTTAATTATTTTATTTTTTATCTTTATTTTTTAATTAATTTCATTTCATTTCATTCTTTTTTGAGCAATCAAGTGACACCTAAACCACTGTCTATTAGATCATAGGAACAACTCTCAAAACAGGAACCTCTCTCAACAGACCAAAAAATCAGCACAAATAATAGATTTGTGACCTGTGGAGATTGTTTGAAAGTTCTATCAAATAGGTAGATCTCCTATGCAGAAATTTTCAATCAATCTCATAACTAACCTATCCTAGTAAGATAATACTTCTTGTTGTAATTTGATTAATATATAAATCATATTTTAAAAATCATAACATTAAAATGTTCTCCTCATGATATATATATATATATTACTTTTAAGGAAAATTCAATACATCTTGTACTTTAATTACGTTTTGCTTTCAGTCCTTATAGTTTTATTTTATTATTTTCACTTCCTTTAATTTGATTTATCTATAATGTTAATCGTCATAGTTTTAAAAGTATACATGAAGCCATGAGCTGACACTATCAAAGTCAATGTCATTGTAACTCTTTTAACTCTTATGCTGACATTAATAAATTAACTAGGTATGATTAAAAATAAAATGTAAAAGGAGAAAAGTTTTCTTTTATATTCGGCTTAATTGAATCTAAGAGATAAATGTGACATTAAGTACAAGTTGGCAAAGGAGTTGAAATCTGTTATAGGCTTTATAGCAAAATCAACTCCATTTTAGAGTTCTCATTCCGATTCCATCTGGCTGGAGAGAACTTACGCGGTTGCAGAGCGACGCTGGAGAGAACTTATAGAAACTGTACAGCGGCAGAAATTCAAGAGTTTGAACATGGAACAATGGCTAAAGTGGCATCTGAGCAAGAATAATGTGGGTAAGGACTTCACGAGAACTTATTTTTCAGTACCTTGAGAAATGCTCTTTGGTTATGTCTGCTGAGACATCTGGTTTTCTAGATGCACGAAAATCTTCTCAAATGAGGAAGAGAAAAGAACTGGGACGAGTATTGCCACTCTGCAAAAGGCAAGAACATATCTCAGTTTCTTGAATCTTTCACACACACTGAGAAACAACACCAGAACTATCCATGATGGTTGGTTCAGTGCTAGATGTAAATGGTTCCAACAACTATCACTGAAGTTCTGGATATTATGCAAGCGATAAATTTAATCTTGAGAAGCAACACCAAGCGTCACCCTTGTAGATGTATTTTAAATCAGGTTAGAATGTTTTTGTGTAGAGATTGGTTTGTAAATTTATGCCCAATATTTTAAAAACCTGACCAGCGACAAATCATAAAAGTTAATTGAAAGATGTTGAAATTAAATAAAAAATGTTTATGTACATATATATAAATAAAATATTAAAAATATGGAAAATATCATTCTCAATTTAGAGTTGTTTAGTCATAATATATTAAATTTTATTTTGCCGATAAGCAAACCATGCACTCAAAATTTTACTATAATGACCCAAAAGAAAGTTAACATTAATATTTTTAAATTGAATAAAATAATTTATTACTAACATAAGAGTAAAAAAAAAAAGGTTCAAAATAATTTCAGTTGTCCTTGCTTTCCAAGTTAACTCTTGTTCTGTTAAAACCGTAAGATTTAAAATGATCCAATTCCCAAAACAGATTAATGAGTCAAATCGAGATATTTTTGTATCCAGTTGATAGTCCAATTAATCTGACTATCCAAGTCAGTCCCAGTCAAAATATTGTTTACCTCCTGTCTAGGGAAGCTAATTCTTGTGCACATCCTTTGGCTAGGAATGCTTTTGAGGAGGCATGTTTTGTTTGTACCTTTGATTATTCGCTGTTTTCTTGTGTAAAGGTGATGAATGATCAGAGGAGAATCACTTGTGTTAGTCACTTTTAGCTTATTACTCTCGAGACTGTTTCAAACGTCATTAAAAAGAAAAAAAAAAAAGAAAGAAGAAAGAAGAGAGTTCTCATTCCACTGCATAGCATATTGTTTGGTGTCCTTTTCCCACTAGAGTATGAAGAAGTTACCTATTTGATCACCTTAAAGTTAATAATACGAGCTAATTCACAACTCACAAGTTAGCTCATAATGAGTTGCGAAATTGATGAGATGGATTAATATAACCCACATCTTGTGTTGTAATTTTATCAACTTACATTAATCGAAGCGGGTTGGCGAGTCAACCCACAAATAAAAACATATTTTTTAATAATTTTTTTAATTTTAAAAGTGACCAATTCATCTCTTTATTATTCTTTTGTTGTTAAAAAAAATTATATATTCTCCTTAAAAACTAATTATCCAAATAATAATAAAAGTCCTTCTAATCAAGTCATGCTTATATCATCATTTAAATATAAATTAATTTAATTTTATAATTATTTTGTTTTTTAGTGTTTGCACTTTAAGCAAGTTTCTCTTTTTCATGTGCATAATTTTTTTTCTGTTTTGTTTAGATTTTAACATTTCTCAACCTTGAGAGAATGGAAATAACTGTGTCCAATTAATTATTGAAAATGATTGATAATTTATAAATTAAATGTTTATTTAGACAAAATAAAAATATAATATTATGATTTGACATATTTAGCTTATATGTGAGTTGTGTGTTTTTATTATTTTCTATCATAATTTAAACTTGAATTAAATAAATGTACAAATGTCAAGTATTATTCTTAATGCTTTAATTTATTTTAAAATCCATCTCATTTATTTATTTTTATTTATTTTTGTTAAAAAATATAAACAAGCTAACTCGTTTGCTGGAAATTTAAATTATGTGAAGCGGGTTAAAATCATCCCACATATAAATAAATTTTTTTTTTTTTTTCAATTCAACCGATCTCTTTTTTTGTTAATGGGCAGGTTGAGTTGGAGCTCAACTCATATTACTCTCGATCGTCAAAGGAGAGATCCACTACTCGGGGAAGAAGATTGTTCCCAATTGAAAGATATTTTGCAATCCGGTGTTCTACAATTGAATTTCCAAGGTCTATTTCAATTTCAGGCTTACATTTCAAACATGAACGTCCGTAGTTTTCCCAGAAAGATACTTATCAGCAAGAACCCACTAGAGAAACGGGTCAAGTCGAACTTCTTTGGTTGAAATTATGCGTCTGAATCTTGACTTTAATTCCCATTTCCATGATCACTTAACTGGAAAAACGCGGGAAATTGTTTCTATTCACTTGACTTCACTTCTCTTCAATGATAATCCACATTCGGTGATTCGCACCCATTAACACAGTTATCGCAATAACATTCCACTTCTCTTTTTCTCTTTGCTTATTCATTCAGCACACTCATACTTCCATTTGGGATTTTTTTTTTTTCCTTCTCTCCTTGTTTTTTAGCAGCCTCTTATACAAATGGAACCAAGATTAGGGTTCCCACTTCTCTTCTTGTTGTTAATCTCCCTCTCTTTCAATGCTGAATCGAAGTGTAAGAAAGGATGTGACCTAGCTCTAGCCTCCTACTATGTTTGGGTCGGTTTTTCAAATCTTACGACCCTTTCGCAGATTATGCAATCCCCAATTCTTCAAAATCCTGAAGATATCGTTAGGTATAACGCAGGTCAAGTATCTAGCAAAGATTATGTCCAAACCACCACTCGAGTGAACGTTCCGTTCCCTTGCGATTGCATCGATGGTGAATATTTAGGTTACGTGTTCAAGTACCCGATTCAGAGAGGGGACTCCTATGTGAAGGTTGCGAATCAGAGCTATTCCAATCTGACCACCGCGTCGTGGTTGCAGAGCTTGAATAGCTATCCGCCGAATAATATTCCTAATTCTGGAATGATGAATGTGACGGTGAACTGTTCGTGTGGGGATAGGCAGGTTTCGAAGGAGTACGGTTTGTTCATGACGTACCCGCTTAGAGCTGAGGATTCTTTGGATTCCATTGCGAACCAGACGAAGCTTGATCGGGTGTTGCTGCAGAGATATAATCCTGGTGTTAATTTCAGCAGAGGGAGCGGCCTGGTATATATCCCAGGAACAGGTAAACTAGTTTATCCAAGAGAATGATAATTACGGACCTACATTAATGATAATGAGAGATCCCATTTATAATTAAAAAAACATCAAATCTAATTCTTAAAATTTAAAATAATCAATGGTAACAGTAGGCAAGGTATGGTCAGTTATTCAAAATTGTGGACGAACTATAATTAAATCAGACATAAATAAATTATTTTATTAAATTGAATAAAAAATTAAAAAAAATTAATCTTTTAATCCTTCAACTTTTAATTCACTTGTAACTCAATTCCTTAACTATAACTCGTTGGGATTCAGTTCCTTAACTTTTAATTCACTTATAACTCGGTCCTTATTTTTTAATTTTTTTTAAAAAAATTCTTATCAAATAAAAGAGATTAAAAATGCTCATATATTATTTTAAAATATCCTCCTCTTGTTCATTGATTTGAGATATAAGCTAATATAAAAAAAATTAACAGAAGTTAAGTGACTATTTTGTAAGTAATTCAAAAGTTGAGGGACTGAGTTATAGACGAGTCACAGTTGACGGATTGAGTCACAGCGAGTCATAGTTGAAAGACTGAATTACAAGTGAATTAAAAGTTGAAGGACTAAAAGATTAATTTTTTTAAAAATTAATTTAAAAATTTACTGATTTAATTATATAAGTTGATTTAGATTTTTATAGTAGGGTGGTAGGTTCGCTCACAAGCTTAAATAAAGTTAGTTATAAATTAAAAGATGTTATTTATCGATTAATAAAAAATCAATTTTAAGTAAATAAATATAAATTTATGCATAATTATTTATAATTTAAAAAAAGTTAACTGCGAATCTATTGAATGTTTGTAAATGCATATAAATAGTTTTAATTATATTTATTTTTTATAAATTCACAAATAATTTTTCAAAAATTTTTAAGTAATTATTTTTAAATTCATGAGCAACGATATTTAAATTTATAAAACTGTTGTTTTATTTATAAGCAACTTTTTATAAATTCATGAGTAATCTTTTGCAAATTCATAACTATTTTTTTTTTTAAAGTTATGTGTCGGCTTTCATGTGTTATTTCAATAATTAGAGGTTTTTTTTGGAATAATAATTAGATGTCTTTTCATTACATAAGCCTTCAATTCCCATTAGTATCTTGTATCCATTGTCATTTTCCTTTTATTTAATGTCATTTAATCTGTTTGATTTTTATGTCACATAATTTAATTCTAATTTATGATCGAATCTTATCTTAATTGTAGAGTTTAACTACCTTTATTTGTCAGCATATTAATTAAATGACAGTCAAACGCTTCTTTCTTTGTTTTTTTTGTTTTTGTTTTGTTTTGTTTTTGTTTTTGGGTACAGCGGAAAGAGTCAAACGCTGCTTTTTTATATTCACGTGTAGCATAATAAATTCCTTTCTCATGTTTGGGCTTTCTTTTTGCACTTAGCATTTTTAATAAAAAATTCATGGTATGAAAATCTCAAAGGCAGGCCCAAGGGTATTCAGTTCTGGTAATTTTACAAATGGGTCTAAATCTCTGCTTTTTTGCTTGTTTAACTGAAATACCATGTTGCTTACTGTAGCATGGTCTCTTTGGTCTACGTTCCCATCTTTATCTATGCGAGAATGCCTCCCATGCTATGAAATTTGAACGAAATTAAGTGTACTTTTGGCATTAATTATTGTGATTTCACATTCAATTGATGTGATCATGTAAACAAGATAAGAAAAATTCATTTACGATGGCTGATAATTTATCGTCTAAAAATTCTCATAAGGAAAGAGAAGCATCGAGATTTATGGTTAATTAACTTAGAAACATGTTTTGGGCCTTTCCATTTTTTTTGGGTGAGAAAACATGTTTTTTGGTCCTTACACTTTACTCGTGATTTGTTATAAATCCTTGTACTTTTATTTTTCAGTGTTGTACGTTCATCTAATATTTCTACACTTTGTTCATTTTATTCATTTAGGGATCTAAAATATTAAAAAAATGAAAGTGTAGGGATCCAAAATACCAAAAAAAAGTGTAAGGACTTATAGTAAAACACAAGCAAAGTGTAGGAATCAAAATGTATATTTTCTCTCTCTTTTATATATAATTACCTATTATTCATAAGTCGAGCTGAGTAGGATTACATTAGTGACAAAGCTTGCTAATTTATTTATAGGAGGTTAAAAATATTGCACATTTTCCTCACCTTTTTTTTTTTTTTTTTGCTTCCCCTTTTCAGACCTGAATGGTGCCTATGTGCCTCTGCCCCTAAGGTAACTGCCCTACTTTTTATGATTAATACGTAAAGTTGATATGTTCGTTCATTCTTATAGATTTTTGAATAAATTACGGGAAGTTTTTTTCTATTTCCAAAATCTACATGTGCTTCTCTCGAAAGAGGAAGATGCACTCCATTTTTATCCAATTTTAAATTTCTTTTGTCTGAAATGCCTCTTATTAACTTAAATGCATTTTTTTGGGGCTAAAATTACTGAAAACAAAGGGACTGTTTGAAATTATTTTTATTTTATTGTTCTAAGAACTGTTGTTTTATAAAACATGTTGTAAGAACAAAAAATAATGAAAATATGTATTTTTTCATTCTCTTTTATTCTCTAGAACAATAGTCCAAAAACATTTAAAAGTTATTTTTATTTTTTTATTCTTCAGAATGATATTTTATTTTATTTTTGTTCTTCAAAACACTTTTTAAAAACACGCTACCAAATAAATTTTTTTGCTTTCCTATTTAGAAGAATATAAAACTGTACTCAAAATAAATTTTCAAACATGGCCATAGACCTTTCTATTTTGCTTCATCCGTTTCATTATATTTGTCTTTTAAGGTTATTGTACGCAAAAAAAAGAAAAAATACAATAAATATATAAAATTTACACACTTCACCAAATCTGCTCCTCATTTAATGCGTCTAAAAACACTATGTTAATAATAAATAGTAAATTACTGCAATGGTATAATAGGAAAAGTAATTATTAAATGCTGCCTTGAAATTCTAAACAGATATGTAATATGAAACAAAACCCCCCCCCAAAAAAAAAAAAAAAAGCAGGGACAGAGGCAAATATAATGAAAGGAAGGAAGTATTTTATTTGTGTCTATTTGGTGGATATAATGCATATTTATATGGAATGAAGGTGTTTAAGTAAAATTTAGGGGAAGTTCTTGTAAGTTACTCCAAGTTTTTTAACCCTAATGTGTGTTCTCATTGTCCCTTGCAGCCCGAAAGGTTTGACCTTCTTTCTCCTCAAAAAGCTGCTCATTTGATGATTGGCTTCATAAGACTGTGCTGAGATTGTAAATAAGCAGGTCTAAAAGGTGGGGCTGTTGCTGGAGTATCTGCTGGAGCAGTTATTGGGGTTGTGCTATTGACAGTCTGTTCGTGTCTTGTGTATTACCAAAGGAAGAACGAGGAGGAGGAAAAGCTGCTTTCAAAATTAGTACTAAACTCTGCTCAACCAGGTAAGAGGTTCCAAAGACTTGAACGGTTTAATGCTCCTTCTGGTCCTTATTATAAGATGTTTCCAACATTTTCACACTTCTTAAGAAAAAGTTGTTACATAGTTGAACTTGTCAAAAAGCGTCATAAGATTCTAACTTTACCCTTACTATTTATAGAGATGAAAAAGCTAAATTATAGAACATCCACATACAATTCACGAGATCACTATTAAAAGCAGCGACGAATCCAGACAGGCATACATGGGGGAAAAATTGAAAACTATCTGGAATATGGGGGAATAAAACTAATTTTCACATTTGTTACAAATAAAATTTTAAAAAGTTTCTAAGCAATAGTGAACTCATGCCCCCCCCCCCAAAAGGAAAAAAAAAACCGTCGCTGATTGAAAGCAGGGGAAAAATGGAAAATCATCAGATACTTTATGTAACGCATTATAATTTGGGCCAAGATAGTTATCTAGAAAACACCTTATGTAAAGGATTGGAGAAGTAACTCTTGTCTGACTTACTTACATTCTGAAGTAAAACTGAAATAGCCCTTTTTGGCATGCTCAGTTGTAGGTGTCATTTCCTTTCTCTCTTCCTAACTGTCCAAAGTGAAAAGGTTTGCAGTGTGATGCTGTTTGCAGTTATATTTTGTTTACGTAAACATACCAATCATTATAGTTGATATTGCCTTCACAAAACAATGTCCAATTGGCAGAAAGATCATTGACTGATGTAGAGATCTGGTTGGCAATCCATTCAATCAGCTCAAGTTCATCCTCTTACCTGCTGCCATAAAAGGATGTGAATGGTGCAAAAGATCAAATGCTTTGACAAAAAGTTGAAGCTGTTTTCTGTCATAGGCTGTTGAAAACCGTTTTGTAAATACTCAACAAAAGTAAAACATGAAAGACTGAATTAGTACCCTAAACTTTTCTGACAGTTTGTAGGTATCCGCAGATTATTCCAAAAAATCCAATTGCTGAGTCACTCTCTGGAATTTCTCAATCCATCTTTAGATTTGTTTGAAATAGACTAATTTAGTTCACTCAACTTATGTTCTATCGACTGAGTTCACTGAAACAAATGGATGAAATGACATTATAATCAATAATTCAATGTACCAATGCTGAATACAAAATTTCAGATTCCAATGGTCCTCCTGATACTAGTTTCAAAGGTATTACTGTGGACAAATCAGTGGAGTTCTCATATGGAGAACTAGCTCAAGCCACAAATAACTTCAGTATGGCAAATAAAATTGGCCAAGGTGGTTTTGGGGCTGTCTACTATGCAGCGTTGAGAGGCGAGGTTTGTACTTTTCATGTACTATTTAATTTAATTTAATTACATGTATTTGAAAGAAAAGTCGTGTTTCATTTATATTAATATGAGGACCGTTTTTTCAATGATGCATGTAAATTTTCGTTTGGCTGAATCTCATTTTCACCCCCAAATGTGTGAAATATTTTGATGAGAAAGCTATAGTCTTGCTTTGTTAGATGATTTATAGCATTTGAACAAATGTGAGAGAGTATCACGTGGTTTGGAGTACATCTATTACAAAAGTGTTGGAGGTTGAAAAATTGAAGAACATCGGTAATGTATAATTTGTCAATGAGGTATCTAATTTGGAATAAATGTATGATATCGTATTGGTATTTAAAATGAGCCTTTTCTCTGAACATGCATACCGGAAAAGATAGATAAACCATGAGACTTGTATTCACAAGGTTGTCTTTGCGTTAACTATAATTTCTTGGTCATGGAAAGACAACTTATAGCTGAACTCAAGTTAAATAGGACTTGAGAGAGAAAGAGTCCCTTTCCAAGTGTCAGTACAGAGAGCTAAATCAGTCAAGAATACTCCATTCATCTATGCATTTTTTTCTTTTTTCTGTTTCTGTTGCTAAAAAAAATGTTGTTATTACAATTACTCGATTACATTACAACCCAAAATTTCTGATCTAAGCTGTTACTTTTCACCTGATGCAGCATAACATATAAGATTATCTCATAATACTCTTGGGATATCCATGGATTTGCATGTTCTTCTTTATTGACATTTTATTTTTCTTATTCTCTGCTTAAATAAACCTCTTGATGAAATTTTCCGTTGCAGAAAGCTGCAGTAAAGAAGATGGAGTCGCAAAAGTCACGAGAGTTTCTTGCTGAATTGAAAGTGTTAGCACGTGTTCATCACCTAAACCTGGTATGGTAACTTTTGAACAAAAGCATATGTAGGGTATAAGATGTCCTCCTAGTCTTTTGGATGGAAGGTTGCTGCATTATAAACCTGCTGTGAATGACTAAATAAATAATGTTGGATTCACAATAGAATGTATTAGGGCATAGTCCACTGTTTCACAATTTAAGATATCCCCAGGAGAACCAAAGCACAGCCCACTGTTTATGCCGACTTTCCCACAATCCCCTAAATGAAAGCGTTTTAAACAAAAAAACATGAAAAAAAATTAAATTATAAATCATATGATTGGTATATGAAATTAACGACGGCTGTTCTTGATTGGTGGTGTGATTTTGATCAAGTTCTTGTTATGCTTATGCTTCTTTGTTGTGGGGAGAAATCTGCCATGTTCTGTCTCGTCATTACTTGTGTATTTGTTTTTATGCCTGCACATTCATGATTTCAAGCATCCCATGTCATGGGTGGTTTACAATTGTTGTTTAAATCATATTATACAGTGTTTTAAGTTCCATCTACCTGTTAAAAACTATGTAGGTACGCTTGATTGGATATTGTGTTAAGAAGGATTATCTATTCCTGGTATATGAATACATTGACAATGGAAACTTAAGCCAACACCTGCGAGGTTCAGGTGAGAAAATCATTCCACCAATGTCTATTTCTGTGATGGCACATCAATCTGATTATTATATTAATTTAACAGACACATTTTTCTGTGCATTGCATTTGCCCAAAGTCTAAGCAATGAGCATAGTATGGAAAATTGAGTTAACCCAACTGGTTGAACTAATAAACCATTCAATTAGTGTTTTGATTGATTTCATGAAATACTTTGTTAATGACTATTCTAACCAGTTTTGACCATTAACTGATGGAGCTGGTAATACGTGGGCCCAACCAGCAAAAAAATTGCTGCTTGGGTTAAAGAAAATGGATTCAATTATATACGGGGCAATGTTAGCTCGCCTCGCATAACTTGAACTTGCAGCGTGTGGGTTAGTCCACTTATATTTTTAAAAAAAAAATGGGCAAAAAATAAATAAATGAGAATAAGTTTAAAATAAAGCATTCAAAACAAGCATGTATAGAATTGCGATGTAAGTACTTGATACTTTTACATTTATTTAATTCATGTTTAAATTGTGGCAGAAAACAATAAAACCACATTACTCATATATTTAAGTAGTGATATAATATAATTTAAATGTGATCAAAACAAGATTGAATAAAATATTTTATTATACTTTGCTTCATTCATATAATAGCTTATTTAAATTATCTTGTTTGTAAAATAGTGGTACCCAAGCAGCAAATAAAAAAGTTTAGTTGCCCTTTTTATTTAAAAAATTAAACATATTTATGAAGTGCTAACCATATATTATATTGCCATCTTAATTTGAACATAAAAGGAAAAAAAATAGATACAGAGATATTAAAACATTTAGGTGGTATGAATTGAATGTATTATAGGTAATAATCTAATAGTCAGAGTTTAAATCATCATTATTTTCTTTTTAAAAAAAAGAATTGATTTTTTAAATTAGGGCATCAATTTTGTAGCAAAAATACCAAAATAAGATGAAGAGAAAAGGGGATAGATAGAGCATTTCTATTAATTCATATATGTATAATACTGATCAGTCATGTAAAAGACTAGAGAATAAAAGGACCACAAAATTAAATTAGTTTATATTTAAGTAGTGATATAAGCACATCTTAATTAGAAAGACTTTTATTGTTATTTGGATAATTAATTTTTAGGGAGAACATATGATTTTTTTTTACCATGAAAAAATCATAAAAAGAGGTAAATTTATAATTTTTAAAATTTAAAAAAATTATGAAAAAAATACTTTTTTACTTTTGGGTTGGTCCGCCAACCTTCCAACCTGATGTAGATTGTGCGGTTGGCAAAATTCAACTAGCGCAGAATGCAAGCCATGTCAACCAGTCCCGCCAAACCCACAACCTGCTGCGGGCCAGCTAGCGGGCTATGGGTTGACCCATATTACCAGCTCTAGAATAACTAATGAACCAGTATTTTAACTAGTTCAATGATTGATTCAGTTTTTAATATTTTGAAAATGAGTCATATTGTTTATGGCTTGTAAATAGTATGGCTTGCAATAGATTTTATATTCTGTATTGATGATCAAGTCACTTTTGATAGGCAGAGAACCCTTGTCATGGTCTACAAGGGTGCAGATTGCTTTGGATTCCGCCAGAGGTCTTGAATACATTCACGAGCATACTGTGCCTGTTTATATTCATCGTGACATAAAGTCTGCTAATATATTGATAGACAGAATCTTCCGTGCGAAGGTTGAATTCTTGTTCAGTATCTTCGGAGCCTATCTCTATTTTCCTTTTTTGGGATAACTTGTAAATCCTTGAATATTCATCTTTGCAGGTTGCAGATTTTGGGCTAACCAAGCTCACTGAAGTTGGAAGTTCAGCACTTCCTACTGACAATCTTGCTGGCACATTTGGTTATATGCCACCTGAGTATGACAACTTCTACTTTGTGTTTTGGGTTGTAGCTGACATAGGCATAGGAGTTAAGATTGGCGGTTTTAGTGAAAATATGGAGCCAGTATCTTTGACTTCTTATTAGTGCAATATTCTCCTAAAAGTTTGAAAAAAGGTGCAATATCTTCTCATAATAACATTTGATTAATGTTGATTGTTAGTTGGAAAATTCTGACTAAGGTTAAAGAGCAATTTTTTTTTCTAAAAGTTTTTTTGAAGGAGCAGTTGGTATACAAAAATTTTAATTAATGCAATGTTTTTGGGCTACTAATATTCAAATCAAAAGAAAAATCTAAAAACCTTGTCAAAATTTTTCAACTAACGGTCAACAGATGTCAAATGTTACTATAGGGTGACATTACATAATTTTTTAAACTTCTCGGGTAATATTGTGCCAATCAAAAATTAAGAATACTAATGTAAAAACTTTCAGGACAAATTTGGCTTTCAAGTAGGACTTGACCAAAATGAGCACTCACATATGCAGGCCATAAAGAATAAATCTTCAAGAATGCTAATGCACATTGTGCAGAAACTGTTTGCCTCTTCTGTTAAGTGATGTGTTTAGGCGCTAGAAATTGCCATCCTCTCCTCTTTTTCATTGTTGTACTTATCGGAATAAATTGGATGTGAATGTCAAGAAAGTTTCTCTTGGTGTGTGATTCTTGCTTTCCTTGAAATGGATTTTAGGGAGAAATTTTCTGATTAATAGATGTACTTTCTCAGTATACATTCAAGGAAAAGTAAATTCATAGGTTTGATGATATTATTCTCCCATTTGCAGATATGCATATGGTAGTGTTTCGCCAAAAATTGATGTCTTCGCTTTCGGAGTAGTGCTCTGTGAACTCATTTCTGCTAAAGAAGCCTTGTGCAGGGACGGTGAAGCTGGTTCTGAAACAACAAAAGGCCTCGTCTCTTTGGTGATTCTTGACTTCCCCACTAAAAATGTTTTATCTGCTTAAACTTTTAAATATAACCAAAGCGATTTTGCTTGAATGATTAAGGTATATATTTGTCTTGGCTGGTACAGTTTGATGAAGCTTTTGAGCAGCCTAATCCTAAAGAACATCTTCAAAAGCTTGTTGACCCTAGGCTTGGAGACCAATACGCAATCGATGCAGTTTACAAGGTGAGCAAATAAATTGAACTGTTTAAACATCTGAGTTTGGAAAATGCTCGTGTGTTGCTTGTCAAGTGCCATGCTCTGAAACTATCTTTACCAATATTTTTACCATCACTTATCTAGAATACAGTTTGAGTTGTTAATCTACTCCACTGTCAAGGTTGGTCCACTACCTCACCAGTGTGTTTGTGTTCTACATAGCACCATCCTGAGTGGTGCTTATGTAGCACACAAAAACAGTGCCCCCAATGACATGATATCATAATACCTATGAAAATCAAAATATAGGTCACGCTTGGTTATTAAAATAGAATAGAATGGAATTTATTAAAAAAATAAATATAAAAATGAACTAAATCATTTTTCCTTGTCATGGTAAGCATGATAAAATTTATTGATATATATTACAAACGTAAAAATCATCACATTCTCCAAAAATTTTATGAATCATGATTTCTAATCCCATAAACTAAATTAACCCTTTCTTTTATGAATTTGGTTCATTATTCATTTTGATCATCTTATTTTTACTTTTAATTTTTCAATCCATTATATTTCATTTCTTTCTAATAACCAAACGTGATCATATTGTTTTTTTATCGGATTGGATAAGATCATAGTCTACAGTAAAATCAAAACATATCATGGAATTTACAAAAATGAAAGTAAAGTGCTAAAATAGTGAATTATTTATAGTCAATCAAATTTTCTTAAAAATAAGTTACAAATCTAGAAGTTTCAATTGTAATTAAGATATTTAAGTTCTAAATACAACTTTTAGTCTATAACTAAGTTACTCATTTGTAATTGTCTAAATTGATATTTGCAATTTTTTTTTTTTGGAAAAATTTGTTGGTAAGTTAACTGCGATTAATTTGATTTATAGAGACTTTATTGTTCTCTCTTGAATCTAGCTACTTATACACAAAAACAATTTATGGGACTTGTAGATGGCACAGCTGGCTAAGGTGTGCACAGATGGAGAACCGGAGCGACGTCCAAGTATGAGATCTGTTGTAGTGGCTCTAATGACACTTTCTTCTTCTACTTCTGTGGAATGGGATATTACCTCCTTGTATGAAAATCCAACATTCACAAACATGTCCGCAAGGTAGATTTAGAAAATATATGTCCATGATATTTAAATTAAGTGACACAAATGTTATTTTGAATACCACTTTACATCCAAAATAATAATGATGATAATTTTTTCATCAAATGAAAATTTTCATATCCCTATATTATAACTGTTATTTAGACAAATATAATATAAGCTTTTTTTAAAAAAAAATTAGTCACAACACACAAATTATGACCGAGTCCTTCCCACGTTAGGGTCTTCTTTTTTGTTTTTGGACTTGGCATCTCTTCTAAAAATTGCATTACATGGGTATCAAAGGGTATGCAGTTCTGGTAATTTTAACTTAAAATCTCGGAGAATTTAAAGATGATAGAGTCTGAATCTTGGCATTTTGCTTGTAAAATTGAGCAACCACATTGCTTACTATATATACTTCCTTCATTTCTGTATACAAAGTATTTTAAAAAACTTATTTTATTTTTAAAAATAAGAGGTGTCATGATATTTTTTTTAGCAATTAGCTAATTTTGTCCTTGTCTCAAAAAAAGAAAAAAGATATTAATTATGTACTTTACCCAACACTATGATGATATTGATTGACATTATTTAATGCAAAATTGGAAAATTACTTTAATTTAATGAGATTTCATCTAAATAACAAACTTTTATTTGTATATATAATCCGGTTGAAAACACATTATATATAAGAATGGGAGAGTAATCTTTTTAGCTTCATGAGAGTAGAGTTAGAAATAAGGACCAAATTTGAAGGCTTTATTTAAATAAAAGTTTGGATTTTAAAAATTAATTTTTTAAAAAAGTAATCAAGCTTGAGGACTTGACTTTTGATAAGCCCAACAAAAAAAAGGCTCAGGCTTAGGCAACCATTCAAATTTGATTATATTATTATTAAAACTTTTTTTTAATAATAATATGCGTTTAAAGCCAAAAAAAAGACTTGCTTGCCAAAAAGGATCTCTTAAAAATTTATCATTAAAATTTTAAGTTATTAAAAATATAAATAATAAATTTAAAATACTAAAATTTAATATGAACTATTAAAAAATATAAAAAAATAAAATTAAATCAAATATTTTATAAGCAATCAAATCTAAACCATCTAAATTCAATAGTTAAAAATAAAAAAAAAAAGAAAGAAAGGGGAGATGATGGGAAGGGAAGAGGAGTGAATCTTCTCTCCTTTTGTTCCCTTGCAAAGTCCTTTTGTAAATAAAATTTGCCACAAAAAAATTTTTTTTTTTTATCACAATCCATAGTTGTCTATGTAAAACTTTATTGCATGCAGCTTGATTGCTTCAAACAATTTATAGTTGACTGCTATATAATAATATTTTAAATCTTTATATCATATAAATCTATTTTATTAAAAAAACCTCATGAACAGTAACATGGTTTATATTGGGCAACATGCTTTCTCTTTGAAGGAAGAGATGGGGACATGTTTTGAAATTAGTATCTTATTTTGAATTTCAAACCATAACTACTCCCTCCCACAATACACAATGTAATAAAAGGAAGATGCTTCCATATATTAATATTATCTATCATTGGAGTAGGGGCTGAGAGATTTCCTTTGAATCAAGTGTATGTGCTCTAATTTTTTTTTTTTTAAATCCCTTCTCAAACATTAGTTATTTGGCACTATTCGAAATTTCCCCATTTTTCTTTTATTTATATGAGCACATTTTTTATTTGATTTTAATTAAAAAGTTGTGAAAAAAAAGAAATGTAAAATAATAAAATGAAATAACGAAAAATGGAGAAAATGAGGTAATAGAAATTGGTTCTTTTAATTTCATTAAAAATACAAAAACTTTTAATTGTTTAAAATATAAATAGATAAAAAGAAAATACAGCACCTTCATAAAATAAATTAAAATATGGACAAAATTATGACAAAATAATAAAAATATTAAGTTAACCATTATTTTGAGGAGTTTATTTTAAAAATACAATCTTATAAAATCTTTAGGATTAGATAAATCTTATTTCCTAACTTTATTTCTTTCAAATAAATGATAAAAGCTAAGGATAAATAATTTCACTGGATTTGTTCTTGAAGTTAATTGAATAATTCTCATCTAATAGCTGAATAACACTTCAAAAGTTTTACATCGGACCACAAGCTTTGTATCAAAAGTCAAATTTAATGTGATTTGCCTCCTTATGACAAGGCCAAGGTGAGCACATTACATAAGGTGTTCCGGATTTTGTTTTTTGGGTGTAGATTAAGAAAAGTTGTTAGATTATTTTATTTGTTGAAAAGGATTTTACTATTTTAATCATACTCTTACTAATTAAAGGGAACTTTGTCATGCTTACTCTAGTTACAAGAATATAGGGGTAAAAATGGACGGTGATTTTGACTTTTAATCTTTTCATATTTTAAAAACTAATATCAAATAAAAATAATCTATCGATTTCATGAATTTATCAAATATATTTTTAAATTTTATTTTCATTTTAACTTTTATATTTGTTTTTATTTTTTTCATTAAAATCATTTTTATTATACCAAACATGGCATTAGAATTTGAATTAATTTTTATATTTTCTTGATTTGTGTCCTGTCATTTGATGCCCAGATTATGTTAATCTTTTTTGTATGACTGTATCGTTTTAATTTTCTCGAATATACAACGCATTATACAAGGGACGTGAAGGAGTACAATTTTTTCAAGATTCTTCTTTTGTCTTTACCTTCTTTTTGAATGAGTCATCCTCACTTCCTCATCACATTGCATTTTATCTTTTTGGAATGCACCACATGCATTTTCAGTAGATTTTTTTTTTAAAATAATAGTTACGTGTTGAAAATGTGTTTTGAAAAATAAATTAAAGATATTAATTTAAAATTAATTACAAATTCAAATGTTTTAATTAAAAATAAAATATTTAAATTTTAAATATAAATTTTAATTTATAATTAAAATTTACATTTTTAACTGTCTAAATTATCTCTCTCTCTCTATATATAAAGGGAAAATATAATTATTCATCCCTATAATTTTAATAAAATTTATTTTTAGTCTCATAATTTTTTTTAGTATTTTCAAATCTTATAATTTTAAAAAGATTATGTGATGTTTGCTTTTTTAAGTTTCAATAATTTTAATTTTTTTAATATTTTTAATTTCTATAAAGACTTGAAATATGAAAAAAAATTATAAAGATTAAAAATAAAATTCATGAAATTATATGGAAAAAAAAATTATGTTTTTCCTGCATATAATACATACCGTGAAGAACGCAACAGACGAGGAACTTCTTTTTCGGGCTATTGATTGAAACGATGCGTACGAACATTGACTGTGGTCTCCGGTCTTCCTTTTTCTAACCTGTCATTTGGAATGCTCCAATGTCCTGACGAAAATACGCGGGAAATTTTCGCTGATCACTTAACTTGTCTTCAATAACTTACATTCACATCATCAAATACAATTCCTCCTTCATTTCCTTGTGTAATCCCAGCGTGAATCATTCCGTACATTCCCATTCCACATCCCAATTTCTGAGCTTTTTTCTCTCTGCTTGTTCATTCAACACACTCATTCTTCCCTTTGAGTTTTTTCTTCTTCTGATTTTTCTGAACCCCATTTACAATATGGTACCCAGAATTGGGTTTCCACTTATCTTGTTGATGTTATTGTTATTCTCTCTTTGTTTCAATGCAGAATCGAAGTGCAAGAAACGATGCGACTTGGCTTTAGCCTCCTACTATATTTCGGACCAACTTGACAATCTTACCTTCCTTTCGAAGATTATGCAATCACCTCTTGTTGAAAAGCCTGATGATATCGTCAGCTATAACAAAGGCGTGCTAACTAGCCAAGACTTTATCCCAAGTAACACTCGAGTGAACGTTCCGTTCCCTTGCGATGATTGCATCGATGGTGAATATCCAGGTTACGTATTTAAGTACCCAATTCAGAAAGAGGACACCTATATGAAGATTGCGAATCAGACTTATTCCAATTTGACCACTGTTTCGTGGTTGGAGAGCGTGAATAGCTTTTCGCCGAACAATATTCCTGATTATGGAACGCTGAATGTGACTGTGAACTGTTCGTGTGGGGATAGCCGCGTTTCGAAAGAGTATGGGTTGTTCATCACGTACCCGCTTAGAGCTGAGGATTCTTTGGATTCAATTGCGAACCAGGTGAAGCTTGATCCGCAGTTGCTCCAAAGTTACAATCCTGGTGTTGATTTCAACCAAGGGAGTGGTTTAGTGTACATACCGGGAAGAGGTACATTACTTTATGGAATGTCACGTAATCTAATTTGCTTTTTCACATAATTTAAGACTAACTTAATTGTCAACATGGATGTATAAATTTGGGAAACATCTTTTCACCAACAACAGTATAATAAATTCTTCTCATGGACTGGTCTTCTTTTGCGATCTTGAAACTTTTGTGAAAATGGCATTTTACCTGCTATAAACGGGATTCTGAACTGATAATTTTAGATTGCATCCTGTGGAATGTCCAAATGGGTCAGAATCTTGGCTTTTTGCTTTTAAAATTGAGCTCCCATATCTACGGGTACAAACATTTACCTCTCTGAGAACGTCTCTAATCTCTTGATTCGGTTTTTCTGCTGCAGCATCTCGCAGATCTGAACCCTCTAGATTTTTTTTTTAATTTAATTTTATTTTGTTTTTATTATGAATCATTATTCTTGTTGTCATTAGTTTTAAATTTCTTTTTAAAAAAATTATCTAATGAATCTAGACGGTCCAATTTTTTTTATAAAAGCAACAAAGGGTCTCGACGCCCATGCCCTGGGGTTTGATTGAACAGTAATTTTCTATCCTAATAAGAGAAACATTCTTAATCATTCCTCTTTCAAAATTAACTCCACTCTTGCCATTAGATAATGTGAATCATGTAATTAAGATAAGAAAAGGATCGTAACCATTTATGGTCATCTATAACCTAAAAATGCTCACAAGTAATATATGGTTAACTAACAAGTATCGTGTTTTTAGCTCTTTCAATTTGTTTATGGGATACTGTAGATGTTTTTAGTCTTGCCTCACATAATTGTTTACTTCAACTTTTCAGACCAAAATGATGTCTATGTGCCACTGCCACCTAGGTAATTACTCTCCTTTCCATATGATTTTGACATGAAGTTGCATAGATTTTTTTTCTTCTCTCTAATAAGATTTTTGAGTAAATTAAATGAAGTTCCGCCTATAAAAAAAAAATAATAATAAATGAAGTTCCCCTCTTTTTTCAAAACATATATGCACTTTTCTTGGATCAAAGTTGCATCGCATTTTAGTCCAATTTTTTAATTTTTTAGGGTGTTTTAGTTAAAAAGAAAAGAATTGGACGAAATTGTATATTTTGGAAATGGATCTGGGTGATTTTAGCAAAACTTGGGAGTTCTTGTCATTTACTCCAACTGTGTTAATCATGATATGTGTGTTCTCTTTTTCCATTGCAGCTCAAAAGGTTTGACCATCTCTCTCCTGAGAAAGTTGCTTATTTGATGAATGTTCTGGTAAGAATATGCTGAAACTATAAGGTCAGGCTACTTTGATCTGATATAATTTCTAAATAAGCAGGTCTAAAGGGCCGGGCTATTGCTGGATTATCTGCTGGAGCAGTAGCTGTGGTTCTCTTATTGGCAGCTTGTATTTATGTTGTATATCACCATAAGAAGAAGGAGGAGGAGCAAGAATTGCTTTCAGGAGGATTAGCAGTCCACTCTGCTCAACGTGGGAATGGTAAATAGATATCTACTTCTGTGCTTTCTCCTTCCCATTGCACTTCTATGTACAATATGGGTAAAATTTAATGTGTTCCAAAGATTTAAATGATTGAACAATTCTCCTCTAACTTCTTGAACATTCTGAAGTAAAAATGAGAACACCTTATAACATACTTAATTGTTGGCCTCGTTTCCTTTGTCTCCTAACTCTAGCTCTCTGAAGGGACAGGGTGATGTTGTCTATAGTCAATGTTCTTATAACATCCCAAATTCTTTCTGCCGTATAGTTCATATTGCTTGTAAAAGAATGATGTGCGATTGGCTGAGAGATCATTGACTGGGGGAGAAAATGGGGGTTAGCCATGGTACCTGATGGTCATACCAAAACTGAACCCAAAACACAATGCAGCAGAACTTTTTGTGCAAATGATAGACCACGTAGCAATATAAACTTTGACTTAACCTTTTTTGGCTTAGAGCTTATGGCATGCATAACTTGTTAGAGCAAGATGTGTTCTGTTAGGTATTAAACCCCCTGAATTTTTGCTGCAAAGCTTCTGCGTGATTAAAATATAAAACTGAATCTCATTTACACCTCAGGTTGGTAAAATCTTGTTTGTTGTTCTGATTCTAAAATGCTTTCTGCATTTTATTATAAAGAAATAAATGGATGAAATGCATACAAAATGACAATACAATTTATGGTTAATGTAGTAATGCTGAATTTAAATTTCAGTTTCAAATGGTCCACCTGCTGGCACTACTGTGGACAAATCAGTGGAGTTCTCGTATGAAGAACTAGCTCAAGCCACAGATAACTTCAGTATGGCAAATAAAATTGGTCAAGGTGGTTTTGGGGCTGTGTACTATGCAGAGCTGAGAGGCGAGGTTTGTAATCTCATGTGCTATTAAATTTAATTTAATAACATGCATTTTTACCAAAAGAAAAAGTTGTGTTTAATTAATATTCATGTGACATTTTTATTAATGATGCATATAAATATTTGTTAGACTGAATCTCTTTTTTAAGCAAGAGTATGTGAAGACTATTTATACAATATTGTAGTCTTGCTCTATTGATGACTCTTAGCATTTGACCAAATATGAGAGTATTACATGCAACGGATTTGGAACACAGCTATTATAAGAATGTTGGAGGTTGAAAAGGTGAACTTCAGTAATGTATAATTCATCAATAAAGTAATAGAGGTTAGCATATACGTGTCCTGTTGGTATTTAAAATGAGGATTTTATCTGAAGTTGCATACTGGAGAAGATACATAAACGAGAAAAAAATTGTGTTCTACAGTTTGTCTTTGCGTTAACTATAATTTGTTGGTTATGGTAAAGACAAATAATAGTTGAACTCATACTCAATAGGGTGGATAGAAGATGAAGAGTTACTTCAAAAGCGTTAGTACAAGAGCAAGACTGAAGAGATGTTACATAAGATAATATCTTAATAATTTTAGGGTGTATATGAATTTGTTGGTTCTTCTTTATTGCCATTTTAGTTTTCTTATCCTTTGGTTAAATAAACCTCTTAAAGATATTTTCCTTTGCAGAAAGCTGCAGTAAAAATGATGGAGTCGCAAAAATCGAAAGAGTTTATCGCTGAATTGAAAGTGTTAACACATGTTCATCACCTGAACCTGGTACGATGACTTTTGAACCAAAGCATAAATACTGTTAGTTTTCTTGAACGTATAAGCAAATATATTGTTTCTGTAAAATCTAAATTATGTAGGATTTTATTGGTTTGCTGGCTTCGCCTGAATGATATGGTGTAGATGGTGAGAATTTTTAACATTAGTCTAGGCATTGGCATGAAGACATCAATGTTATTATTTTAAACACAGAATAGTACTGAGGATCTATTACCATTGGAGTTGGAAGGTTATCATTTGGGGATTGGTCGTCATTAATTTTCTTTTCTTTTGTTTTTGTTTTTTTGTTTTTTGTTTTTGTTTTGAATTAAGGCGAATGATGTAATTCTCATGCTTGTTGGTTTTATTTTAAAACATAAAAAGCATCAAACATCATTCTCCAAGACAGCCTTTTTCTTCTCTGATCACTCTTTTCTTTTCTATTTTTGGTATCATTTTTATTTATTTTGAAGTTTATTGGAAAAGATTACCCTCACTTTCTCATGGAGATTATCGTAACTACTCTTCAGCTCTGGGCCTGTAAAATATAAAAAGTCATTTCATTCACTTGTAAAAGCATTCAGGACGGAATACAGACAATTTCTTGTCACTCAACTCATCCAACATTTTCAACTATTACTTTTGTCAGGAGTCCAATCTTTCTCTCTTCTTGGCTCTTCTTTCTTTTGTCTCTCTCTTCCTTTCCTCTGCTTATTTTCTCTACGTTTGCATTAATTCAAATAAGAGGGAAACATCTCTGCAGCATGCATGCGCTTCATATAAATATAAAGCACAAAATCAGTGGAGATAGTGAACTGACTCTTTACTAAGCTCTGTATCTTCCACATATCGTGTCATATGCTTGCATTTTTGTTATTTTCTTGCCAAACTACCTGCATGGGTCAACCTCCATTATGCACTGGAGAAAGTATATAAGATGTCCTCTAGGTGTTTGAATGGAAGGTTACTGCATTGTAAACCTGCTGTGATTGACTGAAATAATTTGTGTTGGATTCATTAAAGGAAGTATTAAGGTGTAGTCCACTTTTCACAATCTAAGATACCCTCAACAGAACCGCAGGACAGTCCACCGTTCATATGATTAGCATAGAAAATTAATGAGAGACCGTTCTTGGTTGGTATTGTGACCTCAATAGAGTTCTATGAGAATATTCATTGTAACATGCTTATGCGCAACAGGTAATCCTGAAGCTATCTGCCTCTTTCGCAAGGAGAAATTTTTCATGTGCACCAATTTTATTCATTGTGTCAGTTTTTTATATCTGCACTCAGGATTTCAAGTATCCTATTTGTAGGTAGTTACAGTTTAAACCGTATTATACTTTGTTTTAAGTTCAATCTACTTGTTAAAAACTGTGTAGGTACGCTTGATTGGATATTGTGTTAAGAAGGGTTCTCTCTTCCTGGTATATGAATACATTGACAATGGAAACTTAAGCCAACACCTGCGAGATGCAAGTGAGAAAAGCATTTTACCATTAACTAGACACGTTTTTTCGTTTTGTTTCACAAAATCTGAGAAATGAATCATATATTATCCATATTTGTAAGTAGTGCAGCTTGCAATAAACGTTATATTTTATATTAATAATCAAGTCACTCTTGACAGGGAGAGACCCCTTGCCATGGTCTACTCGGGTGCAAATTGCTTTGGATTCAGCTAGAGGTCTTGATTACATTCACGAGCATACGAAGCCTGTATATATTCATCGGGACATAAAGCCAGCTAATATTTTGATAGACAGAAACTTCCGTGCAAAGGTTGAATTTTCATTCAATATCTGTAGAACCTGTATATTTATATATAATATATATATTCATCATGGCATTTAGTCCTTGATTATTCATCTTCTCAGGTTGCAGATTTTGGGTTAACCAAGCTCACTGAAGTGGGAAGTTCATCACTTCCCACCGGCAATCTCGCAGGCACATTTGGTTATATGCCACCTGAGTATGACCACTTCTACCTTCCTTTTTAGGTGTCAGCTTAAGCATAGAAATTGAGATTTGCAGTTTGTGTGGAAATATCTTGACGAGAATCTGAAGCCAACCAGTAGATTTAATACAATTTTTTAGCCATCCCTCTTTTTTCTTTTCAAATGGATTAATTTTGTCACACATATATCAACACAAACATGACTAAAGAGAAATATATATATAGCGATAAAGAATGCGGCCGCAGAGTGTGCAGAAACTGTTTGCATTTACTGTTGTTTTATGCGTTAGAAATTGCTTCTGTCCTCTTTTTCATTTTCTTCACTTGTTTAAATAACTTAATTGGATATGAATATGGAGAAAGTTTATGTTGGTGTGAAACTCTGGCTTTCCTTGAAATGGTTTTTTGGAAGAAATTTTCTGATCAATGAATGTATTTTCTTAGTATATATTCGAGGAAAAAATGGGTTCAATTTTTTTTTTTTATTGCAAAAATGAGTTAACATTTGTTCTCAGGTTTGATGATGCTATTCTCCCATTTGCAGATACGCATTTGGCAGTGTTACGCCAAAAATTGATGTCTTTGCTTTTGGAGTTGTCCTCTATGAACTCATATCTGCTAGAGAAGCCGTGTTTAGGACTGGCGGAGCTGGTTCTGAAACAACGAAAGGCCTTGTCTCTTTGGTGATTCTTGACTTCTCCCTTAAAATTATTTTATTTACTGTGATTTTTGAATGTGATCCTCGTGATTTTTCTTGAGTAATTAATGGTTATAATTATATTTGGCTTTGATTGTTACAGTTTGATGAAGCTTTTGAGCAGCCTGACCCAAAAGAACGTCTTCAAAAGCTTGTAGATCCTAGGCTCGGCGACCATTATACAATCGATTCAGTTTGCAAGGTCAGCAAATAAATTAAACTTTTTCAATACTTTTGACCTTGGAAAATGCTTGTGTGTCTACTGTCAAACATTATTAATCAAAGAACTTAATAGAAAAAATGTGAAAACTAAAAACCCAACAAGATAAGTGTGTAAATGAAGCAAACAAATCAAATGCAGTTTGTGAGTTTTTAATCCAATACGGTATGAAGATCTCATCTATCTATTTCAATCCGACATCTATTTATATGACTTGCAGATGGCACAATTAGGCAAAGCGTGCACAGAAACAGACCCAGAGCGACGTCCAAGCATGAGATCTGTTGCAGTGACTCTAATGAGTCTTTCTTCTACTTCTGTGGAATGGGACATTGCCTCCTTGTATGAAAATCCAGCACTCACAAATATGATGTCTGGAAGGTAAATGTAGAAATATGACATGCCCATAATTGTTAAATTAATTAACCCAAGTTATTTTATTATATATTTCTTTGATTTTGATTCTAAAATAATAATAAGCTCTACGGCATTGGGGAATTTTTTTTTTTTTTCCAGGTGCAGTATGTAGTCAGTCAGTTTTCTTTTGTTCACGAAATTTGATGATTGAAATGGCTTACATTGTGTGCCTGATAATAAAACATCCTTATTTATACAGCAAAATACGCATTTTAGTCTAACCTCATTTACATTTTTGAACCCATTTTGATTTAAAATGCCTCAAGTTTGAAATATCCAAAAACACTAACATTTCAACCAATTCAAATGAAAATTTAAAGGTAGAAAGAGTAGGAGACTGACTACTTTAGCATTTAAAGCTTAGAAATTCACTCAAGAGGTCGGCAATTTATGCCCAAGCAGAGGCAAGTAATCTCTCTCTTGATTTTGAAGTTAGTATGCATAGTATGTCTAGTTAATATCTAAGATTTATAAAAAATTTACTTCTAATTTAGCCCTTCTTTATAAGAAAGGGAGACACACACAAATATGACAATATTGGATTTAAGCTCAGGATCTCTTTCAAGAAAAGGAGATGGCATTGCCATTAGGACAACTAACCATTAACAATTAATATTTAAGATAGCTTTGTAGGATATAGACAATTTATATATCAAATTCTGTTCCCTAGTTTTGATAGAATATACGGATTCTAATAATATAATGAATGTGATGAACATGACAAAGTTTATACTTTAATGAATTTTTTTTACATAGGTTCAATTTTCCCCCTCCTTTACTCACATCTCATCCTCAATCACACTTAATGCTTAGAAGCCTCAATAACCTCAAGTCCTCAAGTAGCTAGTTTAACCCCAAAACAAAATAGCAAATTTCGTATTTAAGCCACTCAAATCCATCCAAGTTAAGAAAATTAAAGCTATGATGTTACAAAAAAATTATGATAAAAATTTAATTACATTTTTTAACTAAGGAAAAAAAGAATGCTTCTCGTTATAAAAATGTAAAATTACATTTGTAATAAGGACCTGAGGGGATAAAAGAGTGTTTAAAATTATTAAACATTATGACATTATTGAAACATGTTTTGTAAAATCATTAAATTAAACAAAATCCCAATCCTGGAGATAAATTTCAGCTTCAATTACAACCAAAAAGAAAGCTTGCATTAATAGAAGGAGTTTTTTTTTTTTTTTTTCTAAACCAGACATTAATGGGAGGAGTTGATACCTCTGCTATAGTCAGCTTGTAGAAGGTCCAGATCTGAAATATATTTATTTCCAACGGCCTAGATATGTATAAGTGATGATTGTTAATTAACTTCGAATAATTTTCCAATCAGTTAAAAATACTGAAAAATAAGTTAGTAGTGATAATTAGGACGTGCAATCAAAATAAACATTGGCACATATCAACATGTTATCTTAACAATTCGATAGCATACAAATAATGGATGCGTGAGAGTTATTCATATTTTGCATATTCCTCCATCATCATCATCATCATCATCACAGATCAGATCAGATCATATTATTTATAAATTATTCATAATGTATCATCAATCTTCACATGATGCAACATGCATAGTGACTTGTTTGTTTATTTATTTATGTTGAAAGAGTTTAGTAATTCTAAGATTTTATAATATCTTCTTGAATCTTTGTTAATAAAAATGATTTTTTTATTTGGTTGTTTTTAAGTTTTATAATTCTTACATGTATCTCAGTATTTGTATGATATTATCTCTCTCTCATTTAAAACGTATTTGATTATTTCGACAACTTCTCAAAATAATTATAAATTTATTTTTTAGATTCTAGTTATTTTTAAGAGTTTAGGGCTATTAGTTTGTTTAAGATTCAAAATAATTTTAGTTAAGTTAAACATGAAGAAGTTTTTGAGGATATGATGAAATTGTGCGAAGAACCTTAAACTAAATATAAGAGGAAGTGACGGATCTAGAAAAAATTATTAAGGGCAATACTTATACTAAATATAAATATAAATATTTTTAAATATGTAATTTTCAATATAATTTAAGTAATATATAAATAAATTATATAAGAAGTTTTAAAATATATATTAATTTCATTTGTATCAAAAATTTATTTTTATAATAAATATAAGAGAAAATAATATTTTTAAATATGTATGCTTGATATAATATTAAACAGAGTGTGGTGTAATTGATTTTTTATGGGGCCAATTGAAATTTTAAAGGAGACAAATATAATTTTAACTAAAAATAAATATAATTTTTGCTCGTCGTCCCTCTATCTTCAATGTCCTGATGAGAGGTGTATTATAAATTTTTATGATTGGCTTAATTTTCTCCCAACAACTTTTTCGTATCAAGCTTAACAAAAGACCACTTTTAATTTTATTAATCTTAAACAAATTGATCCTAGATTTGAATTTGAGCTAGGACATAATCTCAAACGGGAAATAAAACTCTGACAACATAAGATTTTTTATTCGCAAGGCTCAAAATTATGACCTACTTTAAGATATTGAATATTTGACTTGATTACCACTGGCATTCACATGGTAATTTTATAAAATTAAGAGAGAATGATAAAGAGGTCCTAAAAAAATTAATTAATTTCAGTTAGATTTTAAATACTAAATTTTAAAATGTATAATCAATCTCTCAATTTTGTAACTATATTGTGATGAATTTATAATTTATTTTTTAAATTTTAACATGATTAAAAAATAAAAAATTTAATTTTCCTGTTAAAATTTAGAATACAAGTTTTAAATTTGAAAGCTTGAGTTATAAATTTTTAAAGTTTGATATTTAAAACATAACTTGAATTAAGTGGTTCTTTTAAATCTCTCTATCATTTTCCCTAAAATCAATTGTATTAATAAAGATGAAGGAAGAAAAATATGATCTTGTTACCTCAAATGATAATTATGTGTACTTTTGTTTAAAAGTGAAACAGAACACTTTAAAATTAAAAATACTAATTTATAATGATATTATATTTTAAAAAGTATTTCAAGAACTTTAAAGACAAAATTTTTGACCTTTCAATTTTTTTTTACACGTAATTTGAACTTTTAAATTAATCTATTCTTTATAAATTAAATTTAAAGTCATTTTTCTGAGTACAGCTCCACAGCTAGGTTTCTTTATGGGTCACTTATTATATTGTTTTTATTTTTGTTAACATATCAATCATTGACTATATAATATAAATTATAACAAACTGTATTATTTATAATATATGAACATGCATGAATATTTTTTTAATTACACAATGAAATATATCTAATTTTCTTAAAAATATGCGAAAAAAAAACTTGATCTCAAAAGGAAAATGTTATCCTAGCCGTTTCTGTCATTTTCTTCCCACACATTTTTTGTGATGATCTCACAAATAGTCATTTATTTAAATAATTTTATTTTTTTTTTAATTTGGGAGAATGACCATGTCAATCAGATCCAGAAGAGTGAACTAAAGAGAGGAGAGGATTCTTTCCTGTTCATTCTCATCCTTGTTCCCTCCTCTTCATTTTTAATCACAAGATTAAGATTTAAACTATTTAAATTGTTCTCTTATAAACTATTTCATTTTATTTAATTTTAACTGCTTATAATAAATTTTAGCAGCTTAAATTTTATTATTCATATTTTTATATAATTTAATATTTTAATAATAATTTTATAATAAATCAAATATAAACTGTTCAAATTTCAATGTAATTGTTAGAAGGGGAAAAGGATGGAAAAGAAATAAGATAGTAAATTAATGACAAGGTTCTCAACCTAAAAAAAATTATATATATCGAATTAAATAATTATAAATTTAGGAATTTCAATTATAAATAAAATATTTAAATTTTAAATGTAACTTTTAAGTTAGAACTGAAATTTTTATTTATAATTATTTAAATTAATCTTTATAACTTATTTTTTATTTTTTAAAAAAGTTTAATTATCATTAATTGAACATTTTAAAAGTTAAAAATGGTTTCCTTTTAAATTTTAATAAATTTCACATTTTCAAGGACCTAACTAATTTCACCTTTTCAAGGCAAGATACGTAACTTCGAGGATTGACTTCATCCACTTTGACTGAATGTTCAAAAGGTCCAGAATGGCCGCATGCACCCGAGAACTTTTGTCATACCTTTTTGTTCAGGCAATCTAGATAACCTTATTAAATCACTTGCTTTCTTAGGTAATTTATTTATTTTTTTCAAATTAGGCCATTAAATTATAAAAAATATTTAAAAATAATATTAATCATACAAAACTATCAATATCAAAGGGAGAAATAACATTCAAGTATATAAAAATAGAATTATGATAATTATGCTTCAAAAAATTTACAAAAATAAATTGAATTCAGACATACTCCCTGCTTTAAAAGTATAAGGTATTTTTTGAGAAGTTGAATGTTTAAAAATATAAAATATTTTTAGTCTTTCAAAATGTAATTATTGTTTTTTTTAAAGTGCTTTTATTGACAATGACTTTATATTTATTATAATATTTAATAGGAATAAATATGAAAAAAATAAAGTTAGTTTAAAGTAAGTAACTATTTTATTGAAAAGTGAGATTCGATTAAAAATATCTTACATTTTTTACGGAAGGAGTATGTAAATAACAATTTTAATTGCAAATTAAAAGTTAATTTGAAATTTAAATGTATGACTTGAAATTAAAACTCTTCCATTTACATGTTTTAATTTAATATTTACAACTAATTTTTTTAAAACAATTTACTGTGACCGGAACATCACCATTGAATTGAAGTTTTGAATGTTAAAACATGCTACTATTGCATGATCAATAAATATTACTACCAGCATCAAGTGCAGAAACTTTGGAGCAAGAGTATATACTCCTGCAGGATTCAGGATTGACAAATCTGCTAAGAAGATTCAACGTTTCCCTTTCTCTACGCAGTCAGCAATTAAAAACCGCTGGATTTGACCTTACTAAGTCGGTGGGGTTGTGTTAGTTAATAGTTAATGTTGGTGATGTATTAGAAGCACGGCTTTTGAATTTTCTCATCCAAAGCTTTGATGGAATTAGCCAGTTTGGTTGGACGCTCCAAATTTTCTTCCTCTTTCTCATTCCCCATTAAAAAGGAAAAAAAAAATCTAAAAAGCCTTATTCTTTTTTTAATTTATCTTTGCTTCTTCATTTGTTTCTCGTTTATCTGATCTGGGGTTTTCAGAATTTTTCAATTTTCTCTCCCACTTGATGGAACCCAGATGTGGATTTGTCGCTTTCTTCTTCTTCTTCTTCTTCTTCATCTTCTTCTTTGCTTCAGTTTTTCCCAGTGCAGAGTCCAAGTGCAGCAAGGGCTGTGATTTAGCTCTAGCTTCTTACTACGTCTGGCCAGGTTCTAATCTCTCATTAATCGCACAACTTATGCGATCGCAGCTTGTGACAGATGAAAACGTCATCGTCAGCTACAACAAAGACCAAACAATCAGCAGAGATTATGTCCAATCCACTACAAGAATCAATATTCCATTCCCATGTGATTGTCTTGATGGTGAATTTCTGGGTCATATGTTTCAGTACGGGATTAACCAAGGGGATAACTACACGGAAGTTGCTGAGACGTATTATTCAAATTTGACCACAGTTGATATGTTGCGGAAGTTCAATGGCAACACTATGCCTGAAAATGGAACACTTAATGTTGCCGTTAACTGTTCTTGTGGTAACAGAGAAGTTTCAACTCTCTATGGATTGTTCATCACTTGGCCACTTAGGCCTGAGGATACTTTGGAGTCAATTGCCAATAATGAGAAACTTGATGCTGCGTTGCTACAGAGCTATAATCCGGGCGTGAATTTCAGCCAAGGGAGTGGATTGGTTTATATACCAGGCAAAGGTAGATTCTGCTTTTGCTTTTGATGGTTCTAGTCTTGAAAGAAATTTATGGTTAAGTGTGATTGCTATAGAATTCTCCAATAAACTCATGACACGTGCATAATCTTTTTCAAACAACCTAGTATGTGATGCTATATGTCCACTTGCAATTTGTTCTTTTAGTCTTCTGTTACAAATTCATCATGGTATCAAATTAGGTTTCCTTGTGGGGTGGGTAGTTGGAATATTTCTGGCATTCATGTATGAAACTTGTTTAAATGCTGACTCGGACCCTGTATTATATCAAGTGCGGATTATGTAATTATGCCTTCTTCCTGGAAATGATGTCAATGGAATGAATAGTGATTAACTTTTGTTAATATCAGGAAATGGTTATTTCATCTGCAAGTTTTTGAAGCACTTAACAACAAAATAGCACCTTTTTTCTGTTTAATGCTTTTTACAAGTAGCTTACATGGTAACTTCTAAATTTTTCAACATCAGTCTCATTTTTCCTATAATTTTCCAGATCAAAATGGAATCTACGTTCCAATGGAGTCTAGGTAAGTTTTTCTCTTTGCATGCTGTTGGTACATTGGTTGTGTAACATATCTCCATTATTCAATGGACAATTGGCAGTGACTATACTATTGTTTTCTTTTACTCTGCAGTTCCGGATCAGGTGGTTTGCTTCTTTCTCTTCTCAGAAAGCTGGTCATTTGATTGTTGTCTCCTCTTTAGTTTGAAATTCATATTTGTCAATGGTCAGCGTGTTCTAAAAAATAGAACTTGATTCCACATAAGCAGGTCTATCTGGTGGGGTTATTGGTGGAATATGTATTGGAGTAGTAGCTGGGCTTCTGCTGCTGGCAGTTTCTATGTATTTTGTACATTTCCAAAAGAAGAAAGACGACACGGAACCACTCTCTCAAGATTTCCAAGAGTTCTCTGTTCAAGAAGGGAAGGGTATGACTTTTTTCTGTAATAACTTATAATTGTCCCAACAACTCCTTCAGTTTTTCCATCTACCATTTCTGAAAGCTATTCTGAATATTTCCAAAGGCTCTTTGCTCATGTTGGGAAGGGTGTACTTGTTTTGATTCAATGACTCCTTTTTCAATCTCTCTACCATTTCCCTTTAGACATGGCTGAAGAAACTGTTGTAGATTTTACTTGATGCAATAGTTCTTCTGTAGCTTACTTTACATATAAAATCCTGCTCAAAGACCTCATTTGATTGTTCAATTATAGGTCACATGATACTTGTCTCTATTGGACAATCCCAAAGGGAAAAATTTTATTGTATCTGGCGCTGTTTCTAAATTTCTTATGTAGATATTTTCATTACTTGTTCATGGCGGCATCATATTCCTAGAAAATATTGAACAAAAAATGAAAAAATATTTAGGTCTTGGGAGAAATAAACCAACTTTAGTAATTACTTTTAACCAGGCTGTGTTTTTTTGGCATGACTTTAAAATTGTTCCTGCTGCATCAGGTTATCATTCGCTGTGCCTTTCATTGCAAACCTTTTTTATTTTTTTACCTTCTCTCATTCTGAGAAATTAATTAAAGATAGTAACTCCATATATTGTCACCTCCCTTTACTTTGTGTTGTTAGATGAGGCCTCTACTAATTTTGAATTTGAAACTTCAGGATATGGTGGTCCTACTGGCATCACAGTAGACAAATCAGTGGAGTTTTCATATGAAGAACTAGCTGCTGCCACAGATAACTTCAGTATGGCTAAAAAAATTGGTCAAGGAGGCTTTGGTGCTGTCTATTATGCAGAGCTGAGAGGCGAGGTAGTAACACACATATTGTTCGGGTTTAGTAATGATTGGTTAATGTTGGGGTTTGGACAAAATTATTTGTTTTGCCACTTTAAGACTTAAGAAGATAAGATCATATCTTCTCTGTCTGTGATATGCATGAGCAATTCACACAGAATCTTCTTTTGCTTATGTTTCAATTGGGGGGGGGGAGCTGGAAATAATAGGTTACGAGGATTAAGAGCAACTGAATTGATATACCTTAACAGCTACACTGAAGGAGAGAAAATGAATAGAAGATATGTAAACAGTTTTGTCAATATTTAGCCTTTCTTTTTTCCCCTGGATTTTGTTTCTCTGTTTTGCTGAGAACATTTTGCTTGGTTGTGCATAAAATGGAAGATTTGATTACATGATAACTATTGTTGTTAAATAAATAAGCAGTTTTGTTGCAGAGGGGACAGTTCATGCAGAATTACATAATACTCGATAATGCTCTTATTACGGATCAACAATTGCATGTGCTTTGTAGCTTTACCACCTTTAAACTAAAATTCCATATTCTCCTTAATTTAGTTTCCTTGGATGATTTTGCCATGCAGAAAGCCGCAATCAAGAAGATGGATATGCAAGCAACGAGAGAATTTCTAGCCGAATTGAAAGTCCTTACAAACGTTCATCACCTTAACCTGGTACAAAGTTGCTCAAATGCTAAACATTTACATTGCTTTTAAGTACCTAGTGATGTAGGAAGCAGGTGGAAATTTTTTTATTGGAAAAAGTGCATTGTGTCGCTACTGCTGTTACTCCTCTCATGAGCAAGTTTTTGGCCTATTATTGTTGAGTTTTGTGCTTCTGTTGTGATTAAAGGCATAAAACACGGATGCCACTATTTTCCTGTGTGAGTATGAGAAGGGATTAAATGACATCGGTGTCTAACACAATGATCTTTACAGCCTTTGAATAACTCATGTGTGAGTGTGATCACAAGGTTGCTTGGTATCTCATCCATCTATCCCAAAATTAAAGTGCAACAAATTTTAAAAAGGATATAAGATATAATCTATTTCATTACATAGCTTTTGTTATTTTTCTAAAATCTTTTCACGCTTGATCAACTTGGTGACTACTTCTAATTCACAGGTTGGAATAAAAAAAAGAAAAAAAATCCTGTAGCAAAATATTGAGGGGTGAAAGCAGACCTATTCTTATTCTTTTCTTTTCTTTTAAAGGCAACCAGAAATGCTTGAAAGGGAAAAGAAAAAGCAATAAAGAACCAGAAAGAGAAAGCAAGAAATTTATGCCCTAGTGGCCATGCCTATTCTTATTCTAGTGTCAATTGATCTCTCCTCTTCTATATATATATATATATATAGTATGCAACTATGCATCTTCTGCAGGAAGGAAATCATCATTTAAATACCTAGAATTGTTGGCCAAATTTTTAAGAATACATGTTCAAGTAATAACTATGTATTAATACCATGTAGGTGCGCTTAATTGGATATTGCACTGAGCGCTCTCTTTTCCTTGTTTATGAATACATTGATAATGGAAACTTAAGTGAACATCTGCGCGACTCAGGTTAGATCAGAAGTTATGGTAGTTCTTTTGCAAACTCTACATTTTGATTGCAATCATGTAATAATATTGTCCTAATTATTCCAGGAAGAGATCCGCTGCCATGGTCTATCCGTGTTCAAATTGCATTGGATTCTGCCAGAGGTCTTGAATATATTCATGAGCATACAGTTCCTGTGTATATCCACCGTGACATAAAGTCAGCAAATATATTGATAGATAATAAATTCCATGGGAAGGTTGGTATAATCAAGATGCTTGTCTTTATATTGACTTCTGGGGCTATTATAGATGTTCCTAAAATATTCATATTTGCAGGTTGCAGATTTTGGATTAACTAAACTGACTGAAGTGGGGAATGCGTCACTTCCAACCGGTCATCTTGTGGGAACTTTCGGATACATGCCTCCAGAGTATGCATTGTCTATCTTTTTTAGATCCAAAACCTTTATCTTTATCTTTTCTTTTTTGAGGCCTTGTTTTGGAGGATAGTGTAGATGGTGGAAAAAACCAACTGGTTTGGATGATTAAAAGGTCAAACTCGGAATAATGTTGGTACAGACAAGTTTCCAAATTATGCCTCCTCTCCATGCCATACCCCAATTCTGAATTTTGATATTTTCATTCAACCCTTTGTCATTCAGATACTCTTCATTTTCATTCTTTTCTATACAATTACTGTTGAAAACTCATACTTTGGACCCTCTCTAATCCATAGATAACTATGTTAACTTCCAAATAGGAGCAGGGTTAGTTATTGATGTAGAAAAAGAACAGAGGGAGATGAAAAATCATACTATTGATTCTCTCAAAACTGAAAGAAAAATCTACAGCCAATGGCTACCAAAGTACGTTGTAAAATATATGGTTAAAGATAAAGAGAATTCTTAATATTAAGAGGTGCCATCAATTATTTATCATTTTTTTCCATTAAACTTACGAGTAATAGAGAGGGAACTTTTCCTTTTCTTCCAACTCCCCCCCATCTCACCCCACTCTATGGATGACAACTGCGCTCTCTGAATTCCCAAACAAGCCCCAGATCCATTTTTTAATGAGAGAAAATGCAGTATTTCGAGTTTCATGGCTAACAAGTAAGCTTGAATTGGAAATATTGTATATTCATGTTATTCAGGAACACCTTTTAGGATTCATTTGAGATAAAATTTCACTATTATGTTTGTACGTTTATATTAAGAGTATTATGATCTTATCCACAGATACGCTCAGTATGGTGATGTCTCTCCTAAGGTAGATGTCTACGCTTTTGGAGTTGTTCTTTTTGAACTTATTTCTGCCAAGGAAGCCATTGTCAGGACAACTCAATCTGATGCTGACTCAAAGGCCCTTGTAACAATGGTCAATCTTGAACCTTGATCTCTTACATCTCTTTCCACTGTTATTATCATTATTATTAGTTTCAAATCAACTGGCATTATGCTTTTACAGTAATATAAACTTAAGGTTACATATGTTGTCAGTCGTCATTATTATTTATATTTCATGTAATGCAGTTTCATGAAGTTCTTGAGCAGCCTGACCCTACGGAAGATCTTTGCAAATTGGTTGACCCAAGGCTGGGGAATGACTACCCTATTGACTCAGTTTTGAAAGTATGTGCATTTGGGATTCAAATTCTCTTATGTTGCATTTGGATGTAAGGTGATTTGGATTTGGATTTGGATTTGAGTCAAATCTACCATTTGAAAATTTTTTATACTACTTTGACAAAGGATTTGAAATACATGGATTTTAAATGTGAGATTTTAAGTCTAAAATCCAAATCCATTGATTCAAATGCTACCTTAAGTTTCATTGAAACTTAAGGTGGTGTTTGAATTTTTTATTTTTGTCTATCTCTAAAACACTGTTTGCAAATCATTTTTGTCTGTCTTCCTAAAAAATTTACGATTCAAATTTCTCTCAACTTTGAAAGAATCAAATCCACACAATTTTTTATACCAGATTATGAGAATGATTGTTCTTCTGATTTCAACTATTCAATGTATGGCTTATGTCTTGCAGATGGCTCAACTTGCAAGAGCATGCACGCTAGAGTATCCCCAACTGCGTCCAACTATGAGATCTATTGTAGTTGCTCTCATGACACTTTATTCTTCCACTACTAATGATTGGGATGTCCAGGCCTTCTACAATAATCCGAATCCCATGAATCTGATGTCAGGAAGATAGAAATGTTGATGCAAATACTTTAATCTTGCCTTCAATCTGAGAAACTATTGAAGCACAAGATATCTATAAATAGAATTCTGGTATTGATCATGTAAGTTTCATTATGCACAGCGCACAATGACACAGAGGATTGTGTTTGGATTTGGATCCCCTTAATTGCTCAATTATACAAGAAAAGAGAAAGATGGAAATTAAGTGAGATCGCCGTGTGGGACCCACATTAAGAAGCACACCCTAACTCTGTCCCTATTTTCCATTTACTTGAACAATTGAGCAGTTGAGGGGATCTAATACAAATCAAGTTCTTCATGACCATTATTAAGACTTTGTTTAGTTACACCTAGTGGAAGGCGTTCCCTTGCTTGTTGTACAAAAATCTACTGGGGGCTCAAAGGAGCAGCGTAGGAGAGGCATTAGGGTTAAGAAGAGCTAGGCCAAAGTGATATATTTCTCATTTCCTTTCTAGAAAATAATTTTCCTTATACTAAACATTGTCTAAGTCTCACCATTTTCCCTGGTTTTTCCACTTTTTCCATCCTTTTCATTTGAAATGATGTTTGAGATGGATTGGTTGGCATTTATATTTTGTAAATTATTACACGTGTAGCTAGTTTCCTTTCTCTAAGATTATAGGTTTTGATAATGGATTGGTTGATTAGTTGATGTATACTCTCTTTTATTACTATTTAATGGTGTATATTTCTTCCTTAGTTGTGTGCTTTATAATTTATAGCTGGATGGGCTATGATTAAGGATACTTGGGTTTTATTCATTGGATTTTTGGGTATACCATCAATTAGATAGCTTGAGTTCACAAAGCTTGCAAAGACAAGTGATTTGCTTGCAGAATAGACACACAGGTTACAGCTATTAGTTGAATTAGATTTGCACTTAAGACAATTTGTTAATCGTGCATGACACTAGGGATTAATTTAATAAGAAGGTATTATATTTTATTAAAGTTGATAATGATAATTAAAGGCATAACAATCATAGGTAGTTTTTAGTCCTGTAGTCGCTAATAATAACAACTAACTACAACATAGTTTATTTTTCATTTCCTCTTGCTTTGTTTTCTCTCTCTCTTAATTTCCTCAATTTAAGCAAGGATGTGAAATTGGTACTTAACTGAGTTTTGAAATCAGAGAACGATGCCTTTATTCACTGTATATTATATTACTAATCCTGAGTTATAAACTCTCTCCGATCTAAATACAGAAGATTTTTATCTATTTTGCAAGGACTATAAAGATATTAAAATTATCTGTATTATTAAAATGGTAAAAAATGATCACTATTTTATATAATGTCCCAACATAACATGGTTATTGTGTTGAAATTATATCATACCATCATGAGCATGCTGTAAAAAACCTGATAATTGCTGTAAATAAGGAGAAAAAAAATGGTGAAATTGCCTATTTGTCTCTTGTCTGGTAAGAAAAAGCTGATTGAACACGAGTTTATTCCATTAATATGCATAGTATGGGATTATTAGTATCAGTAAAAGAAAACAGTAATGTCGTAGAAAAGCTAATTGAAATTTGAAACTAATTAAATTACATGTTTATTTATTGGTTCATCTACATCTAAAATTAGAAATAATAATTTTATAAATATATGACCATCCGCACTAATTATAAAAAAGAATATTTCCCACAAATGAAAATCAGAAAACAATCCACTGTATCAATGGACTCTGTTATTGTGGACAACGAAAGTAAAGAGAGAACGTTGGTGCATCTACATATGTCGACTTACCGTAAAATGACGTCGTTTTGAGGTTTTCTGGAGGATAATCTGCGAGCCGTTCACCATAAACAATCGCATCCGTTCGTTTTCCCGAGAACTGCAGAGCCGTTCTTCCTCTGTTCGCCGGAAAGAGAGTTATATGGAGAGACATGGCTGAGAAAGGATAGATGTAGAGCTCGGAATATTAGCCAATCCGGATAATATGGGATAAAGCATGTTGGTTGGGAAAAATATAGGTTGAAAGAGAAAGGAATATTGACCACGAAGATGATTAAAAAATTGGGGAAAGTATAATTTTTTATCCCTGTATTTTTAGCATATTTTGATATTAATCCTTATATTTTTATTTCATTTTTTTTCAAGTCTTTTAAGTTTCATTTGTCTGTAATATTAGTCTCTATATTTTTAAATATAATCATAAGGATTTAGCAGTGATTAAAATATTTATAAACTCTATTACTCTTGTACTCACTTGCTAAAATTATGATAAGTTGTATAAAAAATGAGTGGAAGGAAAGAAAAAAAAAAGCAGAATATTAAATTTGAATCCTTACACATGTAATGAATGAAGCTTTAAAAGGAAGAAAACACACTGCTAGCAACAAACAAACAAAAAGATTAATAACTATTTTGCTCATATAATATCCAACACATCATAATTTTATCAACTCACGAACAAAAATAAAACAAATTTATGTACATATCAATAGATTTAACTTTGATAATGATGATAAGGACTAACATTATAAACATATAAAATTTAAAAGACTTGAAACAATGAAACAAAATTTTTTTTGGACTAATACTAAAACAAGTTAAAAGTATGAGGTCTGGCAATTGTATTTTTTTTCAAAAATTTAAGACCCTTTCTACTAGCAAGGTTCACTATTGGTTTAATATATTGAATTGGAGGAACTAAAAAAAAAAAATTAGTTATCACATTACACAGGTTTTATAACCCAACACCTGAGATTGCTAGGTTAATTGCTTTAGATTTTAATAATCCCCCCAAACCTTAGACTGGGCCTTTGTAAAAAAAAAAAAAAGTTATAAATTTAAGATATCAAGAAACACTTGGTTCAATTAGTTAAAGAAATTGAATTAATTTATTTAGGATCTCAAATTCAAATTTTAAGATATGCAGTTGTGTTTAAATATACCAAAGTCATTAAATTAGTTTGTATTCACATAATGGTAGTGTATTGGAGTTGGTAATACTCTCAGAATTTCCATAATGTTGTGTAGTTTATATTAGTTTGGATTTGAGGTGATAATAGTCTCATAATTTCCATAACAGAGAGTGATGGAATAAAGATAAAGGTAATAAAATGAGAGAATTACACTGCAAGCCTCTAGAACCAATACATTAACATTAAATTATGCCAAATAGAATATGAAATAATTCTATATATTCAAAGGTCTCTCTCACAATTAAGTTTTCAGTAAAAAAATAAAATTTTTCCTTTATGAAATACACAACAAACCATCCATAAATAACATTTAAAATATATTTAACAACAAAACGTCCATTTATCTTACATAATTTGTGTGATTTACACTTATTAAAAGAGAATAAATTTACAATAGAAACTCTATATAAATAAAATTCAAATTCCATTTATTGAGAACAAAAGGTCCATTTATTTTATAAAGGAGCAATTTCATCTTATCTAAAAGCTTAATTGTAAGAAAGTCTTTGAACTTGAAAAATTATTTTAGAGGTTCCATATTCGGAGACAGATGAACAAGGTAAGTAGTGGTTCTTATCAGAGGTGAATTTTCTCCCTTGTAAAAGAGAGAAATAAAGAAACCAATACAGATCTAAACCGTTAAATTAAATTTAAAAATTTAAATTTGATAATTTTTAAAAATACAAATTTAATTTAAACGCTTTGAACTTACAGTAAAAAAATAGTAAAAAAAAAAAAGTAGAGGAGAGAAATAATCCACCCCGGTTCTCACCAGCCCTGCCCCTTAGTAAAAAAATATGCTTTTTGCTGGTAAAGTAGTTAAAAATGGATTTTGGCTTTTCCTATTCTTTATTTTCTTTTCAACTTGGCCTTCCCAAACTAGTGAACTCTGGATCTGTGTCTGTCTATTTTAAGCTTTTAATACAAATATATTGATTCTGGGGCCTTGCAGTGCAATTATCCCTAATAAATTTGAGATTTTTTTAAGGCGCCATTTTCGTGAATGTCCATTTCAAGGGCAACGACCGTCAACGTCTGTGAAAGAGTGGGGAGAGGAGGAGGAAGGTACTGGTTGGACATCGTCCGACAAGCCAAGCTTTGCCCTTTGGGACGCATAGATTCTTAATTAAAACCTTAATATAAATCTTAAAACCTCAATTAATTAGTTGATCGATAAATAAGCAAATAAATAAATTCTCAATCAATCAATCAATCAATCAACAAGATTCGTTACGTCATGTTGTTCTCACTATCCTAGCTTTAACTATTCATATACATGCACGTCTCCTCCACATTATACGAAACAAGTCAACTGTTCACAATCTGTGCTTCCATGTAATTTATAAATCATTTTTATTAATCGCAACTATCAATATAATAAAAATATAAAAAATAAAAATAAATAAAATTTTAAATATAATTCTCAAATAAAAAATAAATAAATTATATAAGAAAAAATATCACTTCAAATCCTCATACTTTATTTGTTTGTGTTTATTATTGGTTTATATTTTTTTATTTTTTATTATTTTAAGTCCCTTCATGAATAAAGTATGGGGATTTTAAAGTAATTTAAAATAATAAAAAATAAAAATATATAGATAAAAAACACAAAAAAAATATAACACTAATAGCAAAATATAAGCAAAATATGAGGATCTAAATTTATGTTTTTTTTCATTATATAATATTATTTTTAATCTCTCTATCTTATTTTCAAATATAGTTTGAACATTTTAATTTAAAATAAAATAATCCCATACCTAGTGAGTTATAAAATGGATCAAATAATTGTTCTTTCACAAGACATATCATATAAAAGAGTGGAGGGAGTATCATCAAATCTCATTGAATATTCAACCTAATCTTTTGAAATACTTGTCATTGGCTGTCCTTGTTATGATTGTTGTCTATGTTCTTATTTTACTCTATCCTCTCCTTAATATATGACACTTTTTAAAAATTTTATTTGGTTCTTCCTAATATTAGATATATTTTATAAAATATAATGAAGCATCTATGAATTATTTCAACAAATACTCAAATTTTTAATTGAGATGGTATACTGGTATTCAAAAATAAAAGTTAATAAATTATAAGTAATTCGAGGATGTTTATTAATTTTTGAAGAGAGACCCTCGGTTAATTTTAAAATTCCTTTATTAATTTATAAAGGTTCATATATTTATTTAGAACATAAAATAAACGGTATTTTTTATTATACTATCTTTTATTTTTTATATGGATATATAGTATAATTTTTTTAATTTTTTATGAATAAAAATACTTATGTTATCGCTCAATGAAAAATAGTAAAAACAATTAATAACAATACCAAAAAAATAATATACAAAAAAATTATACATTTCAACTTTTATTTCAAATTTTTTATTTGCACCAACCAAGACATGAAATTATGCAAATATGTCAGAGGATGTGAATTACGTGTGTTTGACAGGACTAAGCTAATTTCAATTTTCAACATAACTAGAGTATGCTCCTGTACGATGTAAAGGGACGCCTCAGCCTTATTGAAGTTTTTTTTTTTAAAAAAAAAATATGTTAACGTTGTTTTTCACTGTAGAAGAAACAGTAATAAAAGATTACATTTTACAAACTGTCTCAAATGTTGGGATAATAGTGGTCGGCCTGAAGAATGTTGATTAAAGCTCAATATTGATGGTATTGTTAACAGGTGGCTTGGGGACACGAGTTGTGAAGGAGTTATAAGGGATTATACTGGTGACTAAAAAAGGGGTTTTGTTAATAAAATGGGTAAGTGTACAGTTTTGGAAGCAGGGTTATGAAGATTATGGTTTGGGTTTCTTTTATTGCAAAAATTAGATCTAAAGAAAGTTATAATTGAATTTGACTCTACTATACTTGTACATATGTTGAAACAAGTGTTGTCATGTACTTGTGTGAATATCTGCATGACACATACTTATCAAAAAAGAAATTTTAGTATTGACTGATTGGTTAATTGAAGTCTCTCACAGGAATGTGGATTATAAATTTTAAGTGAGCCTCCTAAAAATTTACTTGATATATTGTATAGGAATAGACTGGACTTGACTTACCCACGATTAGTTTCAATCTAATTTTATTTGAGCTTTGTCCTTCTATGTATCAAAAAAAAAAAAAGAAAAACAAAGAAAAGATGCAGCCGTTGCAAGAGTACAACCACGATAGATGTTATATAGAAGTGACTGTTTCGATTAATTTTAGTTCATCATTCGACAAAATAATTTGGTGAGAGTCTTTACGAGCAAAAATTAATTTTAATTTAACTTTTTAATTTTTCAGGTTTAATTTTTAATTTTTAATTTGATTAGAGTTTATCAAACGAGTTAAATAACATCATACTGTTTTTAAATAAATCATCTGGTATCTAAAGTCAAACTTCTAATAATTAATTCAAATGGTTAAGATTCTTTTGAGAAAATTTTAAATGCTGTGTTATTGTATTTTCAGAATTCAAATTTGAGCCTTTTGGTTAAGCTAGTAAACTCCCTTGCTAGTTGAACCTAGTTAAACCAAGCATTTGCCGGTTCATCAGACTTTATATATATAAAGCATACCAAAAGTGTTATAAAAATATTTTGATAATTTTGAAACATTAAAATATTAAATAAAATATAAATCTTGAGATATTTAGAGCTAAAGAATAAGGAGTATAATTACATTGATGTTTTTAAATTCGAACATGCATGTTTACCATAATTAAAAAAATCAAACTTATTCATGTTTGTCACCAACCGTTAAATCATAAATAAATCATTAATATATTCACAATAAATCCTGTCCTTTTCAATTCATTTACCTATACCAAAATTCATTTTTATTATTTTTAGTATACTAATATTCATTTTTTTTAAAAATTGTTTAGCAGCAAAATATGGTTCTGAAAATTGAGTAGGAACATGGTGGGACAGTGGCCGACAAGCTGGCTTTGGGGAAACACAAACAAACAAAACCGAACATCCTCAATCAACAAGATTTCCCACGTCATTTTATTCCCTAGACCTCTTATTGCCTTCTTTAATTATTCATCTTCACGCTTCAATCATGCACCATAACCAACAATTTTTTTTTTTTTAAAACTAAGTCAACCAATAATAATTGGTACCTCCTTTGCCTCTTGAACTCAATGATCAGCTTTCTCGTCCAAAGAGATACCTCTTGGGAATTTACAGTTCATGTTTGTGTCCATATTCGTTCCCAAAACATGACAAAAAGACAAAGCTTTCGTTTAGGGCTTTCATCAGAAACACAGAAAACCCAGCTTCGTTTTGTATATACAGCTTTCTCATTTCTCCTCTCTGATCCAATAATGAAACCCAAAAACAATGTTTTCAAACTAGTGTTCCTCCTTGTGTTGTTAGAAACATCAACTTTTCTCCTCAACAACGTAGAATCCAAGTGTCTCCAAGGATGTCCTTTAGCTTTAGCATCCTACTACGCTCGAAAAACCACTCTCAATAATATAATTAAACAGTATCTGAGATCAGATCTTGTTTCATCATACCAAGTTGTTTCCAGCTACAACAAACAAACGGTACTGAATGGAATCTACATTCAAGCCTTCACTAGAATCAACATTCCATTCCCTTGTGATTGTATCAATAATGGGGATTTTCTGGGTCATGTGTTTGAGTACACAATAGTAAAAGGAGATACTTATGATTCCATTGCGACAAAAAAATATGCTTCGTTGACCACAGTGGATTTACTGAGAAGATTCAATAATTATAGTGATCCAGATAATCTTCCTCTCAAGGGGAAGCTTAATGTCACTGTGAATTGTTCTTGTGGGAACAGACAGGTTTCTAAGGACTATGGATTGTTCATTACTTATCCACTTAAGATTGGAGATAGCTTGCAATCTATTGTGAACCAGACTGGTCTTGATGCAACGTTGCTTCAGAGTTACAATCCTGGTGTGAATTTCAGCCAGCAGAGTGGTGTGGTTTTTATTCCAGGAAAAGGTACGATCTTTTTTTTTTTTCCTTTTCAATTTTGTGAATTTGTGAAATTTAATCAGGGATTTATCCATATGTATAGGCGTAAAAGATTTGGTTTTTGGAAGTTTTGCTTTGTGTTTCACTGTCATAAATCTCTAAATGGTGATAAAAACACATGAATAATAACTTTTCCTCTTCTTCTCAAAGACTCGTTTCAGCTCAAACTTTTAAGTTCTTATAACAGAAATCATGAATAATTTTGTTGTAACATGATAACTAGTTTGGATAGAAGGACATACATAAAAGTGTGCTTGTTCCTGACAAACAAGACTTATTATAACATATGAGAGATTTTTGTTGGGATGTATAAGTATGAACAGACCTAAGCCTATGTAAAAAGTTAATCTTAATAATTAATATAAAATAAAAAACTTTGCATTAAGATATGATTTGTATCATTTGATTACACTGCACTACTCTTGCCGATGTTGTCTTGGTTGTTATTGTTGCTACTCTTACAATTATTATTATTTTAATATGAAATCTCTAACTTCTTAATTTTGTTTCATTTTCAAGATCAAAATGGAAATTACGTGTCCCTCGACCCAAGGTATATATCTTGTTTTGCCTTACCTTGCACATAATATCATGTATGGTTCTCTTGCTTATCCTACAATATTGGTGATTTTCTTCTTGCGTTTGCTCTTCCCTTTTTGCAGATCAAGAGGTTTGGCCTTCTATCATCAAACAAGTGCCTCATATCTCATAATTTTTTATATAATTTTCTCAAGAGCTCACAAAGAAATAAAAGCGAAAAAAAAAGTAAGTACACTTCGTAGAGATATTGAAGGTTGTATTTATATCTATGTATTTGCCTCTATATGATCGAGCAGGTCTAAATGGAGTTACTATTGGTGGAATAAGCGTTGGAGCAACATTTGGGTTTCTGTTGTTAGCAGGTTATGTCTTTGTCAGACATTCCCAAAGAAAGACAGCGAAAGTGGCTTTGTTTACAGAAAATTCCATAGAACTCTCAAATCAAGACGGTACTCACTACATATAATTTCATCTCTTTAGTCCTAAATAAATTCTCTGAAGATTTTGACATATAGCTATACTCTCCTTTCATAACTTAGTGCTCCTTTTCTAGTTGAATAGTAACACACACACATGGATTAATTCCAGGATCGGTCTCAAGAAATTGTATTGGATTTGATGATGTCATCAACCTTTTGTCCAATTAGGTGGATCCACTAAGGGTCAAGACTCTCTCCTCATGTTTATTTATTAATATACTATTCCCGGCCTATTTATACAAAAAGCTAGCAAAACAAAAAGTGAGGAAAAAAAGAGCATGCTTAATTTATTTATTTTTAAAAAATAATTCATGGTTTTTTTTAATTACATTCCTATATATTAGAAACTACTAGCTACCACCAACTCGCTACTACCTCTTGCTATTAGCATTAACCTCCATTTCTAACTATCACTAGTTGTCACTGTCAATTCCCACTAACCATCACTATTGATTACCATCGTCATCTATCGCCATTATTCATCACCATTTGTTGCGTCATTAGCTAACTATCATTGGCCATCACCAACTAATTAACTACCACCTACTACTATCATCGGCTGCTATTGATTACCATCATTCCTATCATGACCATCTTGCTGGCAACTACCATTGGCCATAGCCAATTGTTACCATAAGTCATTACTATTAATTATTCATGACTATTACTATCAGCCAATTTTTTTAGTTCTAAAATGGCTTTCAAATTAACATAATTAATTAAATATATTTTTTATTTTATTTTGGAAAACATTTAAAAAAATAAAAAAAAGATAACAAAATCAAGTAAGCCCAAAAATACTGTGTTTATTGTGTTTTTTATGTTCCCGCAGACTCTCATGACCTCTGGCATAATTTATTGACTTTCTTGATCTGATGAAACTTTCAGAATCTGGAAGTGTTGTTTATGAAACTTCAGGATCTAGTGGTTCTGCTAGTGCTACTGGTCTTATAGGTATCATGGTTGGAAAATCAGTGGAGTTCTCATATCAAGAAATAGCCAAAGCTACCAACAACTTCAGCTCCAATAACAAGATTGGTCAAGGAGGTTTCGGAGCAGTATATTATGCTGAGCTAAGAGGCCAGGTTCGATCGAAGCTTCTCGAACCTTCTGGAATTAATTAAAACTTATAATCTCTGTTTTAGTACATAACGTACAGTTGAAAAATATATAATCCCTTGTTCCATGCAGAAAACTGCGATCAAGAAGATGGATATAGAAGCATCACAAGAGTTTCTTGCTGAGTTGAAGGTTTTAACACATGTTCATCATTTGAATCTGGTATATTACATCCTTTCAGACGTAGCACAGCTTCAGGATCTGTATATGATTCTTGTCTGTTTTATTGCTTTCATGAATTAATTATCCCTAGTTAGCTTTTGAATTATATCTTAAGCACTTACCTATTTTGATCTCTCTGGATGATACAAAATATATAGGTGCGTTTGATCGGATACTGTGTGGAGGGATCGCTTTTCCTTGTTTATGAATACATTAATAATGGAAACTTAAGCCATCATTTGCGTTCCTCAGGTGAGATCATCATCTTGCAGTAATCAACTTGCTTTTTCCTGCCTGATGTATACTTCACTATGGCCATATACATAATTATAATAATTCAGCAACTATTTCAATTTTTTGGCTTTTTGCATTAATCACACATCAAGGCTTGTTACTTATTTCTTTCAGAAGGACTCACCACATATTTAATAGCTGTGATTAATTCTCTAATCACTCCACATGATACTATCATACATGGAATAACAACTAAGTCAGCTCTAACTACTATAAAAAAAAAAAAAGACCTAAGAGAAGGTCCTTATCCTTGCATGTAAAAGTACTCTAAAATGTAAAACGAGAACCTATATGAGTGCTCCCATAGGCAAAGACCTACCGAACACTTCTTATAAGGAGAAGTGGTTATAGTCAAAAATAAAGGCCAAGCTTGAGAGGCCACTTGTTTAATCTTGTTTTTATAAGATCTCGGATTTAAAAAAATATTGTTTTTGTTTTTGTTTTACCTATAAATTTAAATTATAAATTGAATTTAAACTTTAGAATATATGTTTATACTTTTTAAAATTAAAATTTCTAAAATTTATTTTAAATTTTTAACACTAATTTTTATTTTAAAAAAGAATATGAAATATATGATTAAAATTTTTAATTTTTTAAAAACAAACAACGACAACAGGAGGCTGATAGGTCAAGCTTGAAAGGTCAAACTTCATAAAGTGATTGGTTTTGGGGTAATTATTGAGCTTGAGCTCATATAAGTTCGACTTGCTTGTTTCCTAGCTCTAAAACGCTCCCATAGGTCATTATTTAATACCTAGAGCTTGATTTTCTTTTCATAATCAAGAAGATCTCCTTGTACTTCCATGATGCCTAAGAAATAAACTGCATTATTGACGGTTAATGGATACTGTACCATTTGATTTAAATATGTTTATCCTCCTTATACAAAGGTATATATCTTTCATTGTGATATATGTATATTTACACTTCATAATGGCATGTATAGTTATCATAATTATCAATGCATAAGGAATAAATCATATATTTTAATTTCCACGGCTAACGAGCAGCATGATTTTCTATATAGACTTTTGTAATTTATATTGATGAATTATTGATAATTAGATAAACATAGATTTTATGGTTATTAGATCCATTGCCATGGTCAACAAGGGTGCAAATTGCTCTTGATTCAGCAAGAGGTCTTGAATATATTCATGAACATACAGTGCCTGTATATATCCATCGTGACGTCAAGTCTTTGAATATATTAATCGACAAAAGCTTCCATGCGAAGGTACGTAGATCTGTTTTTGTTTTAAATTTCTGTACTTGTGGTCGATTCGTTTTAAAAAAAATAAAACAAAATTGTTTAGTTAATCTATGGAAGTTCTCACCTTCAGGTGGCAGATTTTGGGTTAAGCAAACTCATTGAAGTTGGAAATGCATCGCTTAACACTCGTCTTGTGGGAACATTCGGATATATGTCTCCAGAGTATGATTATTTTATATTCCTATTTATTTTTATTTAGTTTTTTTGGTTTTTGTGTAATGTAGATTTGTGTTTGGATAGGGAATATTAGAAATCCATGGAATTTGAAATATAATGCTAGAGAATTAGCTTCATCTTTGGACAAATTAATTAATTAATTAAAATTATAATACCCAGCAAAATGCATGCATGCCTACTTTGTGCTACTAGCTAGCTTAGCAGTCCCGGCCCCAATCTTGCTATGTTTTATTATATACTTCCTCCATTTAAAAATATAAGACATTTTTTGAGGAGTTAGATACTCAAAAATGTAATGTATTTTTAATCTTTTTGAGGTGTAATCATTGTCTTTTTTTTTTTTTTAAAATACCCCTATTGATCGTGACTTTATATTTATTATAAAGTATTTAATATGAGTAAATATGAAAAAATAGGGTTATTTGAAAGTAGGTAACTATTTTATTAGGGGTGAAATTCAGTTAAAAATGCCTTACATTTTTGAACGGGAGGGGTGTCAAATAATATAAGAACGTACAGGATAAGAAAATATGTAAAACAATTATTATGTTTGTGTGCCTAAACGTTGAAAATGCCATGTGTGGGGAATGAAACTTTTTAGGATAATATAAAGTATCCCTTCCATTTACTTGTATAAAGTGTATTAGACAATTTTCACGCATATATTAAGAAAATTGTTAGATTTTTCCTTGTTTTTTTTAAATTCCGATATTTCCATTATATCCTTATTAATTAAAGGCAATATCATCATGCCTTATTGATCAAGTTAATTACAAGAAAGCTTTTAAAATTATAGAAGTAAAACTGGAACATTAGTTGATATTCTAATTAGATAAAAAGCGCCTCATAATTTGGATCAACTTTTTGTTTTGGAAGACATAGGAAATATGAAACAATACAATTGTAAAATATAAAAAGTATAAAAGAGCTATACTGTTGAACAAGACACTTGCATGTAATGTAACCCATCTCGAACTCAGAGCATTAGCTATGTTGTGTTATTAATATCATTGCACTCTCACATATAGAAGATACAATGTGCTAATTAATAGGATAATGAACATACTTATGGTTAATTACGTACATGCAGGTATGCTCAATATGGTATAACATCTCCAAAAATAGATGTATATGCTTTTGGGGTTGTACTTTATGAACTCATTTCTGCTAAGAATGCTGTCCTTAAGACTGGTGATCAATCTGTTGCTGAATCCAAGGGCCTTGTATCTCTGGTCAGTCATCTCCCCACACAAACACACGCCTCCTCGTCATTGAACATTATCAATATGAAGTGTTCCACATTATTTTATTAATCACTAATTTTATAAGTCACTTTGTATTAAAAAATTAATTGATTATTTTCTTCCAATTCTACCGTTTTGCGATTTCGTTTGAGTAGAGTAAAACATTATATATGAGAGATCAATTGCATTTAAACACGACTCATTTAATAAGGGTAAGCCAGGATTTTGTTTCCTTTTTTAGACAACATTAATGATGTAAATACATTTTCTTAGTTCTAGTGAGCTAGTCAGAAATGACTTATATATAGAATTAGAAGGAGTAACTCGAATCTATTTTAGCCATATAGTTTCTCCATTCTTTATTAGAAGATATCTTTCATAAGTTACTTGATGGTGTATCAATATTATCCCTATTTAAATAAAGTTATTAACTTGACTATCAATATCTTTAAGAAGATGCCTTGTAATAAGTACCGAAGAGCGTGGTTTGTACTCTGTAAAGAGAGACAGACATTATTGTAGTAGGTCTTGTTTGACAAGGGGAGCATATGTCTATATATGCAATTTACATCTTTTAAAACCAGTTCATGATGACAAAAGCTTGTGAATAGTTATGTCTGAATCTGAGTTTTTTTTTTTTTTTTTTGGCTTCACTTGTTATCCATTAATATTGCAGTTTGAGAAATCTCTTCGAAGGCCTGACGCTGTTGATGATCTTCGCAACCTTGTGGATCCTCGACTTGGAGAAAACTACCCCATTGAGTCAGTTTTTAAGGTAAAAAATGTAGACAATATTTCTCCAAGAAAATAATATGAATATTTGTGTGACAATATCATCATAGTTTGGTTATTGGTATCTTGCATTTCTTAATGTCATTGATATCCTAAAGTAAAAATAAATACAAACTAATAAAAGACATTAAACTACTATGATATCTAAGATTTGGATGGAATTGAATTTGATGCTTATTATTAACATGAAATCTGAACCACTTAAATTGGAACTGGGTGGTCTAAATTTACCTTTATTTTTTTTAATGTTAAAATAAAAAATTTCTTAAAAAAGTAATGGTTAAAATTATTTTTAAATTAGATTAATCATGAAATTTAAAAATAAACAATAACATCAAATCCAAACTTTTGAATTTTAACCCATTTTCAAAACACTCCCGTAAGCCAAAGAAAAATATGCTCTCCTAAACATTTTTTTTATAGTAATGCTTAGATAGTTTAGATAAATATGGATTTAAATCCTCTAAAATTAACATTATATAAATTTCATGAATTTTTTATTTTTAAAGAAGAATAGAAAGATTTTATATTTTATAAAAAATAATAAAATAAAAAATACTGAAAAAAATTTTAATGGAAATTCATGAATATCGATTTCAAAGGATTTAAATTCAGATGAATATTGATCGACACCTCATACTTTTAATTGTTATGAGCATACCGATTCCATTTTACTTTAAATCCTTTTTTGTCAAAATCCATGCCACAACTTTCCTATATGAAAATGAAATCATCAATGTGCCAAATAAACATCAAAGTGTGTTCTGATAATCTTCTCCTTAATTAATTACTAATTAAAAATACTAATATTATTGGGATTAATTAATTAAATGTTTGTTTGGTTTTGCAGATGGCCCAGCTTGCTAGAGCTTGTACACAAGATGATCCACAGCTACGTCCTACTATGAGATCTATTGTTGTTGCTCTTATGACACTTTCATCTTCTGATGATCAGGATTGTGATGTCGCCTTTGACCTCCCTGATAACCAAACCATCATAAATCTACTCTCTGGAAGATAACACTTTAACTTTGAGGGCCAAGCAAAAAAAGAAGATATATATATATATATATCCCATTTTGTAAATCGAGTCATAAACGAAATAATAATTTGATATGTGGATTATTGATTATTAGGCTTAATATATTTTGCTTTGTTAGTCCTATTTGATATATAGTGTATGAGTGAGTCAACTTATAGAAATATCAGTCACTGTATATTATTAGAATTCTGTTTTAGACTTTATGTGCAAAATCTGTATTATTTCTGAGGATTAACTTGTGTTTCTGACTTGATTTTTGAAATCATCAATGCCACCAATGCTGCTTATTTCTTATATTTTGTCTAATGTATTGGCTCCACAACTATTCTATATCAAGAGATAACGTAGAATATGATGAGTTTCTGTTGGAAAGATGATTTTGTTCCAAAAAAAATTATTTAGAGAAGATATTGCCCCACCCTTCAATATAGGAGCACTATTAGAAAATGTAAATTAGCAAGAAAATTTAGTGAGGGATTATCTATTTCTCTCTAAAATACCAAATTAGCGAGGAAATTAGTAAGAGATGTTGATTTTATAGCTTGATTTAAAATTAATGACAAAAATGGCTAGAGTTTGTCAATCTCTCTCTAAAATAAGAAAAATAGCAAGAAAAATAGTGAGGTTGCCAATCCCTTTTTAAAATAAGAGAAACAGCAAGAAAAATAGCGATGGCCTATCAAACCTTCTTTAAAATAAGACAATTAGTGTGAAAAATAGCAAGAAACTATAAATTCTTCTCTAAAATAAGATAATTAGCAAGAAATTCTACCCTTAGCTAATTACTGCAAAAAAAAATTAAAATTTTGAAAATGACTTCTAATTATATATTAAATTATTTTTATTTAAAAATAAAAATTAATTTTAAAAATTAACTAAAATATTCGTAATAAAATTATTAATATTTTCTTTATTTTAAGCTGATTTTCATTGACAAAATAATATTTATTAAAAATATAATATAAAGAATAATTTAAATAAAATATAAATATTTTTAACATATTAATAATTGAAAATAAAATTTAATATGTGCATGTATGTGTATTTTTATAATATATTACTCCCTCAGTTAAAAAATAAAAGATATTTTTTGAGGAGTTAGATGTTAAAAAATGTAAAGCATTTTAGTCTTTTGAAATGTAGTTATTACTTTTTTTTTTTTCAAAAGTGCTCCTATTGATAAATGACTTTATATTTATTATAGGGTGTTTAATAAGGATAAATATAAAAAAATAGGGTTAGTTTGAAAGTACGTAACTATTTTTTTAAAGGTGAGATTTGATTAAAAATGCTTTATATTTTTAAACGGGGAGAGTATTTGATATATTTGTATAGTTAAATAATATATATTTAATTTTTCATATAATGACTATAGATGCTTTTCAATTTAACTAACAAAAAAGGAGAGTATAAGGTTTGAAAGGGATCAGATCAGTGGTTCAAATTTTGGCTTTGGCATAAACATAATAAATATATGACATGGTAAGAAACAAGTGACATGATGCAAGGTGGATATGATATGTCATGAGTTGTCGCACATGTGGCACACGGTATGGTAAGTGATAAGGCACGAGGTTGTTAGTGACATGTTATAAGTTGACGCACACATAATAGGTAATGTGGCAGAACTATTTTTAAATATAAGCATATTTAGTGAGGGACTAATCTCTCACTAAAGTTATTGAATTTTGAATAATATTAGCAAATAATTAACTAAGGATTCAATCCCTCACTAATACGATCTCTCACTAAATTTAGTGAATTTTTTTTAGCTACTAATTTAGTAAAAGGCAAAATCCTTCGCTAAAATGCAATTTAACTAAGGAAAATAACATTTAATAAGGGATTTATTCCTCGCTAAATTTAATTTTTCTAGTAGTAGGTGCACAACGCGCTTTGAAAAAAGTTTAGGAAGAAAAGTAATCTTTAACCCTAAAAAATATTATCATAAACAAACTGATTTTTTATAATTAAGAAATTTTGGGCTTGTTTGGTTTTGTTCTATTTTTTGTTTTTTAAAACTAGTTGTTTGATAATGTTGGCATTAAATGCAAATTCAGGGCAATTTTTTATTTTGATAATCCTTTTGTCAATTTATAATTAATTCATGAGACATATTGTATTATCTTTTCATGATAATTATTACATTTATTTTTTGTCTTGTATATTAAAAATTAAGAATATTAGTGTAAAATGATCATGCTTACAATTTTGATTTGATCTTGAATCAAAATCAAAGTAGATTAATGTAATTAGTATTGTAAAATATTGAAATCACTATAAACTAATCTAATATTATAAAAGAAGGTGAAGCAAAAACTTCATTTACTCCACCAGAAACTTCCCTTCGTTTGACTTAGTATTTAATGTAGATGTTTTTGTTGATCACTATAAAAAAATAGCATATTAGCGACGGAATTTAGTGATGGAATAAATTTTCATCGCTAATTTAACGACAGAATATTCTGTTATTAAAATTTTATCATTATTTCATCACTAATTCAATGAAAATAATTTACCGATAAAAAATTTCATCACTTATAGTTAAGATATCTTATTCGGATTTAGTGATAGAATTTGCAACAAAAAATTTCATTACAAAGCTTTCTGTCATAATTCTGTCACAAATTATTTTTAATTTAATTTTATTATTTATAATATATATTTATATGTAATTTATTTTATAATTTATTACTATGCTATAAATAAATAATTTAAAATAATTTATTATTTTAAATTATATGTATATTATTAATAATATTTTAAATTGTATACTTAATTATTCTTATTTAAAAATAAAAATAAAATAAAATAATTATAAAATAAAAATTTAAAATATTATATATTATATAGATACAAATTATAATATAATATATAATGATAATAAAATATTTTTCAATTTAATATTAAATTTATTATCAAAAATAATTTTTTAAAATAAAATATAATAGAAATAATTATTATATATAAATTAAAATTTTCATATTAATAAATAAATATGTTAAAAAATAAGTAAATTTAAATACTATATTTAATAATAATTTAAATAATATATTTATTAATATATGTGTGTATGGTTAAGTATTATATATTTAATTTATCAATTAAGACTAAAAAAATTTTTTAGCTCAATTGGCAAGAAGGTGGACGCAAAGGCATGTGGGAGTATGAGGTTGCACATTTGAACTAGGGGTGTTCACGGGATGGGACGGGATCAGGACACTCCCGTCCCATGTCCCATCCCGAAAAAAAGATCGGGACTGAATTTTGGTCCCGTGTCCCGTTCCGTCCCGAAAATCATCCCGTCCCATTAAGAGTCGGGGCGGGACCGGGACAAAATCGAAACATCCTGCTGTCCCGATAAATAAAATAATGTCGAAAAAAAATCTGGATAATAACGTTCATTAAAATTTTAAATCATATAATTTATTAAGTTTAAAATCAAAATAACACAAGCACATAAATAACAATAATTTAAAATTAATTATTGAATTATATTAATCACAACTACATATTATAATAACAAATACAAGTGATCTTTATGCTATAAGATTAGCAACAACAGGCAAGTCAAACACAATATCAAATCATTGTTTTTCTACTTTAGTGAAGATGTACTAAGCTAATTACTCTTCTAAAAATAAGCAAGAAATATGTTATAAATAAAAGTTATTAAATAGATAGATATAAGAATAAATTATATCAATATAATTAATATATTACAAAGAAAGATATCACATGTTTACTCTATGCCATTAAAATTATCAATATAAAAAAATTTTAGTTTTAAATAAGAATTGCAAATATTAAAAGTATAATTGATATACTTAATATAAGTATAAATTATATTAATATAATTAATATATTTAAAATAAAAAATAATATATATAATATTCGGGACGGGACGGGACATCCTGATGGTAATCCCGTGTCCCGTCACGTCCCAAACCTCTTTCCTGTCTCGTCCCGTAAAGTCCCGTCCCGATATGATCGGGACGATACCGGGCCAATCGGGACTGGTCCAGACTGAACACCCTTAATTTGAACCAAGCCAAGGCACAATTGAAAGTAATAATATTTAAAATGATAGTGACAAATGACATGACAATGATGTAGCAGTGAGGTGGCACTGGTCCATTGGGTAACTAAGATGTAGCGGCGACATAGCAGTGAGGTGGCACTAGTCCACTAAGTGACTAGGTGGTGGTGAAGTGGCATTGATCCACCGGGTAACGTGACAATGGTATTTTAGTCCATCTAATAAATTAACGACGGAATTAGCTTGTTGGAAAATTAACAACGAAATGCATTCCGTCACAAAGTTAGAATAACTTTATCCTTATTTACTGACAGAAAATGTGTCTCTATTCCGTTGAAAATTAGTGACGAAATACAATTGCATCGCTAATTCCATTACTAATTAGTGATGGAATTGCAAATTCTATCACTAACGAATTAGTGATGGTATTTTCACCGATGGAAATACTCTGTTGCTAATTTCATTGCTAATTTGTTTAGTGACGAAATTTTCACTGATAAGCAATGAAATTTTTCGTCGCTAATCAGTTATTTCTTTTATAGTGGATGCTGCTATCTCAACTAGAGTTTGTCACAAACATAAGTTTGCTTTGTTCTCAATTACAAACACAAGGATCAATTTAGAGATCCAAAAGACTATGCTGCTACATTTTGTTAGTCTTTTGGATTTGTTTTTTGCTTTTCTCTTTCTAATTATGGTTTGGGTTCAACTATTTTCTGCTTTCTGTATGGTCGGGTTAATTAAATATTGATTAGTTTTCAATTCAAGAATGAACTCATTGGCATTTTATATGTGTCCAGTGAATTGGCATTATTTTTGTTGGTTCCTTTCTTCACCATTGTGAGTTTATATCTTCACCATTTGCATAATCAATCACAGCTTCAACTGGGTCTTTAGATTTCTCCTTAATTGGTTGGACTTTGGCTTTCAAGACACCATATTTACTCTTCCTATGGGAAGTTTCAACTTGCTTCATGCTCCTTCAACTCTTTGAATGGTTCAAATGCATAGAGGTTGAGATTCAATTTTTCAACAAAGCTCATTGGTATCCAGATTCTGCAGAAAGGCTTGGATGGAGTTATGGTGTTTTGTGTCTTCTTTTCCCTAAATGTTTTGTTTGGGCCTTGTGTCTTTTTACTTCCTGTATTGTGTCAGTAATTGTCTTTGTTGTATTATTTTTGGGTCATGTCTATTTTCGGGCTTGGAAACTCTGACTTCTCATTTTTTTAACCTTTTATATGTTGTAACTTTTTCAATTTATTTTTAATATATATTTCCTTCTTTTTTAAAAAAAAAATTAGGTGTTTTCTTTGGCCCCAAGAAATTCTTAATATATCTCTTGGAATATTTGTTAAATTTAAACATTTTTAAAAAGGTGTACTTCTTCTTGTTCAAAATATAAATATTTTCTCTCAACTAATTTTAGTTCAAAATATAAACAATTTAGTACATGTAAAAATTATTTTCTCCATTTTACCTATCATATTTATTAGCCAAGATCCTTGTGTAAAATTATATCTTACTCATCATGAAGTGCATTAGTGACAGGGACTAAGGATAAAAAAATAATATATATTTTTATGAAAATGAAGAATTTATTAGTACTCCCTCTATTTTTATTTATAGCAAAAATTATCACTTTTAGTTTGTATTTTTATATAAACAAAATCATATTTTTCAATACGCATGTATTGTAAACTTATTAAATTACCCCTCATAATTTTATCATTTATAATCATAAAAAATAATTAATAAAGGCTTGATTAACACAATTAATAAAAAGTATTGTAGTTCAATTCTTTTTTTTAGACACAATTAAAATAGTTAATTAATTTTTTTAAATTATGTAATACAATTTTTTTCTCTTACAAATAGAAATAGAAAGAGTATATAAATTTTTTTTAAAAACTGCTTGTATTTTAGATCAAAGGAAGTAGTAGTTATAAAATCCCATAGGAACAAAGCATTAATGTCATTGGGAAATGACTTTGAAAAAGACAATTTATTTTTTGTTTGCCCAATATATTTCCACAGCGAATAGCCGTAAGCATCTTATAGTAATTTTAATTTTGTATAAGAATATTTTAGAAAAATCTCATTAATTATGTAAAATAAGTCTGCTCAACAATTGACTTATGTCTTGAAATGTTATCCAATGGTACTCTAATGAGAGTTCGAACTATGTATGTAGTTATCGTATGTCTTGGTCATTGTTAAAGGCACTTGCCTTTGTGCCTTATGCATTGGGGTACAGTGCAAAACAGTCTCATCCTTGATTGCTACTTTTTTTTTTTTTTTATGTTTTTTCATACGACACAATTTTTCAAAGTTTTACGAATCCAAAGAAAAGATAAAAAAAATATCATGCTTTCATTAATGACAATTATATTAATAAAATAAATTATTTTTTCACCCTTTGTTTCATCAATTTATATGCTTTTTCATTTATGTTTCACTTTCACAAGTTAGGACTATGGAAGGGTTGAAAATTTTGTTAGCTGATGGTGGCAACTATAATACAAAATTAACAACTACCAATATTGTATATCAAGAGATATTCTGTAATTTGCAAGAATCAGGTTCATCATCAACATAATCGATGCACTAGGTCATACTTCTTAATTATTGAATCCGCTTTTGAATTATGAAGTATGAGTTATTATTTAATCAAGAACTTTTGCTTAATTTCTGCAGGTTATGCTTTCATGGACATTACATATCAATTCATTTAGTTCTATAGACATATTGTTGATGATGATTGATATATTCGTTTTTTTTTTACTGTGTTTAGAACTTATAATCTGTTTCCAATGATAAATTTTTGAAGTAAGGAACTCATTAATTTTGAATGAAATTATTTCTGCCTGATGCATGAGAGAGTGAGTGCTAGTTTTAAAAATATAAAAACAAAAAATAAAATCAAATAAGCACGAAATTTCTCTATTTCTTTTCGTTGCACCAAGATCCCCTCTATGCTTTTCAAAACCTGCCTTTTGATTTCCCAAGCATTTCTTGGGTGAATGTGTCTTTCTCTAAGCCACCCACAAATTAAAACAAATTCTCCAATACGTTTTTATTGCTCTTGCCTGTTGATGTTTTATTAAATTTTCTTTTTAACGTTGAAAGTGTACGCCTGGCACTATTAACAGATGCAACTAATACAACTTATTATCCATCTCTTACAGAAAAATCTATATTATAAAATTTTAATTATTTTTTTATTTCATATAAAATAATTTAAAAAATGCATGCATATTATTTTATTCAAATATTATTATTTTATTATTAGACTCTATATTCCATTTAACTTTTATATTACTTAAAATTAAAATTTAGTTTTATTTCTTTATTTTTATTTTTGACTTTTGCAAAAGTTAAAATAAATCTTAAAATATATTAATTTATTTATAATCAGTAGGATCACGGTTTAACCATAGTTCAACTAGTGAACCATGAACTAATATATTATCTGATTTAATGATTAGTCTGATTTTTAAAACATTGTCCAAACATAGTAAATTTTACTTTTTTCCACATGTATATATGTATACACACCATATTTATTTCTTTAAAAAATAAATGAGTTTTTAATTTCCTCTACAATTTCATTGATATGATGCCTATAAATAAATTATGCATTCAAGATTTTACTATAAAAACCCAGAATTAAGTTAAAATCAATATTTTTAAATTGATTAAAAAATTTATTATTAAAATAATAGTAAAAAAAAAAGTTAAAACGGTTCAACTGTTTCGGGTTTTAAATTTTTGTCGGTTAGTAAAAAGATGAACCCAAATCCCATCACTACAAGCCCCAGCATTCACAATAATACTAACCTCAAAACCAAGCTTGGCAGCAGTATGTTGGCCTTTTGACCACCAGCCCGTGTTTCTAAAATTGCAAGAATGTCAACTTTATAAAATGTTGACTAAATTACACACGACTCTTTAGACTTTGAACAGTAGATAAATAAATTTTTTAATTTTTAAAATTTAATAATAAATTTTCTTGAGTTATTAAGTTTATACAAATAACCCGTAATAATTAATAATTTACATTTTAAAATTTTATTTTTGAGTGCATTTAAGCTCCAAACTTTTATTAATATACATATTATTTTCTAAATTTTAAGTTATGTTTAAATAATTAATATATAAAATTAATTATATAAAATTATCTGCATAAATATAAGAGTTGAAGGGTGTTCCTTATAAAGTTTTGAAGATTAAAAAATTATGTGTATATGGTTCAAAATTTAAGATAATAATATATAATTTAGCATAAAAAATTTTAATTTCTCTTATAAGATTAGAGAAAGTTTTAGAACGCGTACCTCAAAGTATTTGAGACAAGATAATCCATTAAAAACAATTAATGAGAGAAATACCACACCAAGCATTTGCTTCACCTTGTCTTTTATCAAAAGGAATAGGTGAGCACATTTATAAGGAAGAGTGATAATTTAATTGATGCTTAGCATGGAAGAAAGGGTGATTTATTTTTTTTAATTCATTTTATTTCATTTTAATAACCAAACATGACTGAATGGGCCATGCTCATGTTATCTTGCTTATTATCCTCACAACCCATTTCGGCCTTTGCAAAATTAGTTGGTCCAACATATCTCTAGTGGACTGGGCCTCATTGAATTGATCCAAAGCTTCAAAAGGGTTAGAGATAGCAAGAGTGGGCCTAAAAGTAAGTAACCTAACTGGTTTTATTGGGCCTATTAGAGGCCCAATTCCCTATCAGACTCCTTGCCTTTACTGTTCATCGTGGTTCTTTAATTCCCACCTTCATCAAGGCTTTTTTATCGCTTGCTTATTTCCCGAGTCTGCGATCTCCTTGCCCGCCATGATTGTGAGCTTTACCCCCTGAGTTTCGAAACGGCGGATCAGTTTTACTCACTCCAGTAGGAGTCGTTTCTCTCGCCCATATAGGTAGGTAACGGACATTATTTTCGGCCGCCGTGTCTTCCATCTCGTTTGCAACTCCAGAGTCCTTTTGTGATTCGGATTCCTCTTGAAGAATTCTGGGATACAGAAAGGGGCCTTGAGGAATTTTCATGTACTCACCTCATGAAGTAATTCAATGAAAGCCCAGTTTATAAAGTCAATCGATAGTATATCACGATTCAGAATATGATTCCTCACAATAAATCCTCTGTGCAAGCTAGAAAATGAGGGGCAAGCAATGGTCCAAATATGAAAACTGCGCAGGCACTGCAAAATCGGCTTCAATTTGAAGTCTCTATTGTCATTGTGGAATCTCTATCGCCAAAACAATGCCAGAGCCATGGAGCAGTGTAGAAAGAAGATGCTTGTACCTTCTCCAGGAGAACAACTCCGTGTCCTGTCTCCTCCAAATCCACGCCTTCATGCTCCGAAATGCCCTCGACTCCAACGTCAATCTCCTCACCAAGTTCATCTCAAGCTGCTCCTCTCTCGCCCTCGCTGCTTCATCCTCACGACATACCCCTCTTGGTATTATCCGACACACTCGTCGCGTGTTTGATCAAAGGCCCCACAGGGACGATGCATTCTTATGTAATTCCATGATGAGTGCTTATCTGGCTGTGCACCAATCCTTTGAGTCTCTGACTCTGTATAGAGATCTTAGGAGGAAAACGGGCTTTAATCCCGATAAGTATACCTTTACCATTCTGGCCAAGTGTTGTACCATGAACATGGCCGTTACAGAAGGTGCAGAAGTACATGGTGGTGTTGTGAAATCTGGGATTTCCTCGAATGTGTATGTATCCACGGCTCTGGTTGATATGTATGCCAAGTTTGAGCTTATGGGTAGTGCGCATAAGGTATTCAATGAAATGACTGAGAGAAGTCAAGTGTCGTGGACGGCACTTCTTGTTGGATATGCGAGGTCTGGAGATATGAATGAAGCGAGCAAGCTTTTTGAGCAGATGTCTGAGAAGGATAGTGCTGCATTTAATGCAATGATTGATGGCTATGTGAAGTTGGGGACTATGTGTTTGGCTCAAGATTTGTTTGACAAAATGCCCAATAAAAATGTGATTTCTTGGACTAGTATGATCTCTGGATATTGTCGTAATGGTGATGTTGAATCTGCTAGGTTGATGTTTGATAATATGCCTGAGAAAAACGTGTTCACTTGGAATGCAATGATAGGTGGATACTGCCAAAATAAACAACCCAATAAAGCTTTGGAATTGTTTCATGAAATGCAAAGAAGTGAATCTGTGGAACCAAATGAAATAACAATTTCAAGTGTTCTTCCTGCTATAGCTGATTTGGGTGCTTTAGATTTAGGGGTTTGGATTCACAAGTTTTCCCAAAGGAAAAGGTTTGACAAATCTGGTCATGTATGCACTGCACTAATTGATATGTATGCAAAATGTGGTGAAATTACAAAAGCAAAATTACTTTTCGATAAAATCACTGAAAAAGGAGTTGCCTCTTGGAATGCTTTAATAACTGGTTTTGCAACTAATGGTCGTGCAAAGGAGGCTTTGGAGGCTTTTGCAGTGATGTTACAGGAAGGATTAAAGCCAAATGAGATAACTATGATTGGCGTATTATCTGCTTGCAACCATTGTGGCTTGGTTGAGGAAGGAAAAAGATGGTTCCAAGCAATAGAGAAATTTGGCCTTACTCCACAAATTGAGCACTATGGCTGTATGGTTGATCTTTTAGGAAGGGCTGGGTGCTTGGATGAGGCTGAGAAAATTATTGAGAGCATGCCTTACAATGCTAATGGGATAATACTAAGTTCTTTTCTATTTGCATGTTGGTACTACAAAGATGTTGCAAGGGCAGAGAGAGTACACAAAGAGGCTGTCAAAATGGATCAGATGAGTGGTGGAGACTATGTGATGTTGAGAAATACGTATGCAACAGAGCAAAGGTGGATTGATATGGAAGATGTTAAATACAAGATGAGGAATAGTGGATCAAATAAAGAGGTGGGTTGCAGTGTTATTGGAGTTGACTCTGGCTTTGCGGAGTTTGTGGCTGGTGATTGCTTGCATCCTCATCAAGAAATTATTCACTTAACCTTGGGGCAGTTATGGAAGCACATGAAGGTAGATATGATCTACTAATTCAGTAATAAGCTGAGAAAGATGAAGAGAGATGATAAATGATAATTAGAGAATGTACAAGAGCATTTAATTTTACCATATCCTGTTGAAAATTATCATGTTGAGGCCATTAGGGCCCCAGAAAGCGAACAATTTTTTTTTTTTTTTTATAACTTCAGCTGGTTTTTTCTAATCAATCCTATGGAGCATAGTGCTTTTTACTCTTTAGTTCGTGGCGAATGCTCAACTTACACATTTTTTATTCCTGATCTCAGTGAGGAAATGGTTGCTTTGACATGTTTCAAGAAGCTGAGATATGGATTCTCTCTATTCTCGACATATAGCCCATTACAGCATTAAACCCTATAACTGCTTATTGGTAAGTTTTGTTACAAGATCTTAAGAAAAAGCTCTGCGGGAAGTCATTGAAGTAATCATCATCATTCATCAATGTTATCAATATACTCCCTCTAACCATACATACTCCCTTTGGTGTATATTATAGAGTGCCTTTTAGAAAAATTCTTTAGTCTTTAATATAAGATAGTTGATAGGGTATTAATTATATCTTTTCTATATTACCTATATTTAAACTTATTAATTATGAGAGAGAATGTAATACAAATTAAAAAAAATCATTTAATAGGGATAAAGTTGGAAGTTTATTTTATTTTTAGACAAAATGAATAAATTAACCATATCTCATTGTTTCTGGTGAGGTAGTTGGAGGTTTCTTATAATAAGGACCAGAGGGAGTGTTGAGCATGTTTTAGAAAAAAAATCATGATCATTAATATAAGTTATTTTTTATGGTTTTGTGTAATATTTAATGGATTAATTCCAGGGCTAAAATCATTGGAGCATAGTTGAGAAGATGGTGAGGCAAGGAAGGATAATGCTTAAGGACGTTATGCAGATATAAAGACACCATTTCAACCCTTCTAAAAGAGAATAATTAGGCATGTGTCCAATATGATCTTTAAAGAAATTATGAGTGTCTATAAACTTCATCTGGATCCCTCAGAATCTGATCATCGTCATCTTTTAATTAAAGAAATAAATTTGTATTTGTAAGCATAGCAGAGTGTCAATTGATGAGTGAAATGTAACTGTAGGAAGTGGTGGAGAAACTCTCAGCTATGAATCATCCTGATGGGGATTGTCCGTTGTGTTTGTACCTTCTAGTACCAGAAGATCTGCAAAATAAATCATTTCCTTCTTCGAAGCTAATGTCATGTTTCCATTGCTTTCGTAGGTGGACTGATTGTTTTTTCTCTTTGTACTTGTTTAATTGCCGTTTACAACTAACAACGCTTTAGACTTTGGACTATTGACTTCTTTCCAATGTTTTTTAATAATTGGCAGGGAATGTATCACTGGATGGTGGAATTGGCTGCAAAGGTTTAAAGAAGTAGAATCTTCCGATTCAGCTGCTGCAAGTGCACGTTCTACTCATCATGTGGAAACAGGGAAAGGTAATTTTTATGTTAAGTCTACGCATGGATCTTGAAATTATTTACTGAATAATTTCTTGTGTTTCTATAATAAAACGCGGTACATATATAGACAAGGGAGGGAGATAAAAATCCGATTCAGATCTCTCAATTCTCTCTCTATAAAATATATTCTAATAATGATAAAACTAATTACAGAATATAAAAGGAGAAAATAAGGTTATCAGCCTAACGTTATCAGTATTAGCTAAATGAGGTTTATGAAGAACCAATGTTTGAATATCTGTACGAAGAGGTGTCCACATTTAGTGTCCAATCATGTTTTGAATAAGATTGTCTTTGATAAAAAAATACCAATTAGGAATGAAAAAAGCAAATGAGATTTATACATCATGTGGAGGAGTGATTTAATAGGTTTAATTTGGTTATTTAACACTCGCATGCCCTACACTTTCTCTAAACAAAAGCCCACACACTGCTATTTACCTAAATCTTCGAATTCGTGACTTTCCCATTGCGAAGACGCGGCCAAACAAAATGGAAAACATGTTTTTTTTTTTTTTGTCACAGGTTTTCAGACAATTGTTGGAGCCAATGATAGATGCAGAAACGATAAAGATATATCCAGTAACAGAGCTACATGAAAGTTTGTGGGAAACTGAATTTGAAGGTTCAATTTGTGGATTCATGGAAGGAATCAGAGAAAGTGGAAGTGCTGCCGGATAATCAATTTGATAGCGGAGGCATTTGTGGATCCAAAAAAAGAGGTCGCTCAGAATAGAGCAGCACAAGATGCTTTGACAAAAATTCTGACCATTTTGAGGATTAAAGATCTTCACAATACAACTACTTTAGATGACGACATAGTTTTTTTTTTTTTTTTTTTGTCAAAGAGGATGACGACATGGTTGATTAATTTTTTTTTTTTGTACTTTTTATTTGTCCTCTATTTCACGTACGCACCAATTCGTGTATTCCATGGATACGTTTCTTCCTTCGGTATATGAATTGACAATTTTAATATATACTGTCTCATGTCTATATTATAGAATGTTTGTTTGAACCAAAACGTTAGGCCCAATTACCCTCGAAGCCCAAACTAGTCTCGCAAACTAATTTGCTTCTTTGTATTCACGGTGCACCTTCTTGTACTCATTTTTTTAAGTAATATTGTCAAGTTTCATGCATAATCATGATGCACCCGTTAATATTCTTGTAAGTCGTTTGACTCTCCAAAAAAAAATTATAATGAAGGATTTTAAAAACCTATTTAATCATCTAATTGCAACTTACTCTTTTGAAAACTCACTCCTCTTACATACTTGACACACACATACACCCAAAAAGGTTGTGATGCTCTGACCCCTTCACTGAAAATTGGGCCAACATAATTTTTGGCATGCTTGTGGGGATTCCATTGTGAAAGACAATATTGTCTAAAACTGTTACTAAATATCCTTTTTTATTTTCGGTCGTAGTGAATGTTGAGAAATACTCATTCTAAAGACTTTGATGTTAAAAGACCAAGCCTTGTCATCATCCCACGGTCTGAGTAATATTGGCGAGGTTACTTCTTTTGCAAAGATTATACTAAAGTACATCTACTAGGGAATATTTATTATAAAGGATCTTGAAATTTCTAGTCATGTGAAAGGATTTAAAAATAAAATTTAATTATAAAAGTACCGTTGGTCTCTCCACTCCTCTCAAGCGATATCCCCTCACAGTCTCCAAAAATCCAAGCCAGGCTCTTGTCATCATTATAAATAAGAAGCACGAGACCCACCAAATACCAAAGGAGAAGAAGATCAGGCCTCCTCTTCCACTCACGACATTTCAAACTCAATCTTCATTTACCAATTACCACGAATCAAACTGTTCTCTAACTCTTTGACAAAAAAAAAAAAACAAACAAAGAAAGAAAGAAGAAGACTGTTCTCTAACTCGTCTGACTTTTTCTGGCACAAGAAGGATGAAATTGAAATTTTCAAGAAAACCTTGAACGATACAGGATATTAATGGTTGTCTAATATATTTTATGTTATATTTTTATTTTTTAAGTTTGTTTAATTTTTTTTATCATTTTTATTCTGTTTCTTTTCCTTCTCTCTTCTTCACCTTACAATTATTCATGTACCTGCTTCACTACCCACATCGTATTCATTTTATTATTTCCCTATTCAATTTTTATATATTTGATGTTTTATGCAATACACATATAAACTATTTTTATATGTTCCTTCGTGTTTTTCTCTTTCACATAATGTTTAGTAGTTGAATTTATTTCTTTATTTTTTTTCTTTTCTAACTTTGTTCGCTTTAGACTTGTTTCTTCATTATCTAAAATGTTTGTGATTTCAATTATCCTCTTAGTTCCTTTATTTTGGATTTTTTTAAAAAAATATTTATTTTGTTTTACGCTTGGTCTTTATGTAATTTATGATTGTAACATAGATCTATTATATTTTTGTCTAACATGTATCATTTAATCCATTTTCTTTTCTTACTGTAAACTTATTTCTTCCATTTCTTTTCTTAGTTTATTTCTAATTTACTCCCCCTAAACCACAATATAAATCATTTTCTAGAAATTTTTTTCGGTCCAAAATATAATACATTGGGTACATAATATATATAATTTTTAATTACAACCTTACTTTAGTGAGTAATTAAATGGTGTTTTGAATAAGTCAAATGTTATATTTATTAAAAAATTAAGATTTTAACCTTTTTTTAAAATATAAATTAGTTAATAATAACTTATATTATCATCTGAAGGAAGTATTTTTTTTTATTATATATTTTTCCAACTTAATTCTTATTGATAATGTTTAGTTGTTGAATTTTCTTCTTCATTAACTTTGGTCACTTTCGAGATTTATTTCTTCATTTTCTAAGGTGCTTACGATTTCAACCATCCTCTCGTGTTCCTGCTTTATAATAGATAATTTTTGACAGTATTATAGATTTCTTATATATTTATCTAATATGTATAATTTATTTTTCTTCTATTTTTTATATTTGGTTATTTATTAGTTTATTTTCTTATATATTTTATGTCGTGTATAGTTTTGCTTTTTCTATTTTTTTAATTATTTTTATCATTTTTATTATTTTCCTTTCCCATCTCTTGTTCACCTTATTCATGTATTGGCTTCATTATCCACATTATATTCATTTTATTATTTTACTATTCAATTTGTATATATTTAATGTTTTATACAATCAACACATAAACTATTTATTATTTATATTTCATTATTGATGGACTATTAATTAAATTGTGTGTTATTAATTATGCATGTTTTATATCTTTTCATGCGCCTCTTCGTATGTGTATTTTATCTAAATTCTTGTTTAATTTGTTGTGAGACTGCCAGTCTGTTTGTTTATGTTTGGCTCTTTTTATATTTTTTGTATATATATATATTTTTTTTTGTTGAAGGGCCTGTAAAAACTTTTCTTTACGGCCTTTATTTTCGGCCAGTTTTCTTTATGGTCTTTTGATTCTGTATAATCGTTTTTTGTTAACATATTTGCCTTTTATTTTTTAAAAAATGTACCTCTTCATGTCTTTTGTGATTTTCTCTTTCAGCTAATGTTTATTTCATTGAATTTGTATTTTCATTTTTTTTATTTCTTCATTAACTAATGTGCTTATGATTTCAATCATTCCTCTGTTCCCTCTTTTATAGATGGATAATTTTTGAAAAAAATATTTATTTTGTTTTATTCTTTTTTAATGTAATTTGTGATTGTATTATGAATATATTATATATTTATCTAAAATTTATCCTTTAATTCATTTTTTATCATTTACTTTTCTTACTAATAACTTGCTTGTTCTATTTTTGCCTTTATTTATTTTTATATTTATTTTCTTATTTATTTTATGTTAGATATACTTTTTTTTATTAACTTTTTAATTTTTTTTTATCTTTATTCAGTTCCTTCTTATTATCTCTTCTTCACCTTACACTTATTCATGTACGTGCTTCATTTTTCTTAATTTGATTCATTTATTAGTTCATTATCTAATTCATATTTATCTTGATGCATTATTCAATTCACGGATAAAATATTTATCATTTATATTTTCATTTTTTTCCATCAATTAATGTACTGATTTATTGACTATTAATTAAATTGCGTGTTATTAATCATACAAGTTTTATATCTTTTTATATGCTTTTTCATGTCTATGGTGTTTCTCTCTTTCACATATTCCCTCCAGTCCTTATTATATAACATTTTCAATCATTTTATGCATTTTGAGAAAAGTTAAATTTTTTATATTATAAAAACTGACACACATGTTCATTTTTGTCCTTAGTTTTAAACAATAATATAACTACATTAAATATCTTCATATTAATCAAAAAGATATAAAATTAAAAAATAATTTAATTATTATAAATTATTCTATATTTTGAACTAAAAATTACTTTTAAAAGGTGTTTTATAAATAGTATTAAAAGGAGTGATGCTTAGTTGTTGAATGTATTACTTTGTTTCTCTCTTTCACTTTCTAGACTTCTTTCTTCACTATTAATTTGCTTATGATTTCAATCATCCTCTCCTGTTCCTTCTTTAGAGGTGGATAATTTTATAAAAATAGTTTTTTATTTAACTCTTTTTCTTTATTTAATTTGTAATTGTAGTATAGATTTATTATTTATTTATCCAACATGAATTGTTTAATCCCTTTTTCTAATCATTTGCTTTTCTTAGTGATAACAACTTATTTCTTTCTTTCTCGTTTTTTTTCTCGCCATCGTTTGTTTTTTGAACTTAATTTTTTTATTTGGAATTATTATGCATTCCCAAAATAGCCTAATTATTATCTATATTTCATTATTTTTTGTCATTGATTCTGATTTATTGACTATCAATTAAATTATGTACTATTAATCATACACTTATTTATGTACCCACTTAACTTTCTCACGAAAATCACTCTCCTTTCCGACGAAGCTCTTCTCAATCACCATGACTAAGTGTTTTTGGCCTTTTATTTCCGTTCTTTGCTGTTTGTTAGCCATGCCTCGTCATGTTCATGGTTTCTCATTATCAAATCTGTGGGTCATAACATTTTTATTTGAAATCTATAATATTTTCCCCTAGAATTCTCCGAAAGCCACCATGAAAGAAGCAGCTCAAGATCATCATCAAGAAGCAATAACTATTACAGACGAATCAGCAGCTCTGTCTTCTTCAACCATGGATGTTCCAGCATCATCACCACCAACAAACGTAGAGAAGTCGAAGAGATTCTTGGATATAACTTTAAGAACAAAAGCTTACTGGAAGAGGCTTTCACACATTCATCTTCTTCACCTACAATAGCAGTTTTTTTATTTTTAAAATATTCTAGCTATCTAGTCAAAAGAGGGTCTGATAATGCCAAATCAGGTTTTCTTGGACCCCACATAATGACAATTCACCATACAACGGGAAAATAAAATATCAGTTGATAGAGGGGGGATATTTGCTCCCTTAAAAAGTAGTGCAAGAAAAAATTTACCCTAATTCAAAATATAAGATGTTCAGTGCTTTTAAAAAATGGTATAAAGATAAAATTGGATTTTAATTCTTAATTAAATTGCATGTTATTTAATCATACAAGTTTTATATATTTTTATGTGCCTCTTCGTGTGCGCATTTTAGTCCAAATTCTTGTTTAATTTGTTATGAGTCTGTATTTCAATCTGTTTGTGTATGTTTGGCTCTTTTCTTTTTATATTTTTTGTATTTCCTTTTATTTGATGCGCCTATAAAAAGATTTCTTTATGGCCTTTTGATTCTGTATAATCGTTTTATGTTAATATATTTGCCTTTATTTAAAAAAATAATGTACCTCTTATGTCTTTTGTGATTTTCTCTTTCATCTAATGTTCATTTATTGAATTTATTTTTTTTTTTTTCATCTTCATTTCACTTTCTAGACTTATTTCTTCTTTAACTAATATGCTTATGATTTCAATCATCCTCTGTTCTCACATTCATGGATGGATAGTTTTTTTTTTTAAATATTTAGTTTGTTTTACTCTTTTTTTAATGTAATTTGCGATTGTATATGAATATTATATATATATATATATATATCTAAAATATAACGTTTAATTCATTTTTGTATCATTGACTTTTCTTACTAATAACTTGTTTTTTTTTTCTATTTTTGCTTTTGTTTATTTTTATAATTTATTTTCTTATTTGTTTTATGTTATATATCTAATTTTGTTTTATTAACATGTTAATTATTTTTATTTTTATTCAGTTCCTTCTTTATATCTCTTCTTCACCTTACACTTATTCATGTATGTCTTCATTTTCTTAATTTGATTCATTTATTAGCTCATCATTTTATTCATATTTATCCTGATGAATTCAATTCACCAATACAATATTTATAATTTATATTTCATTTTTTTCCATCGATTGAGGTACTGAATTATTGACTATAAATTAAATTACAAGTTATTAATCATGCAAGTTTCATATCTTTTTATATGCTCCTTCATGTCTGTCGTGTTTCTCTCTTTCACATAATATTTAGTTGTCGAATTTATTACTGTGTTTCTCTCTTTCACTTTCTAGACTTATTTCTTCATTATCTAATATGCTTACGATTTTAATCATCCTCTCTTGTCCCTTCTTTAGAGGTGGATAATTTTTTAAAAATATTTTTTTGTTTAACTCTTTTTCTTTATTTAATTTGTAATTGTACTATAGACTTATTATTTATTTATCTAACATGAATTGTTTAATCCATTTTCTTTGTATCATTTGCTTTTCTTAGTGATAACCTATGTCTTTTATTTTTTCCTTTGTTTATTTTTTTAATTTATTTTGTTATTTGGAAATATTATGCAACCCCAAAATAAACTAATTATTATCTATATTTCATTATTTTTTGCCATCAATTCTGATTTATTGACATTAATCATACACTTATTTACGTACTCCCTTAACTTTCTCACAAAAATTAGAGCTGATAATTCAGGCAAAACCCGAACTCGCCTGAAAGAAGTTACCGTCAGGCTTGACGATATGATTTTTTTAAGGGTAAGATATTTTAAACCTGATCTGAATAAACTTGGTCATTGAAATTATCAGCTTTATATATATGTAGAGTCGGTAATTTTAGCCAAGTACGCTCAACTGGCTAGCCTGTACTCGACTGAAAAAAGTTAAGGTCGAGTTTGATTATATTAGCTTTTTTAAAGAGTACAGGGATACTTTAAGTTCAATCCAAATAAAAATCAGCTTAAATAAGTTTAATCTGTCTGAATTATCAGCTCTCACAAAAATCACTCCCCTTCCTGATAGTACTCTTCTCAATTACCACAACGAAAGTGTTTTCGGCCTTTTCTTTCAGTTCTGTGCCGTTTGTCAGCTATGCGTCGACGTTTTCGTGGTTTCTCATCGTCAAATCCGTGGGTTTTAGTCTTCGGTTGTTCTCGTTTCTTCCTCTTCCATTATCTGTTAGGTTTAAGTCATACATATCCTCACTATTCGTCCATTCATTTGTATTGAGTTTTTGTTCTGCTCTTTCCTTCATGCCTATCACATCCTACTGCCAGTTTCAATAATGACTATTTTATTTGAAATCTATAATATTTTGTATCATTAAAAAATTGTTAAGATTAAAAAGATAAAATATAAATCATTAATAAATAAAATTTTGTCTATTAAAAAATACGTTTATATTCCTTCAAATTACTAGGGGACATTGAGAGAACATCTTTTTCATTCTTTTCATTAAAATAGGGAGTATAGAAAATGAAGAGAAAAGAAAAATGGAGAGATACAATTTTAAATTGAATTGAATAGGAAGGGCTATGTTGAATTCAATATTGTATCACTGATTGAAGAACAATTTGATAAAATATAATTTCATATCTTAAAAAAATAATGACATTGAACAATATTAATAAAAATATAATACATATTATACATTTCATTCTAGGTTAGATGGGAAAATATTTTTTTTCAATAGGTATTTGAAACATTATAAAGGGATATTGAGTAATTCCTCGATATCATAATATAAGTCATTGTTAAATAATTTATAATTGTGGTAAAAAAGTTGGTTAAGAATTTAATTTTCTAAAAAATTTCACACATTTTCCATTATGCCCTTCAGAGTAATAAATACTCTCTCTATATCAAATTATAAGATAATTTGAGATAAAATTATGCATAATAATTATTAAAAATAATAATAATAATTTTCAAACTTACTTTTTTCAAAAATTATAAATTTTCAAAAATATCCTTATATATTTAATCATTACATTACAATATTATTTTTTTCTCTTTTCATTTGAAGGGTAATATTAAAAATATATTAACTATGAAATTTTATTTTTTGTTAAATTGTCTTATATTTTATGATAATGAAATTTCTTCCATGTTGTCTTATAATTTTGGATAGAGGGAGTATAACATTTAACTTATTCAAAATATCCTTATTAATTATGGTGTAATTAGAAAAAATAGGGATAATTTAATTTTTAGACTCACAAGTTTGTCTTAGTTATCGATTTAATTTCTCAAGTTTAATTTTTATTAATTTGATCTATTAATTTTTTTGAATTATCTTGTTAGTCTTTTAAATTGTAAAACATAATTTACTCTAAATTTAATATAATATGAAAAGTATTTTTAAGATTTGACGTGCATTTGTGGCTAAATAAGAAAAAAAAACTCTCAAATCAAGTTAATTTTTATTAATCGAGTCATTTATGATGTATTTTGTTCTTTTTTTAATTTTTGAGTCTATTTTTTCCCTAAATAATTACATTTATATTCATTAATTTACATAGGTGTTGTAAATATTCTATTATTCATGTTGAGAGATTTTAATAATGTTACCTCATTTTTAAATAATAAGGACCAAATTAATAACTGAGATAAACTTAAAGAACGAAATTAATAAAAATTAACTTTGAGAAAATAAATTCATAATTGAGACAAATTTGAATGATTAAAAGTTTCATTATCCAATATATATATATATATATATATAACACAAATCCAATGCTTTATAATGTCAATTAGGGCCAACCCTTGAAGGGTCAAAGTCTAAATGAGCTGACCTTATTAAATCCAATTATACTTTAGAGCTCCATTTTTGCTAGCTTAGCCCTAACCCTTCGAGCCTCAACTCTATATATATTTTTTATTTTTCAATTTAAAAATATAAAAATATATTTAAAGTTTTAAAAAGTTATTACACATAACATTAAATTTAAAAATAAAAATTTAAGATAATATACACAATAACAAATTTAAGTCTAATCAAAAGAAACAACATCACAAAATCAACACTGATAATGATAGAAATCAAGCAACTATGGGGAGAGGCAAGCTAAGATTTTTAATTTTTAAAATCTTTTACTTTTAATGTGTAGCGTTTAATTTTATATTAAATTTAAAAAATATATATAAGAGGGCCTAAAAGTGGGTCAGGCCAACCGCTATTAAATATTATTTTTGTGTTTGTCTGTCCATAAAGAGCTAGAGACTCAGTCAAACGTGATATCTAGTCTCTTCGATCGATTAAAAATTTAAATAAGAAAATAAATTAAACAAAAAATAATATAAGTCATCAGAAAAGTCAACTACGAGACCTCTTCATCATTTAGCAAAAGGTTTTTAATATCCTTACAACCAAACAAAATATAATTTAAAATCCTAATACGGCTATATAATCTTATTATATAAATCTAGACCCTTCTATATATATATATATATATATATCTACATCTATATCTATATCTTCATCTACAAAATTATTCTGTGTTGTCCCTAGACTTCTCCCAAAACCACCATGGAAGAAGCAGCTCAAGATCATCATCAAGAAGCAATAACTTTTACAGACGAATCAGCAGCTTTATCTTCTTCAACCATGGATCTTCCAGAACCATCACCGCCGAGAAACCTAGACGAAGTCGAAGAGATTCTTGGATACAACTTCAAGAACAAGAGCTTACTGGAAGAGGCTTTCACACATTCATCTTATTATTATACCAAAGATAATGATAATAATCACGGTGAAGCTGAAATAAAGTGCTTCTCATATGAGCGTTTAGCGTATCTGGGAGACGCGGTCCTTAATTTGTTGGTCACCAAGGAGCAGTTCTTCTTGTACCCGAATTTTTCATCGGGTCGGTTGACCCGACTCCGAGCTGCTAACGTGGATACCGAGAAGCTTGCACGTGTGGCTGTTAAACATCGGCTGCATTGTTACCTGCGCCACAAGAAACCTCTTCTTGAAGAACAAGTAAGTCAAATTTGTGAACCATTTGTGTTTGACTTGCTATATATAATATGTCAATACGCGGTATTTTGAATTAGATTTTTTTCAATTGAATCGAAAGAATTGGATAGGATCAATTTCAATTGTTATCTTTTTTTCAATTCTGTTGATTTTTTATCTTATTGAAAAAAAACTTATAAACTCTTACTTTCAGCAGGAAACCTTAATTTGTTATATAGTTGGGTTTGATTAATAATTTTCTATTTGTTTTTTCAATTTATGTATTTTAATTTAGGTTCAAATAGAAATATTAATAATTGTATATATTCCTATATTTTTTTTTAAATGTATTTCCTTTTGTGGCCATAATAAAACGTGGTTCCAAATATATGAATCAAACTATTTAAATTGCATAAGTGATTGAAATGTAGGAAAACAGTTAGGGATATTTAGGATCATTTATGAAAATTTTGACACTTTTTTTGGGTTGTAGTCTAAGTTGCTTTGTTTAGAACCAAGGGTCCATTGTTAAGCCAAAAGCACATTTGTTTCATCTTCCTTTTCAATTTTATATATCACCATTCAACACTGCTTCTGCTATATAAAAGCATATTTGTGTGTGTATATACTTTCTTATACATGTTATACTATATATATAACTATATATATAACTATATAGTTAAATTTAATTTCTCATTCACATAATTGCATTTTTTTTTACTAAATATAATGAAATCAAAGATATTAATTATTTATTTTTATATGTAAATATTTGAATATAATATGTATTTTTATATTTAGGTTCATTAAATATATTTTAATGAAATAAGTAAAGTTGGAATATATTTTAACAATAAAAAATAAATTTATATTAATTTAACGAAATATATATATTTTCTAAAAAAATTTATTTCAACTGATCATAATTTAAAGGTATTATTATGAACACATAAAAAAATAAAAAAATAAATTTTGATTTAAAGCTTCATATAAATAATCTTCATATTAATAATCAATACTCCCTGTAGTCCTACTTATAAAGTAGAGGGAGAATACATTTTTACCATATTTATAAGAAATGTTATGAAATTTTCATTATAAGTTTCTCCTGTTACCCACATTAATATTGAAAATTTATTAATTAAAATTTTATAGAGTTAATTATTTTTAAAGTTTTTTTATTCTGAGAAAATTTATTGCAAGTAGTTTATAAATAAAATTAAAATGTCTATATTAAGATAACTATTACTAAAAGTCATACATAGTTTATATTACTAATATTTTTTAAGGACAGTTTATATTATTATTAATATATAAACCTGTAAACACTGCAATTTCCAACTTAGCTGTATAATGCATGAGTTGGCGATATTATCCCTATTGAGGCAATGTGGTTTACATGCTTAGTTTGAAAAAGTCAATCCTATTCATTGCATTTGCCACCAATAATTCTTCCCAATCCTTGCCGACTTGGTTATATATTGCTCCCTCCTAACCAAATATGATAACTAATTTGCTGTTCTAAAAATTAAATATTACTTAAAATGTTAATTTTTTAAAAAATTTACATCTCAATTATGCCCTCATTAAATTAGTTTATATAAGAGCATTGATAATAATGATTAAGATTTAAATGCATGATTTTTTTTAAAAATAATAAATGAAGTAAGGGTATAGTTAAAAAATAATTATAAAAGTTATTCAATGTCCTATATTTTAGATCAAGTATGACTTTTAAAAAATACCTTATATTGTACTCCTCCATCCCAAATTATGAAACACTTTTGAAGGAGTTTCTCCATTTCAAAATATAAGACACTTTAAGTAAATTAAGGTTTTATTAAATACTTCAATTTCAATATTATGCTTTCTCTCTCTATAATTAATTTCCATCACTTCTCTTTTCAATATATTAAATGATGGGTATTTTTGAAAGTTTATATTTTTATTTTAAAAAAATAAGATTGTTAAGTGTATTTAATAACTAAAAATGTCTTATAATTTGGGATGGAAGAAGTAGTTAGGAGAGAGTACTACAAAATGGCTAAATAAATATTTTTGCAAACATAAAAATAATCAATATTAATTAATGTCATAATCAATAATTAATTATTACTTATAAAATTTATAATAAGTTATTATATTTATAAGTTATAAATATGCCAATCCCCTCACCAGCTCATACTATATATGCCAACTTTGCCAAAACTTATGAGGGAAACTTGTCAGTTGTTAGTTAAATAATATTTTTATGTTTTAATTTTTTTTTTCTTGCTTCAAAATTAAACTTTCGTTGTTTCAGAAATCTAAAACCCAGTCACTCCCTCATTTAATTAGCTTTTAGTTTCACACATCATCATCATCATCTTGTTCCTTTTTATTTCCCCCTTAAAAAGGGAATTAAATATAATGAAGGTATTTTAGTTAATGCGTAGTAATATTTTATTTCATAATTGCATATTTGTTAATTTATATGCCATAAACTTAAATAACAAAACACGAAAAGTAGTAGTTTGCCTTGATATTATTAGTATATTAGAATTCAGAGCTGGAACTAAATATTTAAAACAACATATCACATTAATTATGCTAATTAAATTTCACAAAATTGAAAATGATGTGATGTAATTAATTGAGCAGATCAATGAGTTCAAGAAAGAAATATTGGAGTACCCAATGCATTCGAATGGGCTGATTGATGTACCGAAGGGTTTAGCCGATTTAGTGGAATCCAGCATTGGAGCAATCTTCATTGATTCTGACTCCAACATTGACACTGTGTGGCAGGTATATATATAATTCCTTGCCTTCTCTTTAATTATAATTTAATCAAGGTATACTTTAAATATATAAAATCTTTTGAATTTTGGGTGAGTTGTATATTACCAGCCCTGATCAAAATTTGAAAAAGTGTAACTGTTCAACTATATTAAATAAATTAGTTAAATTATTGTTGAATCAAATGACATGAAAAATATTGTAAAATATTTTTTTGAAATTCTAAAAATATTGATAATTTAAAATTACAAATTTACCTTAAAAAGACTATGCATATATATAATGAAACAGAGAGAGTATTAGACAAATGAGGTTTTATATTTCTCATGTGAAATTATTTGACAGATTTGATTTGTTTTTTTTTTTTTTCAACATTCTCACCACCTTTGATCTCTCTAAAGAAAAGCCCATACTTAGAGCAACTGGCTAGAGAGTTGATTTAGCTTAACTAAAATTATCGAATTCGAACTTTGAATATATAATAATGATTAAATACTTAATGGCAGGTATACCCTCCAGAGAGATGCCTGCAAATTACCGATTAGATTAGTTTGGGTCAAAGATTAAGAGTATTGAAGTGAAAGGGGGAGAAAAGCCTACACAAACACTCCATTATTTAATATTTACTTGAATCTTTGAACTTGCAAGCTTTTCCATTCAAAGATACTGGCCATTGGCAAATTGATTTGGTTGAAACAAAATGGAAAACACATGATTTTTTTTTTTTTTTTTGGGTTACAGGTTTTCAGACGATTGTTGGAGCCAATGATAGATGCAGAGACGATAAAGACACATCCAGTGACAGAGCTATATGAAGTTTGCCAGAAACTGAATCTGAAGGTTCAATTTGTGAATTCATGGAAGGATTCAAAGAAAGTGGACGTTATAGTCGACAATCAATTAGTTGGCAGAGGTATTTGTGGATCCAAAAGAGAGATAGCTCAGAATAGAGCAGCACAAAATGCTTTGACAAAAATTCAAACTATTTTAAGTATTAAGGATCACATTATTACAACTACTTTAGATGATGATGACATAGTGGATTAAATTTTTTGTACTTTTTGTTGTTCTTCCATTTCACGCATCAATTCGTGTATTCCATGAATATGTTTCTTCCTTCAGTATATGATGTTGTCAATCTTAATATATATTCTCTCTTCCTGTCTAACTATGAAAATTTACAACTCATTGTGTGTGCAGGTTTTGTTGTAGAAGTTTTTCAGACTTGTCATCATTTGGTTCTTTAACATAGTATGCAACATATACTCTTTCATACAAAAATATAAAACATTTTTAATCGAATTTCACTCTCCAATAAAATAGTTACATACTTTTAAACTAACCATATCTTTTTATATTTATTTCTATTAGACATCTTACAATAAATATAAAGTTATTCATCAATAGGGGCACTTTTGAAAAAAAGATAATGATTACACCTCGAAAGACTAAAAATATCTTATATTTTTTAACATTCAACTTTTTAAAAAATGCCTCATATTTTTTTATCAGAGGGAGTACAAAAGATGAGTCATAAATTCCACAATTTGACTGACAAATTTTCAAGAAAAATTTGAAAATACATAGTTAGAATAATATATGAAAGTCTAAATGATACTAAGTCTAAAGAACCTATGTGACAAACATATGCATGGCTATAATTAAATTCGATTGTTTGACTAACGAATTTTGGTACAAGACTTGTAAATCATCACAAAGAAAAAAAGGAGCTATTGCGATTTTATTTGATTCCACGATTAAAAAACTGGAAAAAAACCCTCGTGAAATTTTAAGTAGCAGTTTGTAAATATGGGAGGAAAAATTTTAAATCGAGTTGTAAAAATTGAAGAATCTGTGCCGCCAAAAAAAAAACACATAAGTTGACTTGTGTAAATTTCACAGGTTTATATACAAATTAAAGGGTGGAAGAGCAATTATAAATAAAATAATTTATAATTAAAAGTTAGTATTTTAATAAAACATTATTGAAATTTTGAATTTAATTACTCAAACAACTGGTCGTTGGCCGCTGGCTGCCGATGGTTCATGGCCATCCATTGTTGGTCAATGGTAATTAAAGGTCAAAGGTCAAAGGTCAAATGTGGCCATGTTGATCATTTCTCAAGTAAGAGATAAGACGCAAGTGTTCGGGCTTATTTATAATTAATGCATGAAATTAGGGGATTTATTTAACATTAATTTGCTTACAAAAACTTGTTTGAAATTTTCCCAAAATTGTGGTGGACTAAATTTACTTCCATTATATATATTTTTATGTCAATTAAATTGTATTAAATTAAATTTATTAGAAATTCAAATTTATATGAAAGAAAAAAAACAAATAAAATTTGAATGTAATTATAAAAGTAAATGAAAAATATGATAATAATACCAATTGTTGCTAACTCCAACCTTTACTTATCATAAATTTGTTTTACATATTATCCCAAATTCCCAATGTTTCAAGTGGTGTTTTTAACTTATGACAAGTATCCCTTGAATAAAATTAAGTGGTGTTTTTATTAAACATCAATTGTTAACAATTTCAAGCCAGTGTTATACTTGTTTCAAGTTAAAAACTCGACTTGCAACATTTAAATAGGATTATTATTTCTACAAATATATAATAGGTGATATATATCTATAAACTTAGAGTATGCTGGCTTAATAACGTAAAATTATTAGATAAAAATGACTGTAAATATATTTTTACATCAAATTTACCTATGGATAAACTATATTTTTCAGAATCATACATTTTTTTCATATTGATAGTGATTTATAAAGAGTAACAAAAGTTCTTTTTTTTAAAAAAAATAAACCAGCTTCAATTGCTCTAATGCAGTTTACTTTTAACAGATGGCTTGACCATTTCTTTGTCTGGTTAGAAAATTCCAAGGAAACTACTATACACCAACCAAACAATTTCATTTAAATATAGAAATCTTGTGGATTACAGCATTGAATAAATTATTATATAGTACTCCAAACATACTTAAAGGGAGTACTAGTTAAGGAAATGAGAGAATGAGTATTTAAAGGGACCAAAAATTGAGGTTCAGTTGATTTTGGCAACGACACATATTCATGATATTATTTTCATATATATATGCCACATAAGCTTGCTTAAATTCATCATCTTTAAGCACAATAATAATATTTAATATAACCAATGTACTATAGGTAAGAGATATAAGAGTTTGAAATAGTTAATAGCTAAAGGAAATGCAAACCACAGCAAAGAACATGTCTTTATATATGCAACATTTAACGCATAAATTCAAAATTAAGTTATCTATTTTTTATTCATAAAAATTAATTAAAAAGTATATCTCATTGAAAGCCATGTATCTCAAGCTCTATCTATCTCCCACACACACACACATTTACGCCAAGACCACGTTATTGTCTGTCACGATCTGTCTATACTCTATAGGGCAACAACACACAATAAAGGAGAAAACAATCTACGTACAATGAAAGAATTACCTTTTGTGATGATATGATAGTAAGTCTGAAGAAACCTGTGTAATAAACACACATTATAAAAAAAATAATTTTTGACAGTGACTTTAGCAACAAAAAAAAAATCATTACCAAAAGTCTCCTTTTGATAGTGACAATTAAAAATCATCACTAAAAGTAGACCTTTGACAGCAATATTATGTAACCACTAAAAGCACCACCAAAAGTTAACTTTTAATGATGATATTTAATTGTTATCACTAAAAATTACTTTTAACAGTGACAAACTGTCGCCGCAAAAAATGATTTCATAAAAAAATAATTAAAAAAAATAAAAATAATTTTTGTAATTACTTTTAGCGGCAACAAACCTTTGCCGCCAAAAGTATCTTCATAAAAATAATTAAAAAATTAAAAATAATTTTTACTTTTAGTGGTGACAAATTTTTACTGTCAAAAGTATTTTCATAAAAAATAATTAAAAATTAAAAATAATTTTTGTAATTACTTTTAGTAAGGCAAACTTTTAATGCCAAAAGTATTTTATAAAAATAAAAAAAAAAAATTTTGTAATTATTTTTAGCAACGACAACTATTACTGTCAAAAGTATTTTTATAAAAAAAATAATTTTTTGTAATTAATTTTAGCGGCAACAAACCTTTGCTACCAAAAGTATTTTCATAAAAAAATAATTAAAAAATTAAAAAATAATTTTTGCAATTACTTTTTTAATTTTAATTACTTTATAATTATTTTTATAATTCATACAAAATAATTAAAAAACTAAAGATATTTTATAAATACTTTTAATGCAAAATTTGTTGCCACTAAAGGTATTTATATATAGAATGAGAAATAAATAACATTGAAATGTTAAAGTTATATAAACATTAGAATGTTAAGCTATATAGATGTTATAAGATGCAAATGGCATTGTATATTACTTGACACATAACGCACTTAATACTTGGCTTGGAATAAAATGGTGTTTACTTCTTTGGTTGAGCTTACTTTTTACTATCACAAGATAATTTAAAAAGGTGCTCCATATTTGATGGTTATTTAAAATAAACAATAAATAAAATAGGTGAGAATACTTAAAAGTTTTTTAAATTATGGATGAAATTATATATAAACTTATTAAAGTTTGTTTATTTTAAATTGTAAAGTTGTTAAAAAGTATTCCTTATTAATTTTAGATTGACTCTCTATTAAAGAGATTTTAATAGAAATCTAAACTCATTTAGACTGAGTCAAGACAAGATTCCTTTTATTTTGATTATGAAAATATCCACTTAGATTTTTAACCTAGAGTTTTTTGTGTGTTTAGCATCTACTTTGAGCTATTGCATGTTCACCCATTTCCTATCTCAAAGATAATTAAAAATAATTATCCAAATGACTATTAACAAATTTATATGATTAAAAATACTTTTTTATTAAAATATTTTAAGATAATTGAAAAATTGGAGATAAAATTTATTTTTTAATAAAAGAAGGGGAAGCATTTAACTTGGGAGAAGATAAAAGTTTAATAATTTATTTATTAGTTTTGAGAAAAACATGGGAAAAAGTAAAAGATATTTAACATAAAACTAAGATAATACATACTTATAGATAATTATATACTTAATTAATTTTTATTTAGAAATAAAAATAAAATTTAAAAATTGGTAAAAAAATTTATAGAAATTAAAAATATTTAAATATTATTTCATTTTAAGTTCATTTTCCCAAAAAAAATAATATTTATTAAAAAAATAATATATAGGTATATATATACACTCATAGAAGTTATTTAACATATTAATAAATGAAAATAAAATAAAATATATGTGTATATATATTTAATAATATATTATTTGATATATTGTGTATGTAGTTAAATAATTTATATTTAATTTTACATATAATAATTTTAGGTGCATTTCAGTTCAACTGACAACAAAGGAGGACTTAAGAGTTAGGAGGTGGAGATCAAAGCTCAAATCCGAGTTTGGATATATTTCACAATAAATATGTAACATGACATGTGGTGGAGCACATGCGTGATGTGGCACAAGTTGTAAGATTTAGCGCTAGTTAAAGTTTTTTTTTTTTTGTAGTGACAAGATGGGCTATAATTTTTTTTTACTTACAAATTTTGATGTGAATGCCTTGTAAACCATCACGGAAAAAGGGAGCTTTTATGCTTGGATTTGATTCTAAGATAAAAAATGGCAAAGGAAAAATTGTCAAAATTTAAGGAGTGACTTGTAAATAGGGAGGAAAAATGCTAAATATAATGAATTTGTAAATTTAAATATAATTTTAAGTAACTTGTAAACAAAGAAAAGCGATTTGTATCCATCCCCCCCCCCCCAAAAAAAAGGACCCCTAAGTTTACATGTAAATTTCACAGGTTTAAGTACAAATTGTGGAAGAATACTCATTAATAAAAATAATTTAAGATTAAATGATAGTACTATTTAAATAAAATATTATTAAAATTTTAGTAATAATTTTTTTGACAATAAAAGAGGCACTAAGAAGAATTACTCAGTGCCCAGTATAGGGGTAAACCTCCCACCATTTAATGACTCACTAACATTTGAATGACTCACTAATAACTGGTGGGCCTGACCATCCAATGGTTGGTCAAAGGCATATTAAAGGTCAAAGGTCAGATGTGGCCTTGTGGTCATTTTCTCATGTGAGAGATTAAC